TATTGCGTTTCGTCGCGCCCAAAATTCCTTTCGAAACTTTTGTACATTTAGGCTATCTGAAGTCGATTACAAAATAATGAATTCCAAAACTAATTTTAGAAGAGCCTGCTTTATTTCGGATATTGTGAACACCGCGCAACTAATTCTGTCATCTCGGTATCCTGAAGTAGACGGTTTGCAAAGTACGACTTTTTATACAACACTATCTGGCCCAAAAGTGTACGTTTCCTCTGATAAGTTTGTTCAAATCTTATTTGTGCATGAGAATCACTGGGTAACGGCATCAAATATTTTCTCATCTGATCAAAATACTATACGATAGCTCTTATATGAAATACAATGAAAATGACAAATATGCGATTTCTCTTCTTATGCGACCAAGGCTAGGATTAAATAAAATTAAAATTGAATTCCCCGCTGTTCCGCAACAAACTTTAGGTGCATCATGTGGTCCATTTTCAATTAGTTTTTGCATAGCCCTATGTAACAAAATAAGACCAGAGCATATCCTGTTCGACGAGAAAAATATTAGAAAGAAAATATGCAATGGTATAGTGTCTACAAAATTTTCGTCAGTATTTAAAGTCAGCAATAAACATGTTGTACCCGCGATGAAGAGATTGGAAATTCAGATTTTTTGCAACTGCCAACTGTCTTACATTGAAAATCAAGCCATGATCGAATGCACTTAATGTTTGAAATGGTACCATCCGAAATGTTGTAGTATTAGAGTGCCTGTTGACGCTATGGAAAACAGCGAAAAAGAATGGAATTGTGAAAAGTGCATTCGATCCTAAAATTAGGGGGAAAGTGGGAAGGTTGGGACACTTTTTTTCTTTTGCATATTGTGAGCCGTCAATTCTGCATATTCACTTAAGTTTGCGGGACTAATGCATAGAGGGGTAAATGTAGTTTTTATTCAGCGACTAAGAAATTCCCTTGCGACACTCATTTTACTACCAAAATGCTTTGAAAAACGCCTGTCAAATGTCCCACTGTACCCCACTTGTGGGGCACATTCGGACAGACCCTGGGGCACAATGGGTCCGTCTGTCGAAATTCAACGAAGTATGCCCTTAAAAATGAGCAATTAATCAGCATAATAGTCTAAAGAACAGGAAGAGTTCAAATTTGAATATTTAGTATTTTTAAAATCAATGTTCAACTAAAATAGTTCATATATTTTGACAAAAAATTTTGCAAACAAATTTGATTATTTCCTTCCTCGAATCTAAATCTGGAAATATTATTGATTCTCGAATATATTCCATATTGGGCCATGGAGTCGAAAGAAACTATAATGTTACACAAAATATAACGCATTTCTAGGTCTCTAAGCACTTATTGTTGAATTGTGTCCTGTAGGGCATGTCCCACTGAACCCCGGTCCATTGTTCCCCATAGAAAACAAATATTTTCAGACTATCCCTCGGCGAGATTCGGAAGGCACATCAACTTGCCAACGTTATGAATATTTTACAATACACTATAGCTGAAAAATATCTGACGGTGGTTTGTCATGTTGGAAAGGCTAAAGTAGAAAAAAGAAAAAACTGGGATGGTGAAATTTCAGTTTCAACCTCCCAAAACCAATTTCACCCCATAGCTTGCGCCTCTCTACCCGTCCGTTGTCCGTTCGCGGGGACGTTGTAACTCACCGAAGGGCGGATTAAAACATCAAACCGCGGACAGGATTGCAGCTATGGTATCAGTATGAGAGCTGATTTTCCACTGTGCGCCATGTCCCAACGTGCCCCACCTTCCCTACTCAATTCAAGTGGAAATTTGATTAAACAGGATTATTTACATTTTCTTTCTATTTTCAGGTACGTCGTCAGACATAGGCTCAGTCTGTTTTACCTATTTGTCTTGACATGCCCTTTGCCAGGTTTGTCTCTCTTGACCTAGTTTATAATATTGAGATGAAAATCACTACGACGGTTGGCACCTTGACGTGGTGTGGTGGGACCATGATTGATCGGAATTTGTGACGAGTTCCCGACATAAAATTTTCATAAAAATTGGTTCGAGATGACTTCATAATATGTTGTTTTAGGATATCTTACTTAAAAATGGGGTCAGCAATTGGAAAGTACAAAATATTTGGGTAGAATACCGATAAGTATGAATTTTAATGTAAATTTCTTGTTTTGGCCATGTTTGACGAGACATAATTATATGTTCCCGACATACAAATTTCATAAAACTTCGTTTAAGATGACTTCACAATATGTTGTTTTAGGGTATCTTACTTAAAAGTGGGGCCAGCAATCGGAAAGTACAAAAAATTTGGGTAGAATACCGATAATTATGAATTTAAATGTAAATTTCTTGTTTTGGCCATGTTTGACGATATATTATTATATGTTCCCGACATACAAATTTTATAAAACTTGGTTCGGGATGACTTCATAATATGTTCTTTTAGGATATCGTAATGTAAAGAGGGGCCGGCAACCGTAATGTACAGAATTTTGGGGTATAATACCTAAGTTTAAAAATTTTGATATAATTTCCTTGTTTGGGCCATGTTTGAGAGGAATTTATGACATGTTCCCGACATACAATTTTTGTAAAACTTGGTTCGAGATTACTTCACATTATGTTCATTCAAGATATTTTATTTAAATGTGGGGCCGGCAATTGTAAAGTACAGAATTTTGGGGTATAATACCGTTATTTAAGAATTTTGATATAATTTCTTTGTTTGGGCCAATTTTTGACATGTTCCCGACATACAATTTTTGTAAAACTTGGTTCGAGATTACTTCACAATATGTCAATACAAGATATTTTATTTAAATGTGGGGCTGGCAATCGTAAAGTAAAGAATTTTGAGGTATAATACCTATGTTTAAGAATTTTGATATAATTTCCTTGTTTGGGCCATGTTTGAGAGAAATTTATGACATGTTCCCGACATACAATTTTTGTAAAACTTGGTTCTAGATTATTTCTCAATATGTTCTTTCAAGATATCTTTTTTAAATATGGGGCCGGCAATCGTAAAGTACATAATTTTGGGGTAAAATACCGTTATTCAGGAATTTTAATATAATTTCTTTGTTTAGGCCAATTTTTGACATGTTCCCGACATACAATTTTTATAAAACTTGGTTCGAGATGACTTCACAATATGTTCTTTCTGCAAACCTTACTTAAAATTGAGGCCGGATCTTGTAAAGTACAAATTTTCTGGGTAGAATACCCATATTTATGAATTTGAATGTAAATTTTATATTTGACAGGAATTTATGACGTGTTCCCGACATACAAATTTTGTAAAACTTTGTTCTAGAAGAATTCCCAATTTGTTAATTTGGGATATAATACTTAAAAGTGGGGCCGGCAAACGGAAAGTACAGAATTCCGGGTGGAATACAGAATATTCAAGAATTTGCGTGTAAATATTATGATTAGACCATGTTTGACAAGGTATTACTATATGTTTCCGACGTACAATTTATAGAAAATTTAATCAGAGATCACTTCACTATATGTTCTTTCCAAATAATTTATTTGAAACTGGGGACAGTTATTGGGAAATACAAAATATTATACTAGAATACCGAATTCGCCAAATTTTTCGCTTAAATCTGGCAACTGCATTTCGCCCAACATTCATATATATTTTTCGTCGCACGTTTTATACGCAATGGTAAATTGTTTTCTGGCAACCTTATTTTACCGTTCCAGAAACGAGAGAGATGTCTGCTAGGGTAACTTTGGTCAGTCTATGGCAGGGGTCGGGAACCCATGGCTCGCGAGCCATATATGGCTCTTTTGGTTAAAGCATAAGGTTCCCAGAAAAATATGATATTTCAAAGCTAAGCTTACTATTGTTTCGATTTTTTAAACGATATGGGTATAGCCAAATTTTCCAGAACATGTGCTGATACGTTTCAAAATACCGGTACGCGATCAGCAATTGTCTATACAGCGGTTCCCAAACTATGTGTCGCGACCCACTGGTGGGTCGCAAAAGGAATATTAGTGGGTCGTGAAAAGATGTAGAAAGCTTTGGTTAATTATACTGGTTATTAGGATCGGTGGCGATTCGAAAACGTACCGTAAATCTTCAAAAAAAAACAAAAGAAATTAAATTGAATTTAAATTCTAATCTGTGAAAGTTTCCTTTTTATGATCTTTTCAAAGGAACAAAAATTGTTTTATTTGTAGTCTATTTCCTATACAAAAATCAAGTGACATATATCATAATTGTGATATCACACAATCTTGAATAGTGGTGTGATCTTCACCTTACTGCCTTACCTCAGGCCAATGAACCTTCCTCTCCCACACATTTTAGAATTTATTTTAAGAGGAGGGTTTAATTAAAATCATTTTGAAAATTCAAATTATTATCTTATTTTCAGGCCAGGTCTTATTTTCAAGGAAACACAGTAGTTTTGCGATGAATAGCCATTGCTGTGTTATGTCATGAAAAAACAAAAGAAAATTAAATTAAAGTTAAGTGGGTCGCCATCGCCATGGGCTACAGCCATAAGCTGTGGTAATAAATAGTGGGTCCCGACACTTAAAAGTTTGGGAACCACTGGTCTATGACTCTACATTACTATTTTATGTGCGACAAGTGCTAGACTTGCAATGTGACGAGACAAAGATATTCTTAAACGTATTTGTGACATCACTACAGCACTATGCGATAGAGTTGCGCCGTAAGAAAGAAATGCCTTCAGTCCGTTTGTGCTGTTTATTTGGTATACTAAGCACTGGGGAGATGCCTAGAACAAAGAAAGGCGATGAGTATCGTCGATTCCAACATGTGTTGCATGTTAGCAGTCGTTCAAAGTCCTCAGCGACAACATGCAGCATCAGAAGTCACACTAAAAGTTTATTGATACATTGTATATTATAACTTTTGAGTAAAATACAAGAAAAAGGCTGTGTATTCCTCGCACCAAAATGCAGTTATAAATATGTACCTTTTATGGCTCTCTTGACCAAAACAGAAAAAGGTTCCCGACCCCTGGTCTATGGTATATCATTGGTTTATTGAAGCTATTTCCACTGCTATTAACATTATTTTGATAATTTTGCCAGGTGTGATTGGTATTGGGTATAGAAAAATAGCAATATTCAGATATTGGAGAAAGATGGGACTGGAAGAAGACTCTCATCGCAGTATGATGTCATATTTGCGTCAAGCTGATGAAACATTCAGGAATGGTTTTGAAACAGAGGAAATGAAGCAAATTTTTCTGAAAAATACTTTTGAAGGAATATCTGGAAGTGAAATATCATTCTGCATGCAAAAATCATTCAGTTTTGTTTTGGAACAGATGATAAAAGAATCTGAGTTTGAAACTGTTCTGAATTTTTATTTCACGATAAAAAATGATTGGTTGCAAATTGCTAATAATCAAGCTGGTTGTCACGTGTTACAGGCTGCAGCAGAATGCCTGGTTAGGAGTCTCCCCAAATCAAAAACTTTATCTACAGATGTTGCTGATAAATTATCATCTTTCAATGATATTATTGATATTTCCGCAGAGTCGTTATGCTCTGTGATGGAAGGTATCCATTCTACTCATGCATTACGGTCACATGTACAAATGCTAGGAGGTTTTGTACTCTCGCGTACTAAAGCATCTTCAAAAACTAAAGAAGTGAAACTACCAAAAGAAAATGTTCCCAAAGGATATTTGAAAACACTACAAACGATTTGTAGATGTTTATGTGAAATAAATAAACAAAAATTTGTCACTTATTTAAGTAACCCACATGTTGGACCATTTATCTCTTGTCTGTTTGAGGTAGTTAGCAAACGAGATGTTCCAAAAACTCTTCGCCGCCTTTGCAAAAAAATTATGTCTTGTAGCGAGGGAGATACAGCAAAAACCACTCTTCTATTATTAATAAAGGATAAACTGGCAAGTCATGTTTTAGAAACTGTTTTGGAATTTGGAACAGAGGACGCCAAGAAAGAAATTTGTGATTTGCTGTTCGAGGATAACAAAAGATTTTTTGATCTCTGTGCACATCCTGCTGCCAATTTTGTCATTCAAAGACTAATAACATCTGCTAAAAATGATGTCGAATTCAATAAGATTTTCGAGTTTATTTCATGTGGATTAGAGGATATACTTGCAGGACAAAATTATGGAATTGTACAAAAACTTTGTGAACAATGTGTTCAGTTTACAGATAGCCAGAAAACATTCTGGGATAAATTATTAGAGGCATTTCATTGTGAAGATGCAAACCAACGTACTTTCGTAGTCTTATTTTTAGCATCTTTAAAAACATGTGATGCTTACTACAAATCTGATACACAAGAGGAAAAACTAATTCCTCCTATAGAAAAAGTGGAATATCACGGTTCTATTTTATTACAGACATTATTGAAATTTAAAAATGTTGGTTTAATTGTAAAAAGCATGTGTGAAATTTCTATTGAAAACATTATAACATTATCATGTGACAGTAGTGGTAGTCACTTCATAGATGCTTTTTACGCATCAGATAAAGTGAAACCGAAAAAGAAAAAAGAGTTCGTTGAAAAAATTGGTAAAGAGTTGGTCAGTCTTGCTTGTGATAAATATGGAAGTAGAGTTTTGGAAAATATATGGGATAACTCCGATATTGTTATTAAAAGGTTAATTGCTGGGAATTTAGCACAAAATTCCCCTCAGCTCTCTGCCAATGATTATGGGAAATTCATTCTGAAAAAGTTTGATATAAAGAATTTCACCACAAGATTACAGGAATGGGAACAGTTTCAAAAGAAGAAAAGTAACAAAAGAAAATTATTTGCTGGTATTGCATCAGGCACAAAACATCAGAAAAAGAAAAAAATTAATTCTTTCTCGAATCATTGAGTGTCAAATCATTGATTAACAGTTGGTGTTGCGGTGGCAAACATCTATTTATTAAACTTTTGTGGAAAATATAAGTTTTACAATGGATATTCTAAAATCAGTGACATTATTAAACAGTCATAGACCTAAATTTGATGATATAATATGTAAAGTTTCCTATTCAGCAATTCAGAATTTAGTGATTGATGCCTGTAGTATTTTTGATTGTCAAAAATTATACTGTAATTGTACTTCATTCAATTATTTTTTAATGGAAATCCCATAAGTTTATTGTTTGGTCATGATTAACCCGAAAACTTGACACAAGTGAAATCAAAATGAGGTATCAGTGTGTTCAAATTTGAATACTAAATATCAAAGTTGTCAAAACCTATTTTTGAGTATTCAAATAAATTTAGTATAGTAAATTCTTGGATGTAAGCGATTCTTAGAAAAAAATTCGGACCTCCAGAAGTATGTGCACCAAGATGGCGCACAACCTGAACATAGTATGTGTACCAGGTTAGAATTCAGGTTGTGCGCCATCTTGGTGTATATACTTTGGAAGCGCCAAAAATTCATTTTGAGCTATTGATACCTGAAATTTGTTTTAGTAATACAGTACTTGCAAAAGTATAGAAAAACGATCAGAACAATTTTCATCTTCACTTCTTTCTATTATAAATATTCAATGGAATACACAAAGACAACTTGGAAATATACCAGTAATCAAAAGAGTCCCAACAACTTTCATTTATTTCATTACTGTAATTTAATGAGAATATCAGTTCTGTTTTCATCATATTTGTGTCTCTGATTTACAATTCTTTGGCTGTCTTATTTTCCGTTCAAAGCATAGTTTCCAATTTTAATAGCTACAACCCTTTAATAAAAAACTTCTGGATGTCACAGGCTTTTCGTGTTGTCCATTAGGTATTCATATATCGCGTGATAGTGATAAAATATGCTGGTTTCTCTATGATATTTTTGACTGCTTTTTCTTAAATCAGGTAATAGCATTATGCTATATAGAAAATGTCCATCACTGCTCATGTACTGTGGGCCGACATTATCTCAATGTTTTCAATTCCGATTTCTACAAACTCCAGTGGAGAGAAGTAGAGGTAGATCCAATGTAAAAATCCCCAGAAAGAAGACCTGGTCTAACATCGCTGTCCTTCAATCACTGAATGAATCGATAAAAATGAATCCTGAGAAAAATCAGTATTACCCATTATCGTCTGCGGATTTTGCTCCGAATACACATCTGGAGGATGTAAAAATGTTGAAATCAATGGACAATGCTAAAAATGTTGTACAGTTTGTGAAAACCGAATTACCAGATTATACGGACTTACAATGGCCTGGATCTGAAGTGTCTGGCCTGGATCGGAAGTCTGCTGTACCTGGGATCCCTGATACTACTCGCATCACAGAAGATCCTACTTTCGAAAAGTTGGAAAAATATCTAAATGAAAAAGATTGGAAAGAGTTTGGTATTGAATTCAAGTCATTAATGGAAAATGGAGATAAAATTCCTCAAGGACTGACTGAAAAAATTGTTGGTATTATTTCCTTTACTGTGAAACAGTCTGGAAAATTTGATAGTGATGATTTGCTTAAATCTTATTCACTCGTCATAGACAGTTTTTGCAGTTCGAACAAATACAGCAAATATATGGCATGTGTAGTATTACGCAAACAATCTTTCACTGGCAGGTTGTGGGAAGTACGTGATTTTTCAAATTTTCTTTTAAAAAATAATCATGTAGTTGATGGAAAAACAGCAGATATGCTTTTATCCTGCTGCTCATACCATGGTACTCGTGACCCTATTGCTGATGATTTGATACATAAGAATTTCGGTAATGAGCCGTCAACAACAAGCATTTTACATACTTCAGAGGCTTTCTATGAAAAGATGCCTAAAAAAGAAAGATTGGAATTATGGGGACAGTGCATAAGAGAAATGGAGATTTGTAATGTTAAGCCTGATATGAGTGTCTATGCAAAAATGCTCAATTATGCCCTTCGATTTCTCAAGGACAGTGATATTGTTTATGCCCTAATTAGTATCATTCGTGATGCTAAGGTTGGAGATTTTGACTTTGTACCTTGCATGCATAACGCAATGAACTTTGCTATAGATAACAAACATTTGGATCTTGCCGCACAAGTGTACGAAACTGTGAATAAGTTACAACAGCGCAGTGGATCTTCCTATACGATTCACTCAGCCTTTTATGTCAGATATGTTTCTCTATTGGCTCAAATTGGCACATTGGAAAATTTTTTTGTTGTTGCTTCTCATCTATTCAAGCAGAGAAAGTTTTTGCCTTGGAAGTTAATGGATGGAATTGTTCAATCATGTGTGGAACGCAATTGGCCTGAAGTGTTACCATTTCTTTTTTCTATGTCTTACACTTCTACTACTTCATTAGATTATTATTCCGAGTGGTTTGCAGCTGCGATTTACCTCATAGATGGGGCAGATTCTGACACCATTACACAATTCAAAAATATAGCCATCCTTGTGAGCAAAAATAATCGGATACTTTCAGTGAATCATTTGAATACTATTTGCCTGTTGGTAGCCAAATCTCGGGATGAAATTGCTCTCAAGAGTTTGCTATTTGACATCAAAAGAAACCATCGTACCAATATCTTGGATGCTTCCACAATAGAAGAGTGCAAGAACACACTTGGTGAAAATAGTAGAACTTTGAATAAATGGTTGGAAAAATGATATGTGAAATGACTTTTTTAGTTGTTTGTTCTCTCATAAATTCTTCGTGATTTTACGTGAACCCCCGACCTTTCGTTTTATTACCACGGGATATGGGAGCAGGTAATTGTTTCGTTTCGGATAATACATCGGTATTCCATCCAATCGAAAGATGAGAACCTTATCAAAAATATATGCCATTCGAAACGATGGTTGGTTACTTCCAATCGATTGATTACATTTATTTAATCCAGCAGGCATCTTTCGAGTCTCCGCCATCTTGATTTGTCATCCAACCATCGTCGGCCAAAACCGTTACTAGCTAGCTAGAATTAAGCTTTTTCGTCTAGATATGTTAGGATAATTTCGCGGAAAGATTCGTATCCCCTCGATGGCGAACATACAACGGATGCAATATAATTTTAATATAGAGGCCCTGAGGATTTGTAATAATGATTATCGAGGGTCTTTTGTTCACAACGCTCAAGATAAGAAATTCAGTTAGGAATGCAGATAGCGCTGGTTAAATCATTACACCCCCAACTGGTTAATTACTAATTCTTGTATAAAAACATGGCGGGAGTGTTTTTTCTCGAAGCACACATCTTTGCAACAGTGGCGTGGGCTTTGTACAAAAGAATCATTATCGGTAGTAGTAATTCTATGGATTGGTCACCGATGAGATGATAAAATTAGTTTTATGCTCGATTTCATTTAGGTTTCATGCCGACAGAGAAAGATTTTTAAATATTCCTTCGATATTCTTATGACTCGCTCGAAAGATTCATTAAACAAATGAGGCAATTGAGTTCACAAATTTCCATAATGACTTCAAACAAGAGAATGCAAAGATACGAATGCAGATGTTTACTTTTGGTATACAAAAACAATTCGGCGACGGAGTTATGGTTTAAGCCAAAAGTACACGGAATTGGGATATGCAGCAGAAAATAACGTTTGATTGCGTATTTTAGCGTCAAGTGTTTAGATATTGAGTATTTATTTTGTTCAGCACCAAAATTAGGATAATACTTTCATCTTTTTTTAGTACAATGCCCTAAGCCCCTAATCATGTAATTTTGACATCTATATTTCGCCCATGGGGTGTAGACAGTTTACTATTTCGTATCATCTGATAATAAAAGTTTATTAAAAAGAATTACGAAGAAGAAAATGAATGACATGAGAGCATCATTCCGTGTCGTGATCGTCTGCTGTATCTTCGTCCTCTTCCGTGCAGTCCATATCTTCGTCAAAAAAGTCATCCATATCCACCGAACTTTCACCTCCGGCGGCGATCGTCGTTTTTACGCAGTATTCTTCGACGGTTGATGGAACGCGAACGCCGTCTTTTGTGGCTTCTTTTTGACTTTCTCGAACCTGTGACAATTTACTTATTCAGGGATGCAAATATTATTCGATCCAATTGGGTTAGAATCTCACAAATGTGCATAAAAACACCAAATAATAAGGATATAATAATGGATGACAGGGGCATTCTACATACCAAAATAAGGAAAGAAAGTTTGAATTGCATTTTTTTTTATCAATTCGTGTTTGAAACTGAGCATGTCAACCATTTTCCCAGTTCTTACGCCCTCTATTGATGTATATATATGCAGTCAATTCATTTCAAGCATGATTACATTTTACTTCCTAGTTAATCTAAAGCAAATTAGCTAAAGGGGAGAATTGGATAAATACGTTTTGGTAGTAGCAACTTCACTAATTTTAGTTTACCCGACACGAAATTGTGATATGAAGTATATATACCGAGTCCACGAGATGCATTTTCAATTGCACAACGAACTTGCCATTTGCAGGAATTGGCTTGTACGCATCTCTGGTTGCATACTAAGTTTAACTAAGACAAAACAAAACCTGTTGTTTCACGATTTCTTCATATTTATTATTTTTTAGTTCTCTCCAATCTCTGAACATCACGGATGCATCCACGTTGGCTGGAGAAAATGTGTTAGGCTCGTTCAATAGAGATATGACGCTTAGAAGAACAGTTCGAACGTTCTGTGTTGGGTTCCATCGCTCCTGGGGCAGCTCTCCACCTTGAGGATCATCAATAGGAGGATGCAGTATTGAAATGCAGACCTGTAGAAAAAATCAGAAATCACCAAATAAAAATTTGACAATGGAAACACTATGCTATCCCAGTCAAAATTTGGAAAAGCAAAATAATATCAAGTTCACGTCCGTAATTTTATAACGTATTTAAGGTATTGAGAATCTTATGCGACGGTAGTGACTTTTAATATGCCTACTCCAGATCGGAAAAGTCAGGACTGTAAATGGCGGTTACCGCTATATAAACTTGAGTTGTGTTACTTAATCACTTTATCTGAAATCGATAATATTGAAAAATCTACTTTGCAGATCGCCGGCAAATTTCAGTTTCAACAGCTTGCGTAATATAATAATAGTGAAATGTTGAATCTTACCTCACCATTAGAATAAACGTTCGGGTGCCATATATTCGATAAAAATCGAAAGGTTGGGGGAGAGTAAGGATAATCTCCAGGAAACCTCAGATGTGCTTTGAAGTATCCGCCCTGATACAATGTACCGGGTGGCCCAAAAATGGCTACTTGCCAGTCGTAGAGATTGTTTTCATCAACAAGGGTTATCTTAAAACCTTCCACTGGCTCTTCTTGGATACTACGTAATTCTTTTGCAAGGGCCTTCGCGGAGCTTGCCATAGGAAGCGCCATAATAAGGAATTGCTTGCTATTGCAATTCCGTAGGCACCCAATTCGATGGTAAAACTGAATGCGAGTTTTTAGCAAATGTTATTAAAAAAACTCGATCTTTCAATGACAATAACCATTGTTACAAAATAATGCGCCAATTAATTTTGGAGAAATTGATACTAATTCCCCAGTATATTAGGAAATCGAGAATTAGTCAGTCCCAAACTCACATATTTGTAATGTAATGTTTGTGGAGTAATTATTAAAAAAGAACCACTACACCCACTAATGAATCTATGTAAAATGTTATTGCTGAAAGTACCGTATTTGTGCTTCATTTTTCAGTTCTATATTTATATCAGATTTTAGTACAATGTGACTTCAAAAGTCTTGTCCAAGAATATGCCGTACTATGCTAAATATCAATCGCTATCGCTAACATTGATTCTCAAAAATTTTTTTGGACGTTTTCCATTTTTCAGAACTTTGCTTAACAGCAGAAATAACACGATTTTCTTTTTACAACAGTTTTTACACGGGTGAAATTTGATTCCTCTTGTTACGTCACAATGACACAAATATCTACCAAACTGATAGCGACAAATTTGCCTCTTGAAGAAAATAATTACGCTGCGCCGTAAACACGAAAAAAACGGTTATGTCTTTGGGAGCAGAAATTTTGACACGTTTAAAATATGAAACATATTCCTTTTAAAGTATGTGCCCCGAGAAACAATTTATGTATAAAAAAAGGTTGTAGTTTTTTTGGCGATAGTTTTTTTTGCTACATTTCTATTTTATAAGTTGTTCGGTGTAGTCGGAAAAGTAGTAAGATGACTCATACATCGTGTCTCCTCCGATGTGATGGTTGGTAATCTTAACCACAATACAATAATTTACTGAAATTGTTTTTGCGTGTCATGCGATGTAGACCTCTATATCTAAATTGGATTATTAGTCATCTTCAATGTATTTGTATGAATGCCAGTCAATACTGCGGATTGTGTTACAATTTTACGTATGAATCCGACGAATCGCTTCTGGCACTTTTGGATATGAATATAAAATTGTTAAATAAAGTTGGTACGTGTCAGAACATATCAAATTACGCTGGCGAATACTATGAAGCAATCAACGTATTTTTGTATTCTCGTTGTTCCGTTCGTTGCGCTGATGCCGTACTGTACTATATCAACAAGTGAAGGTATGTAATGTTTTTGCTACACGCAACGCAAGATTAGTGGTAAATTCACAGAAATTGAATTTAAACCACAAGTAATTGTTTGGGGACGTTTGATGGTAAAATATGACATTGTGAGATTATGTGATCTTTCGGGCATTAGGAATCCATGAATTCACGTTTTTAAACGCGTAGTAAACATGAGCAAAAATATCATAATATGTCCATGATGTTATCAATCACTTCATCGTACAAGGTTGTGCAAAACGTGCCTGGATGAGCTTTTGAGTTTCAATGGGAAACATGATTATAGAATATGTGTAAGCAGTTAGTGAAAAATGCATCAGCTCCGTTTCTTCTGTATTCGACACTCATGGAAAATGCATGTTATCCAAAAAGTTGTACGAGAAATGTATGTAGCATACATAAATGCAGCTATAAATACATGCTTAAATCTCCAGTTGATTCAAATGGCTGTAGGCCATTTATTCGTAACCACAAAGTAACTGTCATTCACAAAGTATACTTCAAGTTTTCCTACATTTAGTAGCTTTTAATTTCATGTGATATATCTTTTCAGAAATAAAATCGCTTATCATACCAACGGAACGAACAATCGATTCAAAATTAAATATTTTTTAATTTTTGAATCTCCTTGGAGTTCTGTGGAACCCAGTATTTTGCCTAGTTTTTTTGTTTTAATTTAATGGGAACACTTTTTATATCGCTTGACCGCCGATCTTTTCAGCAAACCTTTTGCTCAGCCTTCCCGAACTGAAGCACGACTTTCGTATCCATATATTTGATCATTGCTCTCTCTTATTTCTTGTAATTTCCATACGGCGAATATGATATTTCAATATCTGTTATTCTTAATTTGTATTTAGAACCACGCCCACTCGACGCCTCAAAAGTTATTATTTATCCTACAGCTACTGGAGAAGCTTGCTCTAAGAAAAAGGAAGGTGTGTGATTTCAAGTATAAATTGAAATTACGACTTGGTTATGCAAATTTTTCTTCTCATTCGATATAGTTCGAAAATCGTTTATCAGTAGTGCATTCTGCAGAATGAAGGGTAATAGCTGTGCTCAGTTTGGTTATAAAGTAATACAGCAGCCTACCTATTGCGTATATGAAGTGAGTTATAGTAATCGCATGATCATGAGTAATATTTCAACTTTATAATTAAAATAAATTCATTAAAATAATTCGAAACGTAGTATATTTTAAATTGATAATCTTGTTTAATATCGACTAAATTTACGCTTTGCTACAGGAATAACTGTCTACAGCTCTCGCAATATTACAATATCATCTGATAAACCAAAAAAAATAGCTTTTCGAATTCCTAAGAATTGGAAACCAGGAGAATACATATGCAATTGGAACATCAATATAGTACGTGGATCAGAAGATAAGGAACGTGGACCAAAACGCCAAGTCCGATTGTATTTTCGCCGAGTATTCATAGGAAACAGAGATGAAAATAAATTTTTCTCACCATGTGATGACGAATTAACAATTAAAACTGAATTCAATTACGCTCTGCTACCTGATAACGATTTATGTGGGTGAGTGAAAACACAAGGTTCTTCAGTTAGGGTGTGTAGTATTTTTCATCACCCGTTCTCAGTTACAACAGCTTTCCATAAAATCGGAATGTGTTCTTTACAATCTTGTTGCTTGAGAGCATTGCCGTCCAGCTAATTCGCGCTATCCTAAACTGTCTTTCTCAATACTGCTTACTATAAATATTTCGATTGTGATATTGCAGAATATAGTGGTTTATTGTGACAATCATGATTTATCTTACTTATGGGTCCCATTAAATTTACGTTACCATATCATATACAATATAACAGAAAGTACATACAGAATAAACAGTAGCGCGCTTGAGCTGGCTCCTCAACGTATCCCAACATAGTATATTGTAATTATTTCTTATCAGTCATTATTATTTACTGATAATCATTATTATCCCGTGTTTCATTCAGACTTGATAACGGATGGGGAAGAAAAACTGGCAGCGAAAATGCAACCATGTCTCTAAAAGTTTTTGTCAAAGAAAATGAGAATGAAAATAAAACAAGAACATCGTTTGTTGCTTTTGCTTACTCGATACCAAATTATAATCGACCTATGCATTTTCTGGTAAGGGATATTATACAAAGGCCAGGGCAAAACAAATATGTACTGGGGGCCAATTTTACGTGGGAAGAAGCCCGTAGTTTTTGCATGGATTATGCTGAAGGATGGGATCTTTGTAAAAGAGAATTTGTTTGTGAATCTACTCAAGAATATTATCTCAAAAATTTAGATATGCAGTACTTTCCTGTAGTTGATGATCATAACTATTGGGAAGAACTGCAACCGAAGAACTGCCACAACAACATACACTATTGGTATGGGCCACCCGTGTGGGGATTGGATAAACGAGAGTGCCCAAAGGAAGGATGTGAAGCAAAAGCGCACATTTTTTGTTGTCCTTACAAGAAACCAATAAAGTACAATTCGCCGAGGAAGCAAAGAATTTTTGTGAAGTCATATATTGATGAATCGCAAAATTATTACTATAGGTTTACTGATGCTCCGGATATATATGAGTACGAATATGACGATAAAAACTGGGAAGCAGATTGGAAAACTACTGGACGACTTTCTGGAGATGTCGTGATGTTTGAACTTTTTAGTCAATACTCCGAAAAAGCCTCTGTTCCACTGTATTTCTGTTCCAAGTATGAAGACGGATCTAACTTGCGAAGCTATAGATACTTGATTTCTAGGGTGCCATGTAAAAGTCCTTGGGAACACAAATTTCATGCCTACACGAGTTTAACACCACAAGATGGCTTCAAACGTTTGTACTTTGGGCAATCAAACAGAGGTATTTTTTGTTAAAATTAGGAATATTTATTTTCATAATTTCAAAATTTGGACAATCATATAATGCAAACAAAAGGCTAAAAATGATTTTGCTAAAAATCATTTTGATTGGTCTATAAATTCCCTAACTCACGAACAAAAATAAATTCTTTTAGCAATGGGTATGTTTTTCAGATGGCGGAACTCGAGTTTCCTTAACACCATTTTGTTGTGGGTTTAACAAAACTGAAGGAAGCTTTGAAGCATATGGAATGGTTCGAAAAAAATGGATTGCCAATGTGCCGTCGGAAAAATGTCTCGATCAGAATATACACTCGGGACTTTCGGGCGTGATAAAGTCCCCAATGTATCCAAAACACTATGATTTTCATACTACGTGCAACTGGAGGATCCGCGTCTCGCATGGAAGTCGTGTTTTGTTGCAGTTTTCACAGATGGAACTTCCAGAATTTGATAAAATGTGTTGGTGAGTGAATGAATACATCGAAGTATCCACAAATGAATTTACTTTTTGTGTTAAATACATGCATAATTCATATCTGATGCATTCAATTGCACTATATGCTCTTCATTGTTATGAAGATTTAAAAGTTAAAGTGGGTTTGGAAACGCTTGATCCTAAAATAAAAAAACACTCGGCTGTCAACATGGTGAATATAATGACTATGGTACACGAGAATCTCATATTTCACATTTTAACCGTTGTATTTTTGAGTTTTCTAAGTTTAATTTTGTAGTGGCCTAATTGTATTTCTGGTTTTAATTAGATTTGTTTTTTGTACTACAGTATAGCTATAATAAAGGTGAAAGTTTATTAAAAACTATGAGACGCTATTTTACTTAGTCACGTGTCACGAAATTAGCCTTGTATTTGTTTCCGGAACTCATTTACAATAAAATGGATGCATTGAGAGTGAATAATATATCTCGTATTATTTGTGCTAAATATGAATGTTATTTTTATGGTTTCAAAACCCAAAATCCATAAATATTTATTGTTAAACCATAAAGAACCCAAATTTCAATAAGCAAATTTTGCACTATATATATTATGAGAAAAGTGCAGTTCATTCAACTACCACTTTCTATGAAGCAGTTTTTGTGATTTATAGGACCACTTACTTGGAGATCACTGATTCAAAAAGGAGTTACGGCAAAGTATGTGCAAACAGTCTGCCAGAAGAATTCATTAGCTATTCAAACGAGTTGAATGTTCATTTAGTGAGTGAAAAGGGCAAAGGACGCTTCATTTTTAATTACACAGAAGTATCTTCCCAAAAATCAGAACCTTTGAGATTGGAGCTTCCAAGCAATGAAGCAACTTGGTCAGCAGCAAAAATGTTGTGTGAATCAAATAAAAAGTCGTTATGCAGGTAAGATTGAATGTATCTACAATATAACTTCAAATCAAATTAAAAAAGTTTCATAGGTATAGACTATGAAACACAAGCTATATAAAAAATAAACTACTGACTGACTTATTCTCAGGAAAAGGGATCTGTGTCCTTATGGCATGCCCTTCGGAGGAGAAGCCTCGAATACGACTTGGGTGGCTGTTTCTGATGAATACAACGAGTGGATGAAACTGGGTCCGTATGACGTTTGTAAATCATACGTGAAAACCTACGGTCCGCCTGGATGGGGTGAAAAAGTCATAGAGGACTGTGAACCGTTGTATTATGATGGCGAAACGGACGAATGTCTCCTTAGTCGCAAAGTTGTATTTTGTTGCGATCGACCAGAGGGTGAATCAGAGGAAGATTTGCTCGAATCGGTTCGTGTGAATGTCGGGTATGCAAAATGGCAGGATAATCTTGTTTACTTTTTTCAAAGAGGCAACGTTTGGGAATCTCCAGAATACCTGGCTAGAGTGGGTGATGGATATGATTACTATCACGACTGGGATTACTATGGTGAAAGAGAAAAGGTGTACCCTTATAAGCTTATCAGTGAAAATACAAACGCAAGACCAGGCACAGTCGATTACTTCATCATGTCAGCCAATTACGAAGAAACCTATTTTAACCAGGTTGGTATTTTTATCAATTACGTAGTTGGTGCAACATTGGTAGTCGCATATGAAATGAATAGTAATTAGGCGCCATCCACTGCAGGAGAGAATATTGCAGCTAGGCCCAGGTCTTGTTTCGCTTGTACAATAGGCGCTAAATCCGCGTTTCAGACAAGCTTCGAGGCTTGGAACAATATTGTATTAACAAGCAGCATCTTACAAAAACCTTTCCTCCTGATAGTATATATATATATATATATATTATCATTTTTTTACTTAGACAATAGTATATAACCGTATTAAATGGCATCTATGTTTAGGAATTTATTTTTATTTTTTATATGAATTTATTTACTCACGTCTTTGTTACTACAAAAATAGGTTATTTATTTCTGCTGGAAAGAGGGATCAATACACAGCGAAATAAGAAGGATTTACAAAATGAGTATGAATAGTTGTGAAGCAGAAGACGACTGGAAATTCGACTTCTTTTTGTACGCAGGCCGCAATAAATCAGAGAAGACACCGACTGCTTTACACATAGGCCTAACAAACTCAACGACTGGCTCCTTTTGCTGTGAAAATAATGCACACAATTTTACCATTTTTGTTATTTCTTCCTCAAATGCTTAAAACTGGAATATTTTTGATATTATTTACTTTACGATTGAGAAAACGTTTTAGGCCATACTTATGCAGAATGATTATACAAATAATTAATTATTCGATTATCATATCAATTCTGAAGTGTAATAAAAATTACATTATACCTCTGTAGGAGTTTTGTTTTCAAATACTCGGGTATGATAATTGACGCAATATAGGCTACATGAATTTAGAACTATTGTGTAGCCGTCATCATCGCCTATTAGTATGTCAAAACCATGTATATCATATGCATGGTCAAAACAGGCTTGATTTATTTATCTTGTCCACAGACCGTGGATGATTGTCATGTCGACAATATGATTTGCGTTCCGACGGAATGTGGAATGATTTTTTAGGAGGCGCGTTCACTACAAACAAGGTTCTGTAAGTACCAAATTAAGTCAAAGATTAAGAAAAATGAGGTAGTCAAATGAGCATGTTTGTAATTTATATAGGATCCGGGAATTATCATCTAATTTTTACCACTTTTGTAGAGTCTGAACTAGGGCAAAATTCATTAACCGTACTGAATTCAGACGTGCAAACCCATGTAGGGTAAGCAGAGGTGCGATACGATAGCATGTGTCTATTCCTCAATCCTCAGCAAAAGAGGGTAGCATCACGTTCAACTCACAGCGTTTCTGGTAAAAATTCAAGTGCGAAAATACGATTGAGAATTTCTATAGGTACCATACCGTATTATATATACCGTATATATATATTTGTCTGCACTTAGCTGAAATACAAATCATGCAATCGTAATCTATTATAAATTATTTTAACCAAAATCGGAATTCAAATTTTATGTGAATACGCTCGCCACCGCACCTCTAATTACTCTAATTACTCCGGCCTCTCGTCCGGTTACCATTCCAAGTCGGGTATGGGATTAGTTATATTGTTTGTTTTCGGAAGCATGGACTTGGTGGTGGAGGAAGCCGTAACCGACCAGCGGTTACGTGAACCACCCAACGACGCGAGGAGTCCAGCGATCCTCTCGCACATAACCATCCCTGCATGGGATTCGAACCTGCGAACCCACGCAGACATAACTCATAATGTTGACTCAACATAACTCATAATGTTGACTCTCCGTGGTACCACGGGCGTTAAGCACAGAGAGAGAGAGATGGTTAATTCATTTTGTCAAACCAAGAAAACAATTTATGCACACATAAGCAAATATCAAAAAAATAGTTTTCGGTATATGACTGGGCGGCAACGATACGACCTTTGGGGGTCATCAGAGTCAGTTGCCACCCAATTATATTAAATAAGCATAAAAATAACAGATTCGTGTCAATATATCAATGTCTCTCACGATTTATAGTATGTACAATATTTACATGAATTTACTATTTTCAATTATGGAAGCATTCTTTTAAATAATAATTTTGCACAAATTAAAATTATATTGCAAAAAATAAAATGATCGAAACGAAAAAAAGTGGGAAAGCAGGTCAGACAAACTACCCCTTATTTGGGTAACTTGTTTTATTGAATGAATTTAAGTTAAACATATCAAGTGGGATTTTGAACAAGCAAATAGGGGTAGAGTTCTATTCTACATACACTAGTGCAATGTAATCAGAAGCATGGGTTGAGTCATCGAAACAAATTAGAATTTGGTTTAAACAACAAAAAAATGCATTTCAAAAATGCAATACATGGTAAAGTTTGTATAAACAAACAATCGATATTAAAATATCAAGAAAGTTAATGCAAAAACAAAACAGTTGACTCAATGTAGGAATAAATAAGCGTATAGAATAAAAAACAGCTGAAAGAAAAAACCCGTTACAAATGAAATAGATATTATTACTTTATTATTACGATGACTGCTATATTATTTTGGTTGACAAAATAATAAATCTCTCTCTCTGTATATATATATTATAGAACAGTGGGGGACACAAGTGTGGGGTCTTATGTAGTTTCGTACCTATCATACTTCTGGTGGGCGTATAGTGACAATATTTGCACGTGTCAATCCTAACCCCCACATGACCATGCCATCCAAAAATTACGTCTCTACGACGTCACAGTGACGTGAAAGAGCCCTTCAAACTATACGAACTGTCATTCAAGACGCGCTCGTCTGCACACCTGAAATCGAACGGCTACTTCTCTCGTTTTTTCGTCTCGACGATCCCAATATGAGAGAGATCGCTGACTTTAGTAAGTTCTTTATCGTCGGAGCCGATGCCATTTCGGGCGATCGTACGTTTATTTGACAAGTTCTATGACAGTATGACGTGATTGTGATGTCGCAGTGACGTGATTTTTGGATGGTATAGTGGGGGGTAGGATTGATATGTCAAAAAAATGTGATGCTACGCCCACTAGAAGTACTGAAGTATGTTAGGTATGAAACTACACGAGACCTCAAGTGTGGAGACTTGAGAGTCTTGGCCGCCGATCCATGGAAGTTTGATAACTAGAGATTGGATTTGTTTGCTAGTTTTCGAATAACAGATTTGACATGGGTTACATACGGTAATCGTGCTTGAGCCTCTGTCTGACTGTGGTTGTTGTTTTGCTTAAGCCCCTACGTTTCCCCAATTGCATATAGGTTAATTTTGCGATTCTGGATGAAATAATAATAGTATACAGATATAGTGACGCATTTATAATTAATTCTGCAGGTAAAAAGTTAGGTATTTGACTCAGGCGAGTTGACAGTAAATTGGATATTTTCTAGTATAAGTACTCTCGGAGTTTTTGCTTTAAGTTCAAGAGTATTTATAAAAGAAAATGAGGTAAGTTAACTAAATTTCTGAATTTTGTAGTTTGCCAAGTAATTTTGCTAGTTCTTGCCAACTTGAGCAATGCAATAATAATACATTGTTGTTGTTTTTTCTTTAAGTAAAATTGCAGCGTGGAGATATTCAATGCAAAAAATTAGGCTTCGGTTTAAGGTAAGGATTTATGTGCATAAAAATCCGGCATTGTTCAGTTATCGGCAAAAAATATTGAAACATGATTATCGATTTAGTTGTCCACCGATTTGAAGTTTCCCAAATTTAACTTTATTGTATTCTATCTGTAACAAACTTATCATTTGTGTTATATAGACTACTGATTAAAATTTTTCACATTCTGTTTTCTGAATCATAGCCTTCACTCGCCAACTATTGTGCCGCAGAACAACATCACTGCAACTACGAGATCACCTACCAGTCCGACATCAGCAACAGGTTCTGCAGCATCACCTTCCAAGACTCCGATTTCATCTCTTCAGGTCTATTTGTTACTTCCATGATTGGATGGATTCTGTTACTGTTTAATATGAATTTAATCATATATGACTACCACTTTTTGAAATGTTTTGAACTATGTTATTTACAAACTGAAACAAATGTTTCCTATATATTGGATATGCAATCTCAAGATAATAACATGTGAACTGACAAATTTGGAACTTTTTTCCTAAAATTCTCCTCTGTAAGAATTATTACATCTTCCTCATACTGCCATAGCAGGCTTATTTAAATGGAGAACAACTGTCTATGTTACCATTTCATGTTGAGTTTATTTGTTTTAGACCCAGTATATTGTTTGAAGCCAATTATGGTTGATGACTTTTAATATGCGTAATTTTTTGTTGGCACCTTTTTTCTCATTTTTATTTATTGTCATTAAGTGCTAATGAATTTTATTTAGCTTATAAATCTGTACCAAAAGTCTCAGCCTGTATTTCATGAAGATTCTAACTATTGCCATTCATATAACAGGAAATATGTCAGAGAATGGGGAAGACACCTCAATACGATCTGACAGCCATGGAGGGACGGGCTCACCAACCCCAATTTGTGTATCGATGCACAGTTGGTGATATCATGAAGACTGGACAGGGTGGTAGTAAGAAATCAGCTAAACATGCAGCTGCGGAAGCTGTACTTAATTCACTGAAAAATGGTGGGGATGCTGATGAAGGTAAAGTTTCGTTTATGAATCATCCGTTATGAGTTATTATTTCATGAATCTAGAAATTAAGAAATATTAAAAAGACAGGCGATTTATAGTTCAAATTCAAGATTATATAAGCCTAGCTGTTGACGCATCGGACTAAGCGATAATAACATGCCATTTCTGATTACCCTGTATGGGCTTGAATCCTGTGGAAGACAATTATGTGTGAGAGGATTGTTGGATTCTTCTCTTGCATAGGATGGTTGTTAAGGGCTTTCCACCACCATCAAATCCATGTATCCGAAACAATTATCAAATTAATTATGTACATACCAGACATGGGCTGGTAACCAGACGAGAAGCCATGGCTCCATGTGATTGAGTTGTTTTAATGACTTTCCTCTTCCACAGCACAGATATGAAAATCTTATAAAATAATTGAGACTTGTATATGTCATGTAACATAATCAAAGTACCTCGGATGATTGAAGAATTTTGGTTTGTTTTATTTTTACAGCAGAAGATGAATCGCAGAATCAACAAGAAGTTCCTGAACAGAAGATTGAAGAACTATCTTCACAGGAGAGTACTAACCCTGTGGGAACATTACAAGTAAGAGAGTAAATTTCACAGAAAGGGTCTTAAGATTATGGGTCTCGACCCAAGTCTTTGCAAATCCTAAAGTTCGAGTTCCAAGCTGGGCCGAGTCACAAGAGTAAGTTTTATAGCAACATGGATAACTCAATTTTTTGTTTATATTTTCGCAAATTATTCCTGAGTCTCAAGTCAAGTCTCTCGGGTGGTTTGTTAAGTTTTGGGGAAGTGACTCTAGTCTTCGAAAGAGGTGACTTGGAGAATCTCTAACCCTGGTATATGATAATTCTAACATCATTTTGTTCCTTTCTCCCGCCCACAAAGCTCTAAGCATACAATCAATTATTGCCCTTACTTGGTATCTCACTCTGCTCTTTGCATCTTTTTTTCTATTCTGTTCTGTTTTTGAAGGCACCTGTGACTTCACCTTTGGTACAACTGTATAAAAGTAACTCTGAAATTGTTTACGAAATACTGGTAAATAATATTTGTGTAATAAATAGTTAGTATTTGTTGTTTTTTAACGTAAACAAAATAGCATCATAATATGAATAATATTTCAGGAATTGGTTGTGGCTAGAGGGTGGAGGCTTCCAGTATACTCAATGTACGCAGAGTCTGGTCCTGCTCATAAAAAAGAATTCATCATGTGTTGTACAGTGGAATCATTCAAAGAATATGGTAGGTATAACATGTGCATGCTAGATAACACATTAATAGTTACTGAATAACTAGGAAATAAAAATGGGAAAATGAATTGATAAATTGGGTCGAAATTGATTTGCATATTGCTGGACTGCACAAGTAGGCTTGTACAAAGAGTATTCATAGTGATCAACCATGTCTGTCCCGACTATGTGTTTTTCGAAAAAAATGATCATTTTAAAGAGAAGACCCGACCATGGATAGTTTTTAACGTAGTAGTATGTTTTGAGTTCATGATGTTGAACGAGATAAATGTAAAAGCATGTCAAGTGTAGTATGATTTGCACTATCTTCCGTATTTTAGGCAGTGGAACAGCGAAGAAGCATGCAAAAAGGGCAGCAGCGACAAAAATGTATGACAAGATAATGGCATTACCCGCTGATGCTAAACCCCCTCCAGATCACGAAGTGGTAGGTGCTTTATTTGTGGTGGAATTATCATTATGATGCAACGATAATATTTTTACAGGCATAACTTGCTTCATTTAATAAGACCGTTATCTACATATGTCTGATTTTGGGTAATCATTGAGTATTCAACTTGTCTAGCATTAACTAGTTCTACTTTGTTTAGTTTTCGTAGGTTCAAATCCTCAATGATGATTTGAGCCTGGAGGGATGATTATGTATGATAGAATTGCTGTGATCTTAACTGTTATTTTTTGTCATCCAAGTCTATATATTCTGAATGATCAACTCAACTATGATCCATTGCTATTATGACATGTACTGGGAATCTGACTAGAAGCTGTTGTTTGCCATATAATTTTGCAGTATTACTCATTTTTCTATATTGTGAGATATTAGGCAAAATTTTATCCAGCTGGAGCGATCCGACGATATGGGTACAATTTCGTTGCCGTGTTCTGGATTAATCAATTTAACCCATTTGTTCAGAAAGGAAAGCCTGTTTCATTTGATATCCTCTACAATACTAATGGAGATAAAATTCAACCGATGCATCTTGATGATTCTCTGGAAATCAATGTTTGTCAATATCTTCAACAGATTGCTGAACACTCCAACTTTTCTGTTGAATATTATGACATACGTAAGTTATCACAAATCTTTTGTTTATTTTTATGGTGTGGCAAATTAATCAGTGCTCTAGATGTGTGTACTGAAGTTTAACCTGACTACTCCACGTTTTCAATTCTTATTCCAATGTGTTAAAAATGACATTAAATGGTGTGCCATAAAGTGAACTTCTTGATCAAATGTTATAAAAGTTTTACAAATGTACAAGTATTACAAATGCATAACATATGCAAATTATTTGCAGGAGTATACACCAAAGCATTTCATTTAGGGTTATACTATTTTTCTTTTATTTCAGAGGAGTATACATCAAATGGAACGTTCCAATGTATGGCTTTACTCACAACTCAGCCAGCGTTTTCTGTTTCTGGTGTAGGCACGAGCTTTGATGAAGCACATGGAGTTGCAGCGAAAAATGCCATTCGCATGTTGAAGATATTTTTTCAAAGAATGTCAACAAATCGTGAAGGTGTAAAAAAAGAAGCAGGAGAGAAGTAGTTAACAAAGTAGTCCAATGTAGCCTTTTATATTAAATGTTCAATTTTTTTTTTATGTGTGCCATACGGATTTTGAATATTTTTCCTAAGTGTTAAATTTTTATTTTTAAATGAAATAACTGAACATATCTTCAATGTATCAATTTTTGTCACCCATTAACTACATGTGAAGTATATACTCGACATTTTTAGATTCAATTAGATTTTAGATTTCAAAATCGAGTAACCGTGAATTGAAAATGACAATCAATTATTAATGAATCATGTTGATGCTGCGAAAGTTCCGAGTTTTTTAATGTATATACATATATATTTTTCTTATGTGTGTAAATCATGGTGATTAACATTAGTTGAGACACGAATTCATTTTAATAATAAACACTTCGGGGGACTCCGTTATGACTACTAATAAGCATGTTCTTCTTGCTTGCAAAAAATACTATTGCGATGTGTTCGTTATGGAATTTACAATCATGTTTATGGATATCTCAATCAATCGTCATTTTTTGGAAATAAACTTGTTACTGTATGTACTGTTGTGTTTTAAACTTCACGGTACTGACGTACTACTAGGGAATATCGGCGTTATATGACAGCATTGGCAGGGTTGATTAGCTTGTACGCCTGAATATGGAAATGCGAAGATTGTTTGTCTTCGGCTAATTCACGTAGACAGTAGAAGAAGAGTATTCTCAAGAAGTCGAGTTCGGCAATAGCTTGTATGTATGTAGATGTAATTTATCAAAATATTATTATTGAAAAGCAGGTAGATAAATATCATGACCAAATTTTAGCAATAAATTCTGCGTGAGAAGCACTGAACTGGAAATATATAAATCTATATACTGTATCTCTGTGGTGGAAAGTTATGAGATACGGTAGCCGCCGAGACATGACCTTTGAACTGAGGCAAGGTAAATTATTTCGTGAAAAGGCATTTCACAAACAACTACGGTAGCCTACTGAGCTACACGTGTTTAGAGATTTGCGTGCGGTAGTTCTGCTATTATTTTTCGCCACTGTGTATTTCTATCATAGAGCTCTTTGGGTATGGAAGGCGAGGACGGAGACACACACATGGACGAAAACGAAGTTAGTGATGTTTATTTGCCGGGAGAGAGCATAAATGACGATGAACAACTTGTTCATGACGAGACTTCATATGTTGTATACCACGAAGCACAGACTGGTAAGAAGCTCATGTACGATATTTATCCTTAGACCAAGTGCAGATTTGTTTGTGAACTACGGTACGAAAGGTTTTGTATAGGCTATACTGCTATATGGATGGGGTATCTGGAATTGTCCATAATTCAGTAATTACAGAATTAGGCTACTATTGGTACTTTTTTCGATTTGCAAAATTCTGAAATTGCTTTATTCGGGAATTATGTAGGTTCTGCAGTTTCTTCTAGTGCTTTATGTTTGTTATTTTGTGTACCTAAAGCTTAAAGAATGCTAAATCACTCATTAGTTAATTAATCTATTCAACATTTGAAATCTTGTAAACTTTTATTCCTGTGTTAATTTTTTTCTTCAGCTCCAATTTCTGAATTTTCTAATTTTACAATATGTGCTGGACGCGGAAGTGAAGGCCATTTGTTTGTTATCTATTTTAATTTGATAATAAAGCCAAATTCATATTTCTGTATTTGATTTCGATGTTACTTTGTTACCCCTACGTTTTCTTAATTTTAAGGCTCTCCATGTCTAAGCTTCGACATAATACAAGATGAACTTGGGGACAATAGGAATGGCTTTCCAATCACAAGTTATGTTGTTTGCGGAACACAAAGCACCCAAAGACCTAATCACGTGATTGTAATGAAAATGAGCAATATGCACCGAACGAAAGAAAGACAGGTGTAATATATCGACACCTCAAAACCAAACAGTGCTAAGTCCACTTTTCCAAAAAATGACATTTTTCAATTGCTGATTTTCCTGGACTTAGCTCTACATTTTGGTCTATTTGCCTTATCTCTAGGTGCACTATATCTCAAGACAGCTATGGACATAATCCTGCTTTTTTAGGGCATTTGAGAACTAAACAGAGCTGTGTCTACTATAGTGGACTTAGCTCTGGATAACTGCATTGTAAGTTGGGGCTAAGTCCGTTTTTTTGGACATAGCTCCTCTCAAAAAATATAATACAAAGCGCTAAGTCCAGACCAGCCTCTATAATAACATAATAAAGGGGCCCTAAGTCCAATAAAATTGTTTCTGGTCCAGAAAATTGAGAGCCAAAAAAGGTTAAGTCCAACCCCCCCCCAAAAAAAAAATTGGGGCGGAGCACAAATTTTTTTATACCATCTAAATAGGGCCTTCATTGTAACTTTGGTGGACCATAAAAACTAGACATCCTCGATGTAAGGTATTAGAGAAATAAAAAAAAAGAAACAAAAAAAAAACGTTTCTCGCGTTATTCTCAAAACTAGAAAAATGGATTTAGCCCAATTTGGATTTCATGCGTCGATATTATATATAGTCGAGCACATGTATCACCCATCATTTAACAAAAGCTATGCTATGCTATAACTAAATCAAATACTCATTTAAAGTGTTGGCCTAGGGATTAATCATTGGACTCGACTACCAGAAGCATAGACAGGGTAGTGGAGGGTCCCCCCCCCTTTTGAAATGTGAAAAAAGCATTTTTCTGTATCATACATCAAATTTTTCGTATCCTTAAACCCTTTACAGACCTTCGAGACTTTTGAAAACCCAGACCCGCTATCTGTTACGGTTGGCAATTAGAAATTTCATAACCCCCTTCTTAAAAATTGATGGCTACACCCCTGTTTACTATCATAGAATGGCGGGCTAAAACTAGTATTCAAATCCCATGCGCAACACCTGACCCAATTGCAGGCTGTACCTAACCGTAAAGATTCTGTAATTTCAAAATGTGGTGGCTTCTCTTCTATCAGCGGTTACTTGTACAAAGCTTCTTCAGCATAAGGGAATTGTAAAAACCTTGTATCAAAAAGTAAAACCAATTTGAAAGCATCACCAGTGGGATGACAACAGCTATGTAGCCTATTTATATAAGGTGACATCTGTTACAAGTCATGTTAAATTATCTACTTTTCCAGTGTCTCATTTTGTGTTGTCATCAAGTGCGTGCGTGACTTGCCATATCAATACTCTCATCTTTTCCATGATATGGTATAGTTATTGAATTTATCTTAAGCATCATGCCCATGTCTGTATAGGAAGTTATGTACATTGTTTTGAATGATACATTTTTGGGTGCTCCAGAAGTAGAGTTAAAACAAAAGCTAGGGCACCTAACTTGTTAAAATCGGCCAAAGCACTTTCGCACTTTTATTTTCAACTGCGTAGCACTTTTGCACTCATAATTTCCTTAGAGTAAACTAGTGTGTACCAATATGTAAGTAACTGATTTTGTTCGCCTACATTACATCAAGTTGTGTAAAGGGACTGAAACCTACCATAATATGGGCTGGGGGTATATTCAATTGGCTAGCACAGACAGTCTCTGAACTCGTAATAGAACTGAAATGAGGAAAATCAGAATAAAATTATGGCCTAGCCCTAGCCTGGTACGCATACTACAGTATACCTTTTTGTATAATATTATTGAACTTAGTTTTGAAATTTTTGGAAACTCAATTTTTATCAAGAACAAGGAATTATTAACAGAAATATACATCAGTCATAACTGAATCTCCACTAAGCTAGGTGACATTAATCTGTTTGTAAATACTAAATTGCTTCTTTATTGCTATTAGGATGAAGAAGATTCTGATTCATCAGATGACGAAGATGAAGATCTTGACAGTAAACCAGAACTTGAAACTGCTATGGTTTTACATCATGGAGGAGTTAATAGAATCAGGGTCAGTAGAGAGAAATATCAAAAAAAAAATGAACATGATTTTACAGATTGTTTTTGATTTGACGGATGTTCTAATAAATAATTAATAACTGACCTATTTTTATTAAGTTTCCCAAAACGAGATAGCAAGTTCTTTAAATAAATTTTGTTTATAGCAATGAATTTACTTTTCACAAAGGTTATTATTTCATTAACTATTATTATTTTGTGATTTGGGAAATATTTTTTACCTCGTCTTGAGAAATGATTAATACAAAATAATAATAGGGCATGAAAATTTTTTATGTGAGATGGATACAAATCATTGATGCTGCATATAGGTGGATTACTATAAAAAAAATCTGTCAATTCATTATAAAAATATATAATCTAATTATTTTTGTTTGAAATATTTGCTTGGCATGAAATATTTTGGAATTTAACATCAATATGATCCTGATTTTATTCCAATAACTTTGTAAAATCTCTAATTTCTTTAATTAGAATACGAAGTTTGGTGCCACAAATTTGGCTGCAACATGGTCTGAGAGAAATTCTGTTCACATATGGGATCTAAGTAAACAATTGGCTGCTGTTGATAATGCTGGAATGATGCAACAGTTTTTGAGAGTTGATCAGAAAAAATCTGTTCCCTTGTATTCTTTTGGCGGCCACTTAGCAGAAGGATTTGCAATGGACTGGTCACCTACAGGTAAATATACTAGGTTCGCTTTACTGTATTTGGTTTATTTTCACTCACTCTGGTGGAGGTGAATTTTGATAACAGGAAACTAATTTAAAAAAATGTATTCATTTAAATTCTACCTTCTAATTTTCCAGATATTAGTATTAAGTATTGAGGCGTTTGACCTATATTAGATTCTTCGCTGGTGTTATTAGCAAGTCGCACTCTCGTTTTGTTCAGTTTAAGTAGTTATATGTTCATGAATAAGTATAATGTACTAATAATTGTACTCTCTGAAGAAGAATTCCTTCCCAGTTGGGAAAAAACTGCACTAGACCATCATGCATACAACTATGCCACATTCCATATTGGCCGCATGTTACACAATCTTTTAATTTTATGTATGAAGGCTTGAAATTGATGCTATAAATATTGATTTAATCTTTGATAACATAATAGCCAGCAGCTAATACCGTGGGAGACACATTTTCATGACAATGCATATGTACCCGAGGTTGATAACTGGAATAACCACTGCCATTATTATCTTCTTGTTGCACTATCCATGTAGCCATTGTGATAAACTCAAATGGTCATCTAATTCTTGACCCAGCTTAATAATAAATATGTTGTCCTATTTCAGCTGCAGGAACACTTCTCACTGGAGATTGCCGACACCATATTCATCTCTGGACACCACAAGAGTCTGGAACTTGGCATGTGGATCAACGACCTTTCTCTGCACATACAGATTCTGTTGAAGACGTTCAATGGTCTCCAAACGAGAGAAGTGTGAGATAATAAATTTTTTTAGCTTTCCACTGCTACAATTTATATTCTGTTTTTAACGAGACATTTATAACGAGAGGAAATGAATAAATTATATGAAGTATATATGTTTATATATAGTAGTTTGATATTCCAATTTTGCATCTTGCTGTTAGTTTAATAACCTAATCATAGTTTGCACTTCTTTAAATTTTTATTTATTTTTTCAGGTGTTTGCATCATGTTCTGTGGATAAGACGATAAGAATATGGGATACAAGAGCATCGCCATCCTCTGCCTGTATGCTAACAAGAACTGTAAGTAACTTCATGTTTTCTTATTTATAATATGTAATGATTTATGTAACTTCCCCAAAAATCTGCCTGTTGTTGCACTCGGAGTGGTCGACCATCAATGCCAACATAGTTCGGTCAATTAATCCATCCCATCTTGAGGGCATTCATGCATTTTTTGAGTTTTGTATTGCGATTCCTTCTGATCAGATCAGAGATCACTACCTTCTTCGTAAGGGAATAAATCTATTTAATGATGGCATTGTAACTTGAACTATACTTGTTCTGGGTGCTTTTATGATGAATACTCCTTTCACAGGCACATGAAAAAGATATAAATGTAATCAGTTGGAATAAAAAAGAACCTTTTATTGTCAGTGGAGGTGATGACGCTATGTTAAAAGTCTGGGATCTTCGCCAATTTCAGGTTTGTCAAAAATGATAGTTTAACACAAGAGTGTTAAATCCACTTAATACAAGTGTCTACAGAAAATTCCAAATATAGCACTTTGAAGAATGCACAAAAATCCTATTATGAAATATTTCTTAAAAATAGTCGAAAGTGATACTAATTTTAGTACACAGATGTGATGTACATAGAGATACATACATTATTCAAACTTTTGCTTTTTTGAATATTGAGGGATGGAAGCAGCTTCAAGATGGTTAAGCGCAAACTCATGGCTATCACTGATTGCGTGCTCTTATTGAACGCATGATTCACCATCTTATACTCCCATGCAATGGTTTTCTCTTTGGTGAGGATTTCTAAAAAAGAATTAGGTCTTTCAAGTTCAATGATATTGACTGTTTCGTTGTCATTATTATGGCATATAGAAGCAGAAAGATTATTCTATTCACTTAAAGGTAAGACCACAATACCTCACCTGAAATCAAATAGGTTATGCCGAAATCCACGCCCTGGTCCACTTGACAGAAATTTCAACAGATACTGGTTGACATAAAATGTAATGCTTGTCAAGTCATAGGTATCAGCTTGTTTGAAGCATTTTTGGCAAAAAGGTGTTGGGGACTGCTACATTGGTGAAGCCTTCGGCTTCAGGAAATAATTTTCATTTTTTTCATCCTTTATTTATATTATAATAATTTTGTGTTACAGAAAGGAGACCCTGTTGCCACATTTAAGCATCACACTGCAGCTATAACGTCCGTGGAATGGCATCCAAATGAGAGTAGTATATTTGCGGCTGCTGGTGCTGATAATCAAGTCACACAATGGGATCTTGCTGTTGAGCCCGATAATCAAGTCGCAATGGAATGCGAGAACAATGATTCGGAGCAAAATAATAATAACAATGAGAAATTAAAAGACATTCCACCACAATTACTCTTTATTCATCAAGGACAAACTGAAATAAAGGAAATCCATTGGCACCCGCAGATTCCGGGTCTTGTAATAAGTACTGCACTTTCGGGATTTAATGTTTTTAAAACTATAAGTGTATGAAACTTATTTTTGAATTTAAATTTTTTTTAATAAATGAATTATAAAAAGGCTTGTGGGCTAAGTGTTGACTTGAGGTGGTCTTTAGTTTATCACACAATTGTGGCATTTCAAAAGCAAATAGTACGAATAACGAGAATGGATTTTTCTTTTAAAAGGGGTATCCGTAACCAAAGTGCGGTAAGACGCCGCTATCAACGGTCAGATATATTCAAGAAAACTTACATATATAGTTGAACAAGTAGATTTTTTGTTGACTACCCAACTCTTGATAACCATCGGCAATTAACCTCAGTTTTTATACAACATGTTTGTTCGTTATTTCGTTACTCTTCCACAGACGACCACGATTTTCTTGAACTTCTAAATCCCCCATAAGATGGGATTTATCTTGAGGAAAGGAAAGCCGATAATACGGCTTAATCGCATTGCGAACTTATGAAAAAGGGTTGCACCCTGCAGGTACTCAAGGACCTGGAAATAATTATGTTGTCGTAAAGCCATTAGCATCCACAATTATGTGATTGCTCAAAAGCTTTTAGCACTGCTGTGCGAAAAAAAATTTGATAACATTGTACAGAGATACCATCATCGCCAACTTGAACGACTGGGCATGATTTAGTTCAAAGGCAGTTAAGTTCGTTGACAGGATGACTCCTATTTCTGTCGCACTGTGAATGGTAATTGGGGAGTGGAACCGTCGAGATGCCAAAAAATGGGGTTGTAGGGTTTTAATTTACCGTTTCTTGTCGACTAGTGTCCAGGTTAATAATAATGAGTGGAATGTAGCCATCAGTCAGCCTTAGTAGTAGTCCATAATAGGCTTGTGCACCTTCTTTGAAAAGCTTAATTAATTGATATACGTCCCATTAGATTTGGGTGAATTTAAATGGATAATATTTTCGTTTAGGAAGAGTCATGAGTAATAAAATTAATCATATTTCTTGTAATTCGTCTTTTCATAAAATTGCGTCCCACCATGTTTCCAATATTGCCTGATTGCAACTCAACATAACGATGACTCTCTTAATTGTAGAAAACGACAATATATACTTTATTAGCTAGCCTAAAAGGAACCACAAGAACTACTGTCAACTTTTCTTGAATGTTTCAACTGTCATGGTGCTAGAAATAATTGAGTGTGTATACAGGGTTTCTAAGAAAGTGCATCAAACAGTTGAGGAAGTAAAGGCTAACAAGCAAAGATGTAAAAGACTCAGTGATCGCGTACGATATTTGGTTGCCCCGCTAAAGGAACTTTTCAAAGATGTAAATATCTATATTTATATATATTATATATATATTTCATTTCTCGGCATGCAGAGCATTCAAATTAAAAGTTTTTCTCTGAACGAAATATCTTGTGAAAATATGAAAAATGATAAAAACTCCACGAACCAACATTTGCAAAAAAACATTTAGTTTATTTATCATTAAAATTTACTAAAAAAAAAAATAATTCCAGAACTATAATATTCATGTTTCATTTTAGAAAGAGCGTGAAGTTGTTTACAAGGAAGCTTTAATTGACCTTGTGCAAACATTGGAAGAAGCGAGGCAATTTATGAAAACCTTTACCAGAACCAAAACTGTTACGAAGCGTATTCAAGACTATTGCTATCCATCTCAAGTGAAGGTAAGGCGTTACTTTGATAAAATACGTACCGATCTACTAGCAAAAAGCATTCCGTGATAAAGATTTTGTTCTTATGACGAAAAAGAAATTATTGAACTTTTCTCCGTGAGAGAAACGTTACCCAAGCTGAAGCGGTAGGATTCTTAATAGGTCGCACATTCCATTGGCCACTCAATGGCTGTTTTCACGATTATTGAACCCCAAAAAATGTTTTCGTTACTTCCCCAATGCAAAATTTCAGATGTTTTTTAGAGTTGTCCAGCGAGTTAGAACACACAGTCGAAAGCACAATTATGCGAAAGTATTTTAAGAGATGGCATAATAAGCTATTGCTGGCAGATAAATTTAGTCCAGTCCAGTGGTTCTCAAACGGTAGGGCGCGCACCAAAAGGGGGGCGTAGACAATTTTTCGATGGGGCGTGAAGTTAATGAAAATATTTGTTAGATTTGATCGAGCCCGCCTTATTTTGGATATTTACATTTCAAAACTTCTCATTTATTTTATTATTTACGTTCAATCCACGTAGGCTACTTTCGCTTTACTTTCTGTTATTTGTAGCTTGTTGTTAGCTAGTTATTTTTGCGGTGGGGCGCGAGACTTGACAAATTCTATAAAGAGGGCGCTGCTTAATAAGTTTGAGAACTACTGGTCTAGTCTATTCCATGTTTTTGACACATGGCCGTGACGCATACCGTTAAACTAGAAAGCGCCAATCAAAACAACAAATTAATAGTTACAAATATGCTTGAAAATATGTTCTAATGAAAAAGGTGTCCGAGTGGCTGCCAAAATCCCAATTGTTGCATCACCGTTATGTTATTGCTGATTATTCATTGTAACGGAAGTAGCCTAAATTAGGAAGTCGATGTTCACATCTGCATTGCTTGGACGTTGCTTTATTTAACATTTTATACTTGATGAATTTCTGGCAACGCTATTTCTAGTGAGGCAACTCAATATTATGAGTCATTATTATAGGAAAAATTTGAATATCTGAACGAGAAATTGAATGATCTCATACCTACACTTACTCTCGGTTTACACGTCGAACACAGACGATCTGTCAGAAATTTATTTGCTCCGGGATTGCGAGGAACTCAAGACACAAAAGATGAATGTGAAGATTTGCAGGAGATGCAACAAATTATGAAAGGACTAGGTCTGTTATATGACAGATTTTACAGATGACAGAGGCTCTGAAATATTAAAAAAATCACTAAACTTCGATATATATATATGTACAATATGGTGACAGCACATTTGAACCCACGTACATTTGCACCCGTATAGGCGCGGGTTCAATCTATATGCGGGTGCTAAAATCCATGGGTTAGGGTTAGTATGGGTTCGAATATATGTAGGTGCAAATTTCCATAGATGCAATAGTATGGAGGTGCAATTGTCGTGGCTTCAAATTACGGGTTCAAATGTAATGGAACCGTACAATATATGATATATATGTTGTTATTGGACACGTAAGTGGACATAACGATCGTTTTGCATCTTATGCTGGCAATCTTTTTATTATTATTTGAATTCTTATTGGTATCGTTATAAAAAAACCGCTTTTCTCATTGATTACCGTTGGACCATTCGCTTTGAAATTTTCAGTGGTTGAAGATGGCATTTTCCCTAGAAGGCTATTACTTTTATTTATTTAAAATATTTCGGTGAGCTGCATGGGATTCGTTTTTTGAGTGCTATGACGTCATCCGAATTTGCCACTAGGTAGCGCTACGTGTCCATATATTCGAGCGTAGCTTTCTCTTTTTTTAAATAAAATCCTAATTTTCTTGTTTCGAGGTCTTTCCGCATTGAGTAATATAGATTGTGCTGATTTGAAGCAACGAAAAAGAGTGAAGAAGAGTTCACTGTACGACATCTACACGGCAAAATATAGAATGTCAACTGTGATTGTGAAAAAGCTGCGATGCACCCTTACACCAGCAACGTAAGTTGATTTAATCGATCATTAAAATGAATGTATTTATCAGCGGTTATATATCGAGTGTCGAAAAAATTTGTTCCTTCATGAAATGCTTTTATGTTGTTTGCAGAAAAGATCTTTTCATCAACGATGCAAATAAACTGGTTCATTTGAATTCCGAAAATGTTGTGAGAGTTTTCGGTGTTAGTGTTGATCCGAAAGAAGATTCATATCTGCTTGTGATGGAAAACATGGAACTCGGAAATTTGAACAAAGTAAAGACTTTTTGAATATTGAAGGCACAATTAGGATAATAAACTTTCTATCATTTTCCCGACCTAGAATCTTTCTCCATATCACACACTCACACTCTTTTATTTCCAGATTCTTCTGTCAAAAATACCAATTGATAATGACTTAAAAGTCAGAATGGCTGTGGAAGCTTCAAGAGGTCTCTATTTCATACATTGCAGTGGAATGTTGCACGGAAATTTATGCTCAACAAAGTTCTTAGTGAATGAGGATTTCCACATAAAGGTTGTATTCTTTTATTGAATCGTTCAGGATGCGTGTCGCAAATAATTGTCAATTTGTCATATTTGAATATATATATCTACATTGTTTCAGATATCCGGGTTTGGGTTTTCTAATCAAGTGCTTGGAGAAAATGCACCAGGATCAAGGAAATCAATGTTTGCAAGCAAAAAATCTGATAAATCTTCTGAGGGTACTTATGACGAAAAAACTGAAATATACGAGTAAGTGTTCGAGCGCTGGGAACATTACTTTATTACGCGTGTGATCATTTTATTCTAAATGATTCAAGAGTGTTAGTGTGCAGCAAGGCTCTTGCTTCCCTTAGGATAGTTATCTTTACTCTTGCTACAACATCCTTGCATTATATGCATACGGATCCACCGGCACAAAAGCATAGAAGAAGGATACGTAGTTAGTCTCGCAGAAACCAAATTATTGATCATTTTATGATGTCATCTGAGCAAGGCATTATCTTCTGGAACATGGAGGCTTTGTTTTGTTTGTTAACGTACATCATTATGACATCATAACAAGTTATAGACAGAAGCTTGATTAAGCGCATTGACCTAAGCCAAGCACTTACACTGGAAGCTTTTAGTGGTTTGCAGTTTATTATTTTGCAACTATATCCACTTTTCTATAGCATACCCAAATTGTAGCATATATATTAAACAGCATAAAAACAATTATTTTACAAGAGCACCAATTGCAAGCCGACAGTGTATCGTGCAATCCAAAAACGTCTATTAGCTTGTTTCATTTGATTCAAGAGTTTTGATGCACACTAACACAAATGTATTTCTGTAACGTTTCGTTTTACCGAGGATTCTCCAGGCATAAATATATTTCAACTATAAAATAATACGATAGCATGCATAAATAATGGTGACCGATGGTTGAGGTTTTTCCAAATCTAGAAAAATAAAATTGTAAAATGTATTTAGTCTCGATTAGCTTTATCATTTTATCTAACAATCGTTCTTCTAATAATCTACTCAAGATTCGGTCTGGTTCTTTGGCAAATATGTCGACGTCTTCCTAAGTCTAAATACAAGAAAAATCCTGAACCAGAAGATCTGAGAGCTTCAGAAAGTGAAATAACTGATGCAAAAACTGAATTACTTGCTGTATCATCTTGGTGTTGTGAAGATGACGAATTTGCACGTCCGTCTATGGAAGGTAGGCTATATATAGGCTAAGTTTTACATGTGCGTAACAATTAATATTTGTAAGTTTCTAAGCCAGATAACCATTTGAAAATAAGTTGAAGAAGCCAGATTTTTGTAGGCTATATTGTGTCTAATCGTGTGAAAGTTTTCCAGTTTTATACCTGCTATCCAATCGGGTCTGATTGGACCATTGCCAAAGTTGAAAAATACAACTGTGCATGTATGTGATGTTGAAATATGCCAATTGTGCCAATTAAAATATATTTATATCTCCAGATATATTGGAACATCTCATTGAATACAAAGAAAGAGTTGCAGAATACGAAGATGGCAAAGACTGATGTTTTATGTGGAATACTTTTTTGATTTAATGTTAAACTATTGACAACACTTCTCCTGACTATATATAATATGTGATGTATTTATTTTCATTGAATCCTTCGCGTGTAATGTAAAAAAATATTTTTCAAAAACCTAAGTAATGCAATTTACATTAACTTTCCAATAGCCAATTCCGACCAGTATTTAACCCATAAATGCTATAGGAGCCATTCTCTGTTTATTGTTTTATGTGTGCATTTAGTATTGATAATTGTTTATCACTAAAATGAACTTGCCTTATACCAGGCCTATCCAAAGTATTTGCGGATGGTCCGGATCAGATTGTGCTTTGGATAAAATACAAACATCTTTATATTTTGCACTAGAGTCTTTTCGAAAGTTGATAAATTGATGAAGGCAACTTGGTTTTGTAATAAAATTTACACATTTTACCACGATTTTACGACGTTATTCGTGTAAAAAACAGATGCGACAAGAGCTTCCCCGTGAATCAAGTCTGATTTTGAGCTACCCATTGCTTTTTTTATAAGAAGAGTAACAAGACTTCAATCTTAATCGAAGATAAACGCCATCTGTTACTGTCCCTACTGGCTAATCATATCATTTAACAATACTTCTGTCAATAGCATCATACATTGCAGCGCTTTGTTTCGAGTCTTTTAAACATCATGCCTAAATGAAAAGATAAATTATATGACACAATGTTGTTAATGCATAATAAACTTTCTTATGAAAAAGTCAAACATTTTTGGAAATGGAGTTTTGACAAGCACGGAATTATTTGTACACAACTCCTAGGAGAGACGGTATTTTTTCGAACGTACCATGCATTTCAACATAGGTGAGCATCGTGGGTACACATCCTAAACCTGTGATGGCTAAACGAAGAAAATTTCTTGAAATATAAAAAATAAAGAAAATTGAAGTGTGGATTGAAGTATTCAATTTCCTTAAGTAGCTCAAGTCAGCAAATACCTCATGTGATTTAAAAGTTTGACACTAAATTAACTGAGCCATTTACTTCTATGTTTGCAAAAATGGGCCGAGTGCATTGACTAGATTTAGGGAATTACATATGTAATTTCGCAAAAACTTATAAACGTGCCCTTGCAGTAATCCATGAGATGCTAATCATCATATGCTACGCATCATGGTTGTAAATAGCAGAAAAATACTAACGCGAAACCGTTGTGCCCAATATTCACTAGGGTTCGTAAGGACACAATCGTAACTTATCCATTAAAGGCGCGAGCTCAGCCGAAAAGTCTAAATTCAAAGTTCTTATGGTCATCTAACACCCTACGTTGGTCCAACTTACAACTCTGAACCAAAATCGCAACAATTACAAATAATTCGGACGGAAGACGACATAAATATGAATTATGACGGAAAGCGGAATATTTTTAATAGAATATATATATTTAAAGGCAGCGCACGTAATACTTCTCCAGCGCGCCATCGTGTCCGGTTTATTAACAATAATATTTTGCTGGTGGTACGATATATTTGAACAATAGCTATCAGTCAAGTGTTTGACTTCGAGAACAACAGAAGAAGGACTGAGAAAACAAAGGACGACGGTACCTATACGTACACCGTTGAAACTCATTTTGATAGTATGGCGTCATAATAAACGTGTACGCTGAGTGTTAGCCAAGGACGCCCATTAGGACTCCATATATACAGAAAATATCATATTCTAGATAACTATTGCATACAGCCGAGGTTACGAAAATATAAATCAGTTGGCTCGGTTTGCTCGAAAGTATATTGTGTAGTCGACCATGTATTTCCTATATAATACATATAAAAAGAAAGTTATGTGTACTTATCCCATGATCCGGATTACCATTTCCATATTTACTAAAATTAGGATTATTCTCCATGTGATTGATTGTACATGCTAATCGGTAGATACTATGGATAATAAAAGGCTAATGAGAAAATTTCACGGAAGGTTAAATAGTTATTTATTAAAAAGTGATTTACTTGTACTTCTTTACGTGGCAAACTAGTCATAGTTTAGGAAGTAGGGTTAACAGGGTGTTCTGATATTATATATATATTAATTTGGAGCAGATATACTTTCCAGTTTTTTAGATTAGTTGACTGTTTTCCCTGTTTTAGGATTTTTGGCAGGATGTAAAACAAGAAAAAAATATGAATGCCAGTCGTATTATTTTTGTAATGACCTGGTGTGCTAGTATGAACTCAGAAGTGAGTTCCTTATCATTGAAGTAGGATTTACTCATTCATAACCAATGAAAAATTGGTAAATGGAACTCAGAATTGTCGAAAAGACTTTATACATCACTAACGCTGTAATTGAATGTTTTTGAATTTTTTCGCCACATATTCTATTGGTGAAGCCAACCCATACAGGGCATTTAAATTTAAATTAATATTTAACTTTGGGAATTGGATTCTGTTTCAACATTTACTCAGTCTGTTTTCTTGAGCGATGGTCAGGCATGTATGGTGCATCTATGGGGCGTCGTTCTATGTCTAGAAAGCTATATATATAGTTTTGAGATATAGCAAAATTTGACATAAGTTGATTAATCAAATTTAAAAAAGACAAGTTTATGGTTTTATACGAATATGGATATTGACAGATATATAGGTTAATTTAGTGACTGTTTAAATTCGCAATCTTTCCCTGCCTGGCGCGATCATAAACATCTTCAACACATTAACATATTTAGTTTTTTTTTCATTTCGTCTAGAAAGAATACATTCTTACAAGGCACAGATTACTTTAAATTAGCTTATGCAGGGAAAATTAGCTTATGAGGTCAGAAAAGGTTTATGTAAATATAGCATAACATTGCAGTTGTCTTCATATAGGTGTAATCTCGTTTGGTTTCAACATCTCAAGCTCAATAATTTATGTTTTAAGTTGAGCTAGACTTTCGAACTTACCTGTAACTGCCAAACAAATAGGTTGATTTAGATTATAGAATAATTAAAAAATTGTTTGTCCAATTGAACCGCAATCCTAATTGAAACCCAACCCGGGTCAGTAATCCCGACCTGATTTAGCAATCCGATACTTAATGGATTGAGATCTGCTTTATGTTTGATTAGCACTGGGCCGTATAAAAAGTTTCTGCAGAGTTGACTAAACAAATTAAACTTTGTGGTTACGCTATGACTCCAATCCTAGGTCTAAGGATCAAATAAAATTCAAGATATATCAAATAAAAAGACTTCAGATAAGTCAATTTTTTTATCACATTTGTTCTATTTGTTTTGCAAATTTTAGATTGAGTTATGCGATTGATGCATTATTGTTTATTAACCGGCCGACTAATTTTTTACCCTCAGGTGAATTAAATATGCGTATAAATGCGTAACATACACTATTACACTCATTTAAGCATCTGAATGGCTTGCTTAGAAAATACTGCACATATATACCTATCGTAGGCCAAATCAAACTAATAACGTTCAACAATACCCATTCACTCGGGTTAATCCACTTTGAGCTGACAGGAGTTACATACAAAAGCGTTTCGCTCTCAAATTTCAACGTTCTATTGTAGCCTATTGTCGAAGCTCTTAGAGAAGAACCTCGTATTTCTCACACGGTATGGATATTGGTAAGAGCGGATTTGCCAGCAGTAGCTTAATCCCGACACTTGAGTCAGCCTGAGGAGAGATTTTTAAAATTTATGATTTCAGTTTATAAAATTAAAGTAATTTTCACTTCAAAATTTTAAAAACTGTATAATAGTATGCGAAATTGGCTAGTGGCAAAGTAAATACCGGGTAAATCCAATTTTTACTTTGCTTGCCGCCTCCAGTAGCGCGAAATATTTGCCTCATCACTTTTCGATCAATATTTACGCATGTATTCAAATTTTACCAGATTAATTTCTTGTTAGTAACGACACCACAAAGCATAAGTAAACTTCGGATAGCAAGCGTGTAAATGGATTTTACACAAATGATTCATGTATGTCAGATTTGTTGTATAGTGTATACGGTATCTGCTGAGGAAAATTTTGCGTTTATTCCAAGTAGCGACTTTTATTTAGGATAGACGGAAAGTTTTCTCTTTATTTTAGGTGCTAAACGTCCCTTACGATGATGGGTAGCAAGATTTACTTATGCTCGAATATTGATTCTTTTTTTTTTCTTCAAATTTATAACTGTTATGTTTGACACAAAAATGATAGTAAATACGCTATTTCTTTTATAGCGCTGATATATTGACGAAGTTACGTACAATATTTGTTTTGGCGACCAGAAACTGTGATAAATTGATCTTCAGAGCGTAACTGTATTGCGGTGCTCGACTCAAAACGCACTGTGAAGTACCTCCAAAAACAGAAGAATGTATTTTGGAGTGGCCTGAAGCGAGTAGTACAGGTTGTGACGTGAGATTGAGAACTATTAGTTCACAATAGTTAGAAGTAATACGTCAGAAATCAAATTTCCATAGATTCCATAGATACAAAACTTATTTTATTAGGTATAGAATTTGGATTATTCAGAGTAGTTAAACTAATGCTAGAAAATCGCAACCATTCCTTATACCTGCTTTCAACAATTTTATTCATCAGTATGTTTTCAATAGATTGAGAAGAGCTTATGAGTCTCAAAGTGAGTAAGCGAATTGTTTTAATGAAGATTGTGTATTAGAACATTCTATGTTCTAATACACAATTCATTTTATGTTTCCACATATGACTAATTTTTTTCGTTTTTTTATGTAGAATTTTATAATTTGTTTAGCTAATGTTTTAGTTAAATCTGAGCACATAGACAAAAATATTTGATCGCCTTTAAAAGTGATAAATAATATGTTATGTAGTATGTTTGCGATATTTAATTTTCAATAAAAATGCGACACCACATATTTTGAATCAATTTCTGATAACACAATTCCGAACATACCTCACTTCAACGAACATGACTAAAGTATTTGCGCCTTTGATTCAAAGTATGATGAATGAGAAATTATCTTGAAATAAATCAAAACAATGCCAATAAAAGGGCGAACAAACGACAACAACGAAGAATCTGGCGCGTATGGTGTGTTGGCAATTTGTGGTTTCACTTTTTTTATGGAATGATACATTATTTTATCGTTTTGTATTTCGAAACGTTATTATACCAAATTCAAAAGAAATACATTTTGAACGACATTCACGAGACGCAAACTTTTATATTATAGATTGTAATCACCAGATCAACTTTTCGATTGTTACGAAGTTAGCTTCATGCAATCCCAACGAGAAACAATTATGGCGAACCATTGTCCGTTTAAAATAAAATTTTTGACTTTTTGGTAAAGCAGGTCATTTCATTTATTGTCGCTATAAAGCTATTACGAAAGCTGTCGTCAATTTGCTATCCAATGATTCAAAATGCCTATATCATATATACTAATAAAAGCAAACGAATTTAAGGTATGTGTCTGGAATGTCGGTTTATTTTGATAAGCCATGTGGCAATTTTGTATCATTTATTTGCCTCGACAATAAAATGTGCATAATTTCGGGTAAAGCATACACATCAGTTTGCGTTGGTTAATAAGAGCAAATATACTAACAAATATATATCGCGTCATTTTATTCGTTCAAATGACTAAATTGTAATTACCTTCATATATAAGTTTAATATTCTTCACAAAAGGTCAGCAAAATGGTCAACTGGAGTGCTTGGTACCAGGAACCAAAAAAAATCGTTGCTATGTAACATGTATTCTGTAAACACAGCACGACCTGTCATATTTTAATACAATTGCTTTCATTTTAGATGAATATTAATAACAATAATAAAACAGACAGCTCTTCAAACGAAGAGGTACAATCATCTGGTATAAGCAGTATGTCCGATGACACACCATCTCTAGAAAATGGACTTAGTTCCCAGCCTTCGTTGAGTCAGTATGAACGCTGGTCTGAAGATTCATACGTCGACTCCCCTCATGTGAGGTATCAGAACGATTTGAACAAAAACCGAGTATTGGGGAAAGACCATCCAACAGCTTTTCGTGAATACTCCACTAACCAAATTCGAAATTTTGACAATACAGGACATAACGGATTGATGAGCTATAACAATATTGGTGGACCGGTACACCCGGCACCTACTGATAATAGCACCCCACTTCAGACGGATTTATCTCCTACAATGGCGGGACAAAACTCTCTCACACTGCAAGGTACTTCCAATGATAGCTTTCTGCCCGGTTCACACATTTACCAGCCATTTGGCGATGCAGGCAGAGCATATTTTTTGGACAGTGATTTAGAAACAATTGAAGAGGAATCATCTGTTATAGAATCAGATTTCGACGATCGTTCATCGATTGGATATAACCGAAAACGACTCCCTTCCGACATACATATACGAAATAGAAGCAGCAGTACAGGAAGTGCACAATCAATTTCATACCGAGGAAGCGTTACGTCTACAACTACAGGTAACGTTTCAGTATTTAGATGTCAGATGTTTTGTTTTTCTGCATTTTTTATTCAGTGACTGAAAATTTCAATATTTTATAATTATTTTCCATCGTATCATAGATTGACATACAATCTTGACAACTGTAAATATTTGGGCTTTGTTGACTATGGTCGGCAGTTTCTTTGCGTCTTCAGTGTACACATAATTGGCAACATCTGTGACGACAGGCGGTCTTTCAAGAACTTCGTTTGCCCAAATATCTTTCTTTTAATCTGTGCGTCACGCTAAGTATAAGAAATAATGGGTATTTCATCAATAAACTGTGATGTTATGCGGTTACTCAATGTTGGTTCAACGCTTATTCATCGCTAGTTTTAGGAAACCTCCGCAAATTTTATTGACAGGCTAAGAATGAACTCTATTGTGTTGTAGAATGAGAGGATTAATGCTAAAATAACAGAAGTCCACGAACGTTTACATCATTTGACAATGACAAGGTTATATCACTTCCGAAATGACCTTGGGATATTGACCTCTAATCTGAAATGGTTTCAGGAGTTTTTAAAAAGACTTTAATTAAAACCAGATTGTCTTAATTAAACAGTCAGATATATATATTGAAATTGATTCAACTTTAATCGGAATACTCTATTGTAAATTTTCCTTTTTATCTAACGAAAAATTGGATTATCCGTCTATTTTATCCATTATCATGGTGTTATGAAGCCAAACATTCACTTCATAATTATTATTCCCTATATTATTTCGAAATCTCATTTGGAATTCAGGTAGCCCTTAGGACAGAATTAAACTTAAATGCATCCACAAAATTTACGCCGTCGAATAAGCAACATATCGTGTTCAGGCAGTTTGATATAAACCACATTTCATTATTTTAAAATTTTCATCAAAAATACATTACCGACATGGAACAAATACTCGTCGAGGCAAAATTGCCGTTGAGTAAATAAATTTTCTTTTAAATTGTAACGGCCATGTTTTGATAACTTTTTATCTGTCTCGGATCGTGCTTTAACGTTTCAAAATGACGCATAATTCAGAGTAATGTTACAAACTAAACTTGATATAATACATACCATGTTTCCCCGAAAGTAAGACTTACCCTGAAAATAGGACCTAGTCTGAATTTTAAAATTGATTTTAATATAAGCCCTCCCCTTAAAATAAGACCTAGTCAATGAAGCGACTTTTTTTATTCAGTTACTAGCAAGAAGTCTCTTCTACACGTTTCAATTAAATGATTGATAATCTATGTTTTGCAGTTATTTTGTATAAAAACGTGTTATTTATAAGTAAAGGGATATTGGTTTTCAAATTTTGTAATTTCGTAATTCTCTACTTTGTAATTTTTTTAATTAAAAAATATAAGACATACCCCGAAAATAGCCCTAGTGTTATTTTTCGGAAAAAAATTGAAATGAGACCCAGTCCTAACACGGTATGTTAAGACACGCCATTCAGAACCAATGTTGAATAATTTGGTGGACATTTTATCGTCAGCACATATTGCATATAAACAAAACAATATGCGCAAAAGTACAATAGAGCAAGAATTTCATCATTTCTCTAACAATTAGTAAATTTTCAGAACTGGTTCAATATTAGGTTTATATTGACCTCAAGACATAAACCTGATAAACATCAAGAGGCAAGTTTATTTACAGTATGGCATCTAAATTTAATAACGTTGAGCTTAAGACGAGATTAACTAACGCAACCAAAGTTTATATTTATCAGATTTAATAACATCAAAATATCATAAACTTACACTTATTGATTGAATATACACAGGTCCAGCAAAATGTGATTTTTGCGTATTGGATATCTGCTGTTAGATTACTGCTCTAGCCTTACTTTAGTTTGTTGCCATTCATTTCTCTATAATATAATTGTGTAAGTAAAGACCAAGGTTTATTTAAATGGGGTTGTCCAGTGCTTGTACGCAAATCCACTTCTTCAAATTTTAGTGCAAACCCACCTCGTAATGGGTTAAATGGTATTTAAACAGTCAATATTTACCATTGTACACTAAAAGACAAGATCGTGAAAATATTGATCATGTTGTGAGGTTTCCACAATAGCCGTTCAGTGTCAAAACTGATTGGTCACTGAGCAATGTGTAAATATTTCGTGCTCTAATCCACAAAATCATAGGATTAATCAGTTTATTTATATTGTCAGTTTCCGATGATGAACGATCTTCATCTACGCTATCATCCACTCCTACATCGCCGAATCAAAGATCAAGTTTGTCGAGTGATCGTAGCACACCAAACAACGAGCAATACGAAAACGGGATTAACACCAACTTACGAAATGGCGTGGCAGGCCATAGACGTAACAAGGGAACAACTCACAGATACGAAAGTAAGATTAAATGTTCGTTAAGCATAGATAACTCCAGTGCCAAACTTACTACAGACATACAAAGTTATTCGTTTGTGATACTGCCTTTGCAGACAAGCATAAATATTTTTATAGGATTGATTTTTTTTTCAAATTATAAACGTAAACGACTATCGTCAACCTCTTAGCATCTCACAATGAAAGAATTTGAAGTGCTTCTTACCTTCGAACATCTCCATCTCTAGCATACTTAGGAAATCGATAGGTTTTAAAATAATTCTTAAATTCCTATTGTACTAAGATTTCGCCCTACTATTTTTGCACACATCAAAGACTTGGTTTACGTTTTGGTCATCTTTCACTCAAAGAACGAATCGAGATATACATATTGCAATAGTATTTCTAATTAAATTTGAAATACGATCTTCATAGATTTCTATCTGTTGCCAATTTACTTATTAACTATTTAAGCAGTGCAATAACACAAACAAATCCATACTGTTTATTTTACGACAGTTGGTGGAATCGATCCGAATGCCCAACAGAAAATAGTGTATGCAAAATGTCTTAGTCCACCTGAGCAACCAAAGAGGCACCATCACCGTACACCAGCAGCAAAAACGTTAGATCCCCAATTTGCAGCAACCATGAATGGCCATCACTCAACTCCCAAGACAAAATCACACCATGATCAACAATCCAGAAAACAAAGTCATTTATCGCCCCGAAATCGAAAATCTCAGGACTTGACAATAACCGATATGTTCGAAGCCGTCAGAAAAGGGGATGTCCAAACACTGGTAAGTAAATGTAATTTAATACAATAGAGCAATTATCAAATATAAATGGACACGAAAGCCAAAACAAAGTATTATTGAATCTTACCGGTACCGGTAGTCTATCACAGGACTTCCCAAATTTTTGAGCTCGCGGCCCCTTTTATTTTATTATAATTTTCCGCGGCCCTTGTTTGCGCTAATAATGCTAAACAGCTCGAAATATGCATTTTCGATGTTTTATTGACACAGCTAATTCTCAACTTTTAGTAGGCCTACTCAATTACAAAAACAAGCACATATTTATTCAGATTAACGTTACTCAATTATTCAGTGTAATGGGTGAGAATATTTTTTGCTGCATAGCAAGTCCAGCCTTGGCTCAATGTTTGTTTATGCAGGCCTAAATGATGAATTACGATGTCTGGCCACCGACGGCATGGTCCTTTTCCGAAATTGTTCACTCGTATTGATCAAACTTAGCATAAGACAGCGGTTTGTGTGGCGCCAAATTATCATGGAAAAAACTCATGACGCACCTACACACAAATATGCTGCCTGATAATAAAACACAATTTTGTCATCGTTAATATGTACTTATCTTATCTCTGCCTGGTTGTTAAAGCCGGCATTGTTATGCAAGCACACTCAAATCGGGTCTTACGATCCGAATATGCATTGTTATGCAAGCGCGGTGATTCTACTGTGTTTCCCCGAAAATAAAACCAAGCCTGAATTTTAGAAGTTATTTTGATATAAGCGTTCCCTTTAAAAAGACTTAGTCGATAGCGCAAATTTTTTTGACCTAATCCCGTCGTTTCAATTTTGCTAGGACGTCGCAAAATTTCGTTATTCATGAACATTTCAAACAACCCATATCTTCTACTTTTACAGAAAAAAGGGAAGATTATATCGATCTTACCTGTGATGGTGTTACAATAAAAAAGTTTCATTCTGAAAATTCGGTTTTCTGTAGATAAAGATTATTTTTCTTGGTTCAAAGAGCGTTGCGGACTCCTATCCCCTTTGCGATTTCGTTTTTATATAAAGCAGACTTTTCTACCAAGGCCCATTAAATATGATTTCACTGACTGTCGTTATTTTTGTTCCTTTATAGGAAACTCATTGCAAAAAAGTCTTTTATTGAAAGGTATCAATACGTATTTTCATGGGTAGTCGTAACTTGAGCATTTTTTTGGAGGGCGTCACAATACAATGAAGTTCGAGAACCACTGAGTCCCAGTCGATAGCGAGAAATTTATACTCAGGAATTTTACACTATACTTTTTAAATGGTTAATAATCTATATGTAGCAGTTATTTTAAATTAAATGAAGACGTGCTAAATATAAGTAATGAAATCGGTATTCATATTTGGCATAATAAAAAATCTCGTTATTCTCTACATTCCCCCAAAATAAGCCCTATAAATAGTGTTATTTTCGAAATAAAATTGGAGACATAGTCTTATTTACACAGTATGATGATGTGTATATTACGAATCGTGAAATTTTTGTTTCACAATATTTTTAATAATTGTATTTCGAATCAAGAGTCTGGAAAAGTACGATAGATATAGTACTTTGTGTAAAACTGGCGCTCTCTTTGCGGCCCCTAGTTTGGGAAGCCCTGGTTTATCATATCATTTCGCTGACCACGAAATCGCAGAATCGCCACACGGTGCGCAATTTTTTTCCAATTTTGATGACGTAATCACACAAAACTTCAAAGTAAAAAACGAATAGAGCCCACATAATTTTTAGAAATAAATAAAAGCGATATACTTCCAGCGATAACAACGATTTTAAACCACTAGAAATTACGAAGCATTTGGCCCAGTAGGAATGCGATTTTTTCATAACAACAACGAGAATACTGACAATTTAACAGCTTCATTTTGTGTCCAATAAACGAAACGTCTGAGCGTTATTATTACACATAATAAATATCGAAATTCGTTGAAATATTTATTCTCTTCCTCAGAACAAGTTCTCACCGACCGAACAGAGTGAAACCGTGGACGAAAAGGGGAACACGGTCTTACATGCTGCAGCGACATCAGGGCATCTGCAGTGTGTTACAGTATTAGCTACCGGATCGTGTTCACATGCAGTTTCGTTACTGAATGATGATCTAATGACGCCTGCTGCGTTATCAGTAAAGGTATGTTTAAATACGCTGTGAAAGTAAATAAAAAGCAAAAGTATCAAATGGTCGTTAGCTCAAGACGGCCGAAACTAAGTAGTATGGGTATCCAATCTGTCACAAGAGTCAAAATCGCACACAAAAAAGAATCCATCAGAAGTCAGAACCCACATAGATTTTAGAAATAAATAAACGTAAAAGCCTCCTAGCAAAAAAGATATATAAATATAGAAGTTTGCGGCGTCGTAGCAACTCAACATAGCAGTAAAGCAGTTTATACATATATGTAAAGGAGTTGACACAAAACGTTACACATTGTTCGCAATTCAAGTTGTAGTCTCGAGAATCGATTCCAATGCATCGAAATCGATTCTAGTCGATTCCGCAAAGAATCGAGTCTGTAATCGAATCCGGACTCGATTCCGCCATCCCTAGCGGTAACACGAGATATATATCGGTATACATACAAGCAATCATATGCAACAAACTTAATACAAAAGCAACTATTACAATATGCATATAATTTATAGTTGTCCAATCATGCATGGGAATTGGTTGTATATGGAAAGGCGTCGTAGCAACTCAACATAGCAGTAAAGCAGTTTATACATATATGTAAAGGAGTTGACACAAAACGTTACACATTGTTCGCAATTCAAGTTGTAGTCTCGAGAATCGATTCCAATGCATCGAAATCGATTCTAGTCGATTCCGCAAAGAATCGAGTCTGTAATCGAATCCGGACTCGATTCCGCCATCCCTAGCGGTAACACGAGATATATATCGGTATACATACAAGCAATCATATGCAACAAACTTAATACAAAAGCAACTATTACAATATGCATATAATTTATAGTTGTCCAATCATGCATGGGAATTGGTTGTATATTGACTCTCTACGCATGTTATCAACCTCACTCCGGTATTCCGGGTCGATCCTTTGAACCAAGCGCGCAAAAATTCAAAAGTGACGCTTCTAAGTCATAATTTTTAAAACGGCTCCGTTTGCATATAGTTTGACAAAAAAAAAATTACGAAGTTCCAGAATGGTATCCAACTGCGTACAAAGGTACTTATTGATCAAACAAAAATGCTATTGAAGAAATCTATCATAGCTCAAGTAATTTTTGTATATCTTAATAACAATCAGGCTGTACTGCAGTGGCTTTCAACCTTTTTAGTTCAACTGATCGGTGAAAAAGCTCTGCCCTTAATTGGCATTGTATATTTCTAATTAAACTAGAGTTTGGAAATATTACTAAATATCTCAACCATGTAACGTATAAAAGAAAGTTATGAAAAATGGATTATTCGTTTCATATTCTCCTTTAAACAGCATGGGCACTTATGCTGTGTACAATGGTTGGTGCAAAATACCGAAGCCAAAGAAGAGCTGATAGTATCTTCAAGACAGGTGAGTTTGATCGCTCGTGTGAACTATATGTTTTGGCGAATGTTGGATATTAGGCATTTCAACACTGTTTTGTAGCAAAGTGCATCATCCTACAATTCATAATTGATTTTATTTAATCACATTAAATAACAGAACATACATTAGGTTATGTGGTTTTCAGAAGCCTTACTGCACGTAATTATAAATGGTAACGTTACCGTTGAACAGAACAGCTATCGGTAACTGGGTGGACGCATGTCAGCACAATATGTTTGTAACAAAACGAAACCATATTTTATAATAACCACGAAACTTACATTGAGTAAAACTGCTTTCTCTATTCGGGCAGCGTTTAAATTTAATACAATATATATATATATAAACCTATTAGCCTACCGTATAGCGTTGAAAAATTAAGTTCACCTATAGTAATTTCATGCAGGCTTCTATCGACGGATCAAACATGCGGCCTCCTCTCGCTCATGTTGCTTCTCGATACAACCAGGATGCTGTATTAGATTGGTTGTGCGAGGAGATGACTAAGGAAAAATATCCTGTTGATTCAGCAGATCACCATAGTAACACTGCTGTGCATGAAGCGGCAGCACGTGGTCATTTGAAATGTTTGCAGGTAAAATTACGCTGTTTCTATTTTTAAATCATTTTATTTTACATCTATATGTCATTTAAATTAGAAGAAAGTCTTTTTTCGAATTACTTTACTTGGTTATTTTTTTATAGTTATATATAATTAGATATTTCCATTCATGCTGCACGTTTCGATTTCGATGAAGTTTACATAAGATTCCACAATAAAAAAAACGTTTTTCATTACCATGCTACCCGATTCTCAGCCGCATCAAAAACTCAATTCAATTGTTCAGCACATTGTTACGTCATGTTATTAGACAATTAAACACCAGAACTCTATATAGGTTTAACTGGATACTTTTCCAAACAGTTGTATTGTTAACATATATATGTTGAAATCACGTTGATTCAACCCATTTCTATTGTTATGTGATGAATAGCCCGTGGTTCTTTTGTTAACTAGAAAGAAAATCATTATGATTTACCTGTTATTATCAATTACGATACTGTATGTGTATTGGATTCCGAGATTCGCTTGTCAATAAATTGTATAACATCATGTGTGATAATTTGGATGATTACCCATCAAAATTTTACACACTGACGGCGGACTTTAACATATGATGTTCATTAACATAATTATTATTTATTCCAAGACTCTTGTTGGTCGGGGAGCATCTGTAACAGTCCTCAACTCCCACGGTGATACACCAGGACAAGTGGCCGACAAGAACAAACATGATCTATGCGTTGGATACTTGGTAGTCGTGGAAACATGCATGTCACTTGCGCAACAACTGATAACGATAAAGTTAGAAAATGAAGGGTGAGTTATAAAATAAAAACAACTTTATATCATGGCTTGAAAAAATATTTGATTCCGGATTCAGCACCCGGTCGGATCCTAGATAATAAAAATGATACCTCCAGCGGTAGCAAACCTCATTTAAATTGAGGAAACATTGCTACCATGTTACACAGCTACACTAGTATTATGACTCCGGTAAAAATGTTTGCTCAGACTTTAAATCCCGGAGAGTTTAAAAGTAGGCTACCCCTACGACTATCACACGAGCAAAAATATTCTACACCCCGGCTTTATATACCTATTCACGAAACATAATTCTGTTGCAGTTGTGATTTACTAATACGTTAATGTTACATCAATTTTTTTTCTTCTTCTTTTTTCTTTGATATTACATTAATTCCGTACACTATTAAACTAAGGGTGAGAAACGAAAACAGCAATCTTCGAATGCAATTACAAACAATGCACAATGCAAAAATACAACAAGCCAAAGAATCAGTTGAAGAGCGGATAAAAGCAACTTTACAGAATCTTTCATCATATGATGAAGATAATGGTAGGAAGACTATTAAGTTGCCAATGGATTGCAATCTCATTATATGCTCGGTTTTATGTAAATAGCAAAATTTTCTAAAACGCTGTAGGATTGTGCTAACTGTTCAAAAACAAAAATACACAAGTATCGTTGATGGAACTCCACCGTTTCGCGATGCACATCGCGGAAGATTCTAATCATACCAGTGGTACTAAATAATAATTTTGATAAGAAATGTCTACGTTTTTACAGAAGTACATCCTGTTCAACCAATTGAGAAAAAAGGCATTACACATACTCATCCGCGTACACCCACAGTTCCACAACAACGCACAACACCAATCGTGAACCAAAGTCATACCCTTGAAATACCTTCGCCCGAGAAAAATGCCACGAAATCTGATGTATTGAAAATGGGAAGCAATATATTGGATAAACCAAATACGCATCATCAGATTACCAAAGAAACGCCATATAACAAATCCGAAGCTGATAAAAATAATTTAAAGAATGCTCCACAAACTGTGACGTCCCCGAATGCTACAATTGGCACCAATGCATTTAAAGCTGAACAATCCCACCGACCCGTTGCAACAAATTATAAAGAAACTGCAATTAACGACCCAGTACACGCGACAACGAAAAATCAAGTACATAATGTAACCGAAAACGGAAATACTGATGTGGTTGTAAATGCCGAGGTTCAAAATTTAATGAACGGTAGGTCGTTTTCATTTGTATATTAAAATAAAAATTTGTTTTTCGTTTCTAATTTCCAATGTCATTAAATAATCTGCAAATCTCTATTTTAACTATTTTATTTGTTGAATAAAATTCCGAATAAAGCTACTGAGAAACAAATCAATGACATGATTTAAGCTCATGATTAAAATAAAATGATGTTTTAATATCAGTAACAGTTAACAACCATTTGCAAAATACTCGAAACATTATTTTTTATATTTTTTTATGTAAAAATTTGTCCCAGATCGAGAATTTCTCTTCCATTAAATAAATCCTTCCTCCTGCGTTAATTAGGAGGAAAATAATGTGAGCACTCAAGATTAATGTTTTTGTCTTCATATTATGTATAGGAACGTCAAGGGTGGCCAATGCCAAGTCATCACCTCATTCAGTAGAATCTCCCAATGCTAAAGCTTGGGAAAAAATGGCAATGGATGAAGTAATACGTATGGCTCGTGATACCAGATATCTACCCTCACCTACTGTATCCATGTGTACTGAAGATTCTACCATGGAAACGAGAGAGGCTATGAGGTAAGATAACTTTTATAACTAAACTTTATAAATCATCTTTATCAGGCTTTTTCACTTTAGGTATTCTTTCTACTTTTAGATGTACTTTTTTAAAATTATTTTGATTGAGCTACGAATGCCTCAGTAAACGTCTCAACTCAACTTTGTGGAAACAATATAATAGTTTTATTTGTGAAATATATATAAGTGTTATTCTTTATGATACGTATTGAATGTCAAAGACATATTTATTGACAAATACGCGATACGATCAGTCCGATATCCCGTATTACACAAGTACACATACTTACTAACTGTTAACATTTTGCAGGGAGCGTCTTACTGATGCAAGTCGATGGTTTCTTGGACAACAGAGTGGAAGAAAGCCCCATATCAAAGATCCATTGTTCCCAACCCATAAAATGCGACAATCTAGCCCAAGTCAAGCGTTGCCGAAATCCCCACAAAAATCACTCGGGAACACAGCTTCATGGGTACTAGGGGTTCAAAAAAACAGAAAAGGTCTTTCGCAGCATGGTGGTGGAAGCATGGCGCAACAAAATAAAGTGCCACAGAATTTCGTAGAAGCGACTAATCAAGAATTTATGAAACTTCAAACTGAGCAAAATTACTCTTTGGCAAGAAATCAAGGGTACATAAATAATCCTGGTAGTATATATCCTGTTGCTGAACTTTCTGACAAAGGTGATTAATTTTTTTTTTAGATAAATGAAGCTTTTTTTTGTCATAACTTGAATATTATTATTGTATATTGTATAAGAACAAATGAAAATATTCAATTCATTTCATTGTATTTCAGGATCTCCCGTTCCATCTATTTCTAGCAGTTCTTCAAGTTGCTTAACGGAGAGGAGAAATCACATTATTCATAATTCTAGACCTACCAGCGCTAAAAGTACTTGTAGCACAACATCAACCATTCGCTCAAACTTTCCAGACAGTAGTTCCTCAAGCGTTTCTAACTCAACTACCGCATCTCAAGACACCGTTGTCGAAAATGGGCAAGATCCACGGCGGTATCAATATAGAGTAGATCCATTAGAAAAACGTAATGTTCCAAGCTCGCCTGGTTCAAATATGTCATATAGCTCATCTAGGATACACAACTCCACACGAATTGACGTCAAACCAACTAACGACCTCAGCTACACGCGAAGCGGCGCTTCTATACACCATGGCGAGGGATTATCTGCGAACGAAACTGCAGAATTGCGAGTAACGTTACCAACTCGTAATAACAGTTTCTTGCGCAAAGTACAGCCTGCTGCAAATCATGAGGCTTCCATTAACAACACATTACAAATTCCATCAGTAAACTCACCAGTATCATACCCCGAAATACCGTCAAAGCAGTCGCCAACAGCGAAACTATCTTCAAACATGTTTTCGCCAGTGACGTCACCTACGAGCCCTGTGAAGCAGAGCGTTGCTGTCGGCATTCAATATTCGCCTGAAATTTCAACACAAAAAGTAGAAATCATTTCACCTGATTTATCGAATGGATCGGCGGTTCCAATATTGGACAAAAGTAGGGAAAAGACAACATCGGGGAAATCTGGATATGTATTGTGGAAACCAAGTATTAAAACAACATCAAAGAATGATGAACTCGGTTAGTACAAAAATTAAACATTGACTCTAATAGCCTATGTAAATTGACTAATAATCCGAAAACTCCCCCATCAATGTTGCCCTAAATGAAAGTAGAAAACTAGAACGACGACTTTAGGAATTTAGAACGGGAAATATATATAAATTGATACATACCTAGTTATGTTACATAGTAATTCCAAAAATTTTGAAATGTTTTTATAGAAGCATAAGGCGCGCTATATTTTTAAAGGGTTGGGTCAAAAGCTACTACTGATATATATTTATAATAATTCTATGTGCTGTCTTGGACATAAAATTTTAGACCATGTTTTTCCAAAATTATCCAAGTGATTTCTTACCAAATTAATTCAAAACATGCTCTAATAACTAGTCATACCTTTGCCCATATATTGCTTCATATATTTCAGTGATATCTGCAAATAAAACGATTGGTATTTATTTTAGGCGCAGATCCCCATCCGTTACCCACTGTTGAGCAACCACTGGCAGAAAAAAAGAAAAAGACAAAACAGTCAAAACAACCGTATGGAGGTTTATTCAGGTTAGTAAAGAAAACGCGCCGAGGAGAATAATATCTTACGGTTAACTGTTCAGTGTTCATGCTATGTAAATTATGTTTAAGAGGTCCTAAGACAGTGTAGGCTATTGGAATGAAGAATGAACCTTAAAGGTCTAGTATTTGAATACGTTTGAAGCTAGCATTGAAGATCGGACTCACGTAAAACAAATCACACAAGTTCAAATAAGCGTTAGAAAAATAAAATCGTTTTGATTTTTTTCCCTCTGTAACATAGCCTACATACTATTAAACGAATCAATTTTCATATTACAGTTCAAATTCACCAAAAACAGGAAGTCGGCGGAAAATGACAAAATTGTTTCAATTTTGAAGAAACGACGAGATGTTCGAAATCCATCTGGTGTGAGAGTGATATTTTCACTCCCACTGGTTACAATTTGTGTGGCAATTCACTCCATCATACATTTTTTTCCGAACACCATATATATATATTTGGATGTTTTCATAGAGCCGAATACTGTATTTGTTATCATTCCACTGTATATTTTTCTTTTACATTGTTTATTTTTAAATATTTCTACCGGATTTAACATGATTGAAAAAGAATAGACTGGTTTAGTTCCATGAGTTTAAAACAATGAATAGTTCTTAGAGCTGAAGTAGGCTACTCTTCTTAGATACACAATTATTATTCCTTGAGGACCGTGGATTGTATTAGCCTTGAATTGCGCTATGTGGAGAAAACTCACACTTGCGCTTAGTACCTTGGGGACATAAGAGTGTGTATATTCTGACGAATATCCCGCAGTCTTCACGACTTCGCCTGACCACCAGATAGCAACGAATGCAAACGCGGAACCGCCACAAGGTGCGCAATTTTTAATCTTGATGACGTCATCGAACGCAAAAACGAATCCCATAGAGCCCACAGAAACTTTTAAAATAATTAATCGACGTCTAGCGATAACAACTGACAACCTTTAACAACTGAAAATTACAAAGCAAATAGTCCATCAGTAGTTAATTAGGAAAGCGATCTTTTTCAAGAAGAAGAAAAATACTATCAACAAACGGATCAAAAAACAACAACATATCGACAGAACGATCCATAGCCTAGGTCCATTTCGTGTCTAATGATGGCATCATTAGAGTAATAGTTGTTTAATCAATTTGAAGGTTAAGGTGGTAGAGTTCTTAATATGTAAACAGTTAAACATGTATTTAAACATGTCATGTTTTTTCGATGACCCGCCACGCTATGAAATAATCAAAAAATAAATAAATAGGAAACCAGCTTCACTTTAATCTAACGATATATAATATGCAGCTACTAAAACAATATTATTTAATTCAAGAGTGCTGTTACAACGTTTAGAACGTTTATGACATAACAAGAACACGTTAATTGCAACTTGTTACGTAACAGAGGTTCCATTCTGCAAGTGCATAAGCCAAGGAGAGCCATATAATGTTTTTGGATAGATACGAGAACTAGGTGCTACTTTGCTGTTTATTTTTTACCACATACAATGCTGTTTAAAAAAATGTTGACTCGTTAAATTAACGACCTCTAAATTTGGTAATTAAATGTAACAAGTAGTTCCCATTGATGCAAACTAGGGTACAATATAGATGACTCACAGTCTTCTTTTCCACAGTAAAAATATAATTTTGACCCTTTTTACTAAAAAAGGGCTGTCATCCATGACCGCTGCAGCTTGCCTTGGTAAATCCGACCCTAATCAGAACCCTAATCAGTTATTTTCAATACAAAACAATATTCAATATTTTCAAACGATGTTATATTTGGAAGCAATGAAAGTCAATATTTTTCCTTATCAGTTTCTAAACAGAAGTTTTTGTTTCGTTTTTGGCTAATAAATTATTTGTGTGTTCTTACTTGATCCGTGAATAAAATCTAAAAAGAGACAATGTAATGACTGTTTGTTTTTTTGTCGTTATAGTAAAAACGCATGACTGTGGGTCATTTGAAGAACTTTTAAAATCAGAAATAGCTTTTTCAATATGTTATCAAATTTATTTTAAAACTGAAGTATGGGAATCGACAATAGAGTACTCCATATTTTATTCAACGTACAAAGGCTAATCACAACGGTCGGACAAATCTCGTGCCAAGATGCAATGTTAGTATATAAAAAGGATAATTTGTTTTAAAGAAACACATTATATTTCCAATATGAAAATTCTTACCACCTTTGAACTGGATTAATTTAATGTTTTCTAAAACCTATTCTGTCCTTGGGGATCTCGTGACGCAGTAACATTCGATTTGAAATATGAAGTCTCATTAAAAAATAATTTCCATTATATGTATATATATATTTATATGGATATGCTTTTATGTGATGCAATAACAACTTCGTTTTTCATTTCATTACATAATTAATTTTATATTTTTAGACCACCGTTGCCCTCTTACGCTTTTATTATAATTATTATTTTATAAATTTTACGGTCTTGGCTGCACGAGGCGAAGAAATCTATCAATATAGCATTGATAGTTGTATGAGTATTTCATGTTTCATGCGTAATAAAAAAAGATGGATGACCTTCATGTACGGTACACTATACCGCTGACGCGGCATGCTTCATTTTCATCGGTCAAGCTCTGCTCTATGACGGAGAAAATAACTTTGGGGGAACTATCACCGGTGTTTTAAATTGATTGGTAATAAATCAGTGAATAGTAGGAATGAGGCTATAGTGACATATTATATTGTTACATTTTCATCGGTCAAGCTCTGCTCTATGACGGAGAAAATAAATCTGGGGGAACTATCACCGGTGTTTTAAATTGATTGGTAATAAATCAGTGAATAGTAGGAATGGGGCTATAGTGACATATTATATTGTTACTCCAAAACTCGGAGGCATCGTTTTCGAAGAGTGCGACAAATTAAAGTAGAGGGGAATTTATAGTCAGTTTATTATTGCATCAATGTCATTTAATTGGTCATATTCAGCTATAATACTGCGATTAATATAATTAGTTTACTTCCCATATATTTCTAACTCTGTTAAATTAGCTGTATCGATGACGTTATGATGCGATATTTTTTTTATTGCTACATAAAGAGTTCCAAATTAAAAAACGTTGTTACCCCTTTCTTTTTGAAATTTTTTCAGGATCCCTTAAGATTTGGCCATGTTCAGATTGAAATAAAGCGCAATTTATTTTTATAACTCGAGAATAACATATTGTTCTTTAGCTAATAATAATGCCGCGGGCGGGCTGAATATTATATCTGATACTGAATGAGTTATGTTAACATTGAATTTGACGATGTATGCATTTTTGGAGAAATAGAGAACAGAGACCTACATACCAATAAGTGTCTTGCCATATGGTAATCTTGGAATAAGATTTATAGGCTTACTAACATCAATTCGAGTGTTAACTACAAATGTGCATTTACTATACAAAAAAAAAAAAAAGATCAAGAGAACGCTCATTTTTATTTCACCTAATTTATTAATCCTATTATTTATGCCTAGTTTAGGTATACGGTTATAGCAATGATTACGAAAAGCTTGATTTTGATTTTCGTGGCACATTCGGGCTTATGTGTTGCACAGGTTAAACGTAGCCCAAACATAATTATATTTCTTGCCGATGATTTGGGATATGGCGATCTCGCGGCTTATGGAAACACAGAACAGGAATCTGGGCCTCTAGAAAAAATGGCTCAGGAAGGAGTTCGGTTCACTCAATGGACGTCTCCCTCATTTGCCTGCACACCAAGTAGATCGGCTTTGCTAACAGGTATTTTGTGCTGATTTCTATATGCGTAAAATACAGGGGGTCCACGAAGTCTCTCCACAATTTCAAATTTGTTATGAAGTCAGTTCTTAATAAATCTTAACCAGGTTTGTTGTTATTTGTCAGTAATAGTTTCAGTATTTTTACTTCATTAAATAGTTTTTTTTTAATGTAAAGAGGCTAAATGACAACTTTACAAATTTGTGCCAATTCTTAATCTTCTATACAGGCAGATACGCAGTGAGGAGTGGCGTGTACGGAAATTCATCAAGAAACTTTACTCCGACGTCTACGGGTGGTCTCCCGGCCAGTGAAATCACAATTGCAGAAGTTCTGAAGCCTTTTGGATACACGACCGGCATGGTTGGAAAATGGCATCTTGGTATATTTTTCATCTTTTTTCAAAAATAATCTCAGTATAATGTTTTATTTGCTACAACACAGTATACAACTATTGCAACTTATAATTATCTTGCAATATCCAACGTTCCAGGAATAAACCAAGCTACAAGCACCGATGGAGTTCATCTACCTCACAACCAAGGTTTTGATTATGTTGGTTCAAACTTTCCTTTCACCCATTCAAAAACTTGTGATGGTGAACATAACGTAAGATTAATTTTATTTTTTGAATATACTTGATCAAATTTTTAAGCCAAATCAGTGATCAAATTATCTGAATTCCTACTGCAGTATTTTGAAATAAATCTAATACTAATGATACCTAAATCGTACAGCAAACAGTATTTCGGGGCTTTCATTTTCCAATAAATCACTTCTCAGAATTTTTATTTCAACCAACTCTGCTATTAGTAGCGATTACCAATAAATCGATTTTCATTTTTTTTTGAATATTATTAAATAAATCCGCACGCTATTTTTGGGCGCCATATCTATTCCATCACTAAAAGACGATAGTATTACATGTAATGAAAAGATAGTTCATTGGGTCAGTAAATTAATACAGAAAGTTAGAAACCCATGCCCCAAAGTCTTTCTGTGAATACGGAATATGTTTCATTTCCTTCTGATATTTCAAACAGGTAGATAATGGTAGTCCAGGCGGAGGAAAACGTCAAGGAGGACGGAGAGCTAGAAGACGCGGGAGATCACGAAGACAGGTATGTGATCATAGATTGTCACGGTTGAAAATAAAAACATATTTATATGGAATATAAGTGAATATCATAATAAGATTACATATGGATCGTTTTTCAAAATTGTTGTTGTTGTACCTTCCATGATTTTCGATATTAGGCTATATTATATTTCCCTACAAACTGCAAGAGAATCATGCTCAAATATATGGACACGAAAGTCGCTCATCGGTACCGGTACTAGATTAGGGCTGAGTGCCGAGTTTGCTGAAAAGGGAGGTGGGCAATAAACAAGTAGGTGGTCTCGCAATTCGAGATAAAAAAGTTTTATTGTAAGTAAAATAAAACGGCAAATACTTTGGACAAATGATGGTTCTCAGATGAAACCGTACCGTACTGAAATGAGTTTTATAGCGACTCCTTTCATTTTTAAGCATATATATACATTACCGTGAAGCGAACTAACTTCTTTCTAACAAGAAAAAGACTTTCAATTATGTTGATGTTTAATCCATAACAAAGCAATGTTAACGACAAGCGAACAGAAAACAGAATGACAAGTTATCGTAAGAAAAGCACGTAAGTAATCATGCGTGACAAAAACATAAACAAAACAATTGTGACTCATAACGGCTATTATTAGTTAAGTGGTTCGCCACACTACCCCCCCAGACGGAATGAGTTATAAAAATCTAGTGGGTTTACGAGTTTTTCTACCAAATTTGGTTCTGTAATCATAACCGGTTGTAGGTTCGGATGAACGATCGTCTGTAGAACGCTGATTGTTCGTTGTTGTTTTAGGGATTGGAGGACGTCCTCTTGGTTTAGGAATGGATACAGAAACAGGATGGTCGAGATCAAGATGAGCTGGCTTTAACCTGTCAACAGAAATAGTTTCGCTTCGGTTTCCAATCTGTACTTTGAAAGTTTTATTCCCATGTTGCAAAACTTCGAATGGTCCTTCATAAGGTCTTTGTAAAGGAGATCGGTGTGCGTCACGACGAATAAACACGAACTTGGCTTGATTGAGTGCGGCTGGCATTCTTGCTCTGAAAGGACCATGGTGCGACGTAGGAATTGGAGCCAATGATCCTACTCTTTCTCTGAGAAGCCGAAGATTTGTGGTCGGGCAGCTATTGTCTTTAGAGTCTGATATGAAATCACCGGGGACAGTGAGGGGAGCGCCATAAACAAGCTCAGCTGACGATGCCGTAAGATCTTCTTTCGGAGCTGTGCGGATTCCCAATAAAACCCATGGAAGCACGTCCAACCAGTTTGTATCATTGAGTCGTGCCTTGATGGCAGATTTCATTGTTCGATGAAAACGTTCTACCAAACCATTTGCCTGTGGGTGGTAGGCTGTAGTGTGATGAATTTTTGTTCCCAATAATTCGGCAAAGGCAGACCAAAGGCCTGAAATGAACTGTGATCCTCGGTCAGAAGAAATGTGAAGTGGAACACCAAAACGGGCAACCCAATTTGACAGGAAAGCTCGGGCACAAGACATAGTTGATATGTCTTTGAGGGGAATGGCTTCTGGCCACCTTGTGAAACGATCTACTATTGTAAGAAGGTAATTGTATCCTTGTGATGGTGGTAAAGGACCAACTAAGTCAATGTTGATATGGTCAAAACGTTTGTCTGGCATTTTGAAATCTTCTAAAGGGGCCCGTATATGACGATTTATTTTAGACTTTTGGCATTCCAGGCATGTTTTGGCCCATTGTCCAATTTGTTTGGAAAGACCATGCCACACAAATTTTTGTGAGATCAGTTTGCGAGTGGTACGTATGCCTGGATGCGAGAGCCCGTGAACCGCATCAAAAATTTTTCTGCGCCAGCTGGCAGGCACTATAGGTCGTGGTCTACCCGTAGATACGTCACACAGCAATGTAAATTTGTCGTTGCAAAAAGGGACATCTTCGACACGAAGACCGGTGATAGCAGTGCGGTAAGCCTGTGTATCCTTGTCGTTTAGTTGATCTGTGGCCATAATTTCATAATCGATGCCGTCATTGATGTCGTTGATGACCGCGCGCGACAGGGCGTCGGCGACAGTATTATCCTTACCGGAAATATGTTTTATATCTGTTGTGTATTCAGATATGAAATTGAGGTGACGCTGTTGTCGCGCTGACCATGGCTCAGAGACTTTTGACATAGCAAAAGTGAGGGGTTTGTGATCTGTAAAAATCGTGAAGGTTCGTGCTTCGAGAAAATAACGAAAATGTCGTATTCCTAAGTAAACGGCCAAAAGTTCCTTGTCGAATGCACTGTATTTCGTCTCGGGTTTGCGTAGCTGTCTACTATAAAATGCAATTGGCTTCCAAGATCCATTTAACTTTTGCTCGAGAACACCTCCTAAGGCAACGTCCGAAGCGTCGACTGTGAGGGCAGTTGGTGCGTTTGGTTGTGGATGTGTAAGCATAACTGCATTTGCCAGTGCTTTCTTAGTTTTTTCAAATGCACATATCATACTGTCAGTCCATTCGGGCAAAACCTTCGACTTCTTGGGCAGGCCGGAAAGTGCTGCGAATAGTGGTTGCATTATTTGGGCAGCTTTGGGCAAAAACCGATGATAGAAATTAACCATGCCAAGAAACTCTTGAAGGCCTTTTACAGATGAAGGGCGAGGGAAATTAGTTATCGCCTTCACTTTATTGGGGAGAGGAAAAGCACCCTCTTTTGTAACAGTATGTCCCAGGAACTCTAATTCGCTTAAACCGAATTTACATTTGGCAGGATTGATAACCATACCGTGGCTTTTTAGCCTTTGGAAAAGATTTCGCAAGTCCTTTTTGTGTTGATCTTTAGACGTACTGGCGATAAGGATGTCGTCAAGATAGACAAATACGAAAGGCAAACCTCGACAGATGGTATCCATTAAACGCTGGAACACCTGGGCGGCGTTTTTAAGCCCAAACGGCATGCGGAGAAATTCAAATAGGCCAAATGGTGTGATAATGGCAGTTTTGGGGATATCTTGTTCATGAATAGGTATTTGATGATAACCGCGAACAAGATCCACTTTAGAGAAAATTGTCCTTCCCGCAAGACGGGCCGTAAAATCTTGTATGTTTGGGACTGGGTAGCGGTCAGGCACGGTCATATCATTGAGACGTCTGTAGTCTCCACATGGGCGCCACCCGCCGTCCTGTTTAGGTACGATGTGAAGCGCAGACGCCCAGGGGCTATTTGAGGGTCGGATGATTCCGAGTTCAATCATGTTATCAAACTCTGCCTTTGCCGCGGCTAGCTTATCGGGGTGCAATCTTCGAGCCTTTGCGTGCACCGGGGGGCCTTCTGTAACAATATGATGCTTTACCCCGTGTGCAGTGGTCGGGTTGCTGAATGTGGGGCGCGTTAAATCAGGAAATTCGTTCAGAATTTTGGCAAAATCGTTTTCGGCTACGTAGTGAAGGCAAGGCGGGGTGCCAGTAATCGTTCTGGTTGGAATACAAGCGTATGTGCTTGCCTCGATAAGTCGTTTGCCCCTGATGTCAACCAAAAGTCCGTGAGAGCGCAAAAAATCTCCCCCGATAATTGCCCGTGAAACATTGGCTAATGTGAATCTCCAGGTAAAATTTCTACCGCATATAGTCAAAGGCACTTTTCGTGTGCCATATGTCGTAATTGAGGTGCCATTAGCTGCCAAAAGTGCTTGTCCTGGTCGCCCGTAACGACGGTCATGACCGGTGGCAGGCAGCACGCTGACTTGTGCACCCGTATCAACTAAAAAACTGCGTCCAGAGTTTTTGTCTGTGACGTAATAAAGGTTTGAATCGCCGACCGCCAAGGAGGTTACTGACGGTCGGCTATGGCGTTTTCCGAAACCACAAAAGAACATGGCGGGCGACATTTTTTGGCTTTCTTGCCGAATTTCCTGTGATAAAAACACATTTCAGACAAAACATGAGATGGTTTGAACGAACTGGTTTTTTGTACAGCGTTTGTCACCTCATAGCCTTTTGCAGTTAAAATATCATCTGCTTTCCTTGTCAGCTTCCGAAAATCGTCGCCCGTGGTTGTTAAAATGTCTGTAAGTTGAGACCGGACGTCTGGTGGCAGATGACTGACGAACAAATAGCGAAATAAGAAATCAGGTGTCTTACCTACTGGATACAATGCAAGCATGTTGTCCATAAGTTCCGTTGCCGTTCCATCCCCTAGTCCAGGCATTGAACAAAGGCGCGCAGCTCGTTCAGGATCCGTCAGCGAACATTTAGTAGTGAGCTTCTCTTTGAGATCTTGGTACTTGTTCGTTTCCGGCGGGTTATTGAGAACATTAAGAATGCTGGCAGCGGTATTTTCATCCAGAGCGGCAACCACGTAGTGGTATTTTGTTTCATCTGTTGTGATATTTCGAACAGCGAACTGCGCTTCGACTTGGTGGAACCAAACGGCAGGATTTTTAGTCCAGAAAATCGGCAGCTTTAATGATACCGCTGTTAGGCCTGCTTTGTTGTCTTCACTCATATTCTTCGTTATGTGCGTATTCTTTTCTCAAAAGTATGCTTTTGAGGTCGGGGTCACCATTTGAAGCGAACTAACTTCTTTCTAACAAGAAAAAGACTTTCAATTATGTTGATGTTTAATCCATAACAAAGCAATGTTAACGACAAGCGAACAGAAAACAGAATGACAAGTTATCGTAAGAAAAGCACGTAAGTAATCATGCGTGACAAAAACATAAACAAAACAATTGTGACTCATAACGGCTATTATTAGTTAAGTGGTTCGCCACAACCGAAGATTTAAAATTGATTTGTCTATTAGGTAGGCAGGATTTTTCTCAACAGCAAGAAGAACAAATCACAACAACAACAAGCACAAAAACAACAATAATTTAGCAAAATGATTTATATTATAGGCACATTTCGTGTCCAATAATACGATAGCGAATAAACATGTCTTCTCTTCATGTACTGTTAATATATATGAATCATAAAGGATGACCCCAAAATACAGAACCTATTATTTTTCAAAATACTTCTAAGAAAAATACAAAGATTTATTTACCACCTAAACTTTTGTTTGTGATTGTACCTCAGAGTTCAAGTAATCTAGGACGCTCAGCACAAGAGATAGGCTATATTCTCTTATATTGAGAATATGCTACAAATGACCTGGGTTATGTTTTTTTTTTGAGTGATGGGGGCACATTTGCCATACATCTGAAGGAATTCGTTCGTTGGCCGTCGGAAGGAAATACATATAATTTAGACTCATTCATATTTTATTCTTTATTAGGCAGGTCGACAATCAGGATCCAAGCTTTGCTTTCGTTACGAGGGATCACAAATAGTTGAACAACCCTACTCGACTTCAAATCTCACACAAAAATTCGTGGAAGATGCTATCAGTTTTGTTAAAACAAATAAAGACAACAAGTTTTTTCTGTATGTGGCACTCCCTCAACCCCATCCAGTATGGTTTTGCAACAGCGACTTCTGTGGGAAATCGAAACGAGGTAAAATGATGGCTAGCAATAAAAATACACCGCAAAGGGTAACTGGAAATCACTCGAATATAAGAAAATACCATGTAATCGTAATGCATTAGAAATGACATTGAAAACAGTATTCGTGTAAGATGTTATCAAGAGTATCGCATTAATTCACCCCTATTTCAGGTCGTTTAGTATGGTGGACATGGATAGTGGCCTATTCATATTATACTTACCACCAGAATAATCTTTAATTTAGGCGAATATGGCGACGTCTTGAACGAAATGGCGTGGGCCGTTGGTAAAGTATTGGACCAATTAAAGACCCTTGGTATAGACAAAGACACTCTGGCAATTTTTGCATCAGACCATGGCGCTCGTCAACCAACATGTGATTCAACATGGTCTAATGGTCCTTTCCGAGGTGGAAAAGGGACAACTTGGGAAGGAGGAATTAGAGTCCCAGCGATTGCATGGTGGCCTGGTACACTCCCCGCAAACACGGTCAGCAATACATTTATCAATCACCTTGATATTTGGCCAACGGCCGTAAAGTTGGCGGGTATGTAAACAGATTTTTATTTTTGAGTGAAATATCATGCTGCGGTCGAAGCTTTTAAAAACTTGTTGAAAAATTCCTAAAAATCACGTAAGTAGCAGTCATGATCTTTTTTCATGCTGCGGGTCAGCAGACAGATCCATAATTATGTCCCGATAAAAACCTCCACGTTCTGGTCATATGTGCACTTTTGAACTTGGTCCACAAAAGTTACCACAGTACAGTTGAAACAGAAAATCTCACAAAGATATTTGTAAATTCCTACTTCAGTTTTTAAGTTCATTCAACTTGATAATTTTTAGAATTCCGAGAGATGAACACCCGTTGTAAAGTGTCAGTATATCCATAGCCAGATATTTACTGCATATCTTTATATATTTTCATATACAGGTGGATTCAATTATCTAACTGTTTTGAAGTCCACTGGATACCACATTGATGGGCAATCGATTCCAGATCTCATGTCGTCCATTTCAAGATCTACGCCGCAGCGGAACCAAATGTTCTATTACTGTTCCGATCGTCTTATGGCGGTTCGATATGGGAATTATAAAGTACTTTATCGTACAATGGGAGAATTCGGTAATTTTTTCAAATCGTTGCTAACAATGAATTTATAAATTAATGTTTATAACGAGGAATCTCTGTTCTCCTGTGCAATTAATGAACTTGATTCGTTTCATCCGTTCTTTCAACCTGAATTCTCTGTTACAAGAACTTTTACTGAACATATTCAGGTAACCATATGTATTGCAGTTATATATACCTGGAGTCTTGGCTGTCGACTGAGATCTATTGATTATGTGTACACATCTCATTCAACTTCAGCATTTGGTGATGGCAATTAATTAATATATATTGATTGTTGAACAATTTAGTTGGTAAATAAATGCAACATGGTATATTTACTACAATCCGCAAATTGAATGAATTTTATGAATTTCAGCAACAACTTCTGGATGCGATAACTCTGAAAAGTATTCATGCTATGGCGACGATATAGTGGAACACAACCCTCCTATAGTTGTTGATCTCGTGAAGAGTCCCGGTGAAACGGTTGCCGAAAATAATTACCACGCTACAACTAAATTCATTATCTTAATGGCGTCTCGACTCGTGCATCAACATGAGTCTACTAAGAACAACATTCAGCCGAGTCAGTTAGACTTGGCAACGAATGACAGGTTATCGCCGTGTTGCAATCCTCCATCTTGTTCCTGCAGTGGGAGCTCTCAATGATTCAGCCAGACAGTGACAGTGGTATACTTTATTTCCAACTAGGATTTCTTGACCAAGAGAGCTGAACATTTAAATTAATGGCCAGATATAATTTGTTATTACTTAATATAAAACTAACATCTGCAGAATGAATTTTAAATAAATCATTTTAACATGAAACTGACTGAATAGGTATATCGTCGTCGCGGTGGGCTACCAGGTTAACGTAGCGATTCTTATACATCAGTAGCTCTCTGTCGGGGTTGCCTCATTGTAGTAATTTATTACGCACATAATTAAAGAAATTTTAAAATGAAAACATGCGTACTTATGAACATTGTACTTATCTTGGGAGGTTTTCGGGTTTAATGCAAGACTGTTTCACAACTAAACTGGCGTCTGCATTGCTATCTCAGACTGAGTTTTTATCGGGTAATACACACGTCGTTGATAAGTATACGGGATAGGAGCCGGTTTCATGAAGTAATATACCAATTGATTATTTTAAACCAGGCGTCGGCAATCAGCGGGCCAGTTTGAATCTAAATTAATTTGCGCAACGTCCTTCAAAAACACTAATTTTACTTAACTTGAAGGTCCAACTCAACAGTATAACTCAAGCGAATTCTAATGTTCGATATTGATTAACGATCAATTTTCTTTGTTGACTATTATTTTGTGTAAACTGATATCATTTCATCATACCGTGTTCAAATTTAAGATAAGTAAATATCATGGCCATTGACTTCAACGGTATGATATTGCACTGCTTCTCGATGGTTGTCGACCACTGTCCTAAACTACGTAACCTACAGCGTTTAAAATATGTAAGATTTTTATAACTAGATTTTTATATAATTATTGTTGTAATCTTGAAAGATTATGGAATTGCGATTTGATGAATTACGCCAGGGTGCCTATATATTGATATCCTCCGATTGAGACAATAGTAGAATATCATTAAAAATGTTTGATCTGGCCAAATCTCTATCTATCTCCGATTATATTGATAGAAATGTATATGGGAGAATAGGTTTTCTATGTCGCCCTTATGCACGCAGGAGGCGGTATGCATGTAACAAGGTCGTCAAAGATTGATAACTACCGATTTTCTATATTTCTCAAATCATAAATTTACAAATTGGCAAAGACAAAACGTTTCATTTGAGTAGCGTTACCGAATAGGTTACATTTGTTTTGTTTACGATGATAAAATAATATTATCTTATCAACGTCAATCAGCCAGGTCTTAAATTTATTTGATACATATAAAGCAAATCAACGAAAGCAAACCAACTACGATTATTGGTACGTTCTAATGTCTATTCCGATCCACATAGCGGGTTCTTTGTATCCATTTCCTGTGATTGTTGGGCCAAGTCCAAAATCAAAGGTGAATGAAGCTTGAACCCAAAGTCAAAGCATGATTTTCGATAAAAATAAACGTTGTCGAAAATTCCCGTGCATGAAAAATTTAATGGAAATATAATGGAAACAAGTGGCACACGTGGGACAAGTTAGACACGCGGAACAAGTGGGACCAGTGGGATACGACATTTTTGAGACACCCAGAAAATAGCTATGGGATGGTGGTTTCCACTTAACTGAAATTCATGAAAAAACTCAGGCATGTGTGTGAGTAGGTTCCCTGGTAAGGCTGTTTGATCCGACTGAATGGAACATCTAATGCAAATATCGAAACATTCAGCTAGAAATTCAAACAAGAGCAATGTCTAATTAAATGCACACGAAAGTCGTTTGTCGGTCAAGACGTTTAGCTAGTTTCGCTGAGCACCGAGTTTACTGAAAAGATTGGCGGGCAAGCGTGGCGGAGTGAAAAGCAAGCAGAACGAATTATAGCAGTGATTCTCAAACTAGGGTTTGAGAGCCGCATGCGGCTCTCAACAACCTTCCCTGCGGCTCCCGTTAATGTTTTAAAAATTAATTATTTTCAAAGAAAATTTTTCATTGAAAACTAATCATTGACTCGAAATTAAAATGCTGAAGTCTATTAGTTAGTCGAATGGATTCCCCCGTGTTTATTTGCGTAGCGTTGACTAACCTACAAGATACAATAGTGACGCAACAGTGAGCGTTTTCGCGGACACTCGGACACTTTTCACTGGAAAGATTTCAGACATGGCTGTAATCATTGGCTTGCTTTCATGGATTTTCAGTTTGTGTCGCATTTCCAGATCTTATGTATAAATCAAATAACTCAATGATTATTTTAATTTCTAGAGCATTTTAATTTTGTTCCAGCAATCGAAAATAGTCCCGAAAAATCTGGCGATCATCTCAAGCAGCTACTGCACCTTGCATCCTCCACGATTACAACCCGTTTTGACAAACTTATTAGAAATCAAAGCCTAATTAAATCAAATCAAAAAATCAAAATTTTTTTCGAATTGAATAATTTGAATATTTTTTTATACATAACAGGGATCCAGAACGTCGGAGGCCGATAGTCCATTTGGAAATTAATAGAAACATTGAAAAGTCGGCAATAAAGCGTTTTTTAATGGTTAATTTGGCGGCGATATCCTAAAGTTGGTATTCTATATTTCCGCCCTTCCTCGTTTTTGCAAGAATAAGCGGTCGCCAAAGATCGAAATTCCATATTTCTAGTATACCCTTGCGTTCTCATCAGCGACAGCTGTTGAATACATTTAAGGACTGATTTCAAAACCAAATTAATTCTATTCTGAGTTTTATCCTCTGCCTTGGATTCGATCTACTTTATCACCGCTTGTAAATTAACCGTGTCTGTTTCAAGTGAACGGTAACCGAGATGCAGATATTTATTATAATGATAATTGAGTTTCTCATGCTTTTCTATGGTGTTCGCGTTATTTTAGTATTAGATAGATGAACCTAGCAAATTTACGAATGCGTGAATCCTGAAAGAAAATAGCGATTAAAGAAATTGTCAATAAAGGCATTTCTAGGTTTTTGTGCCTAATAGAATGTCAGACTCTAATTATACCTAATTACTTCAAGTTTTAACGTTTTTTTTTCAACAAAACAACACCCCGATGGTTATTATAGCTAAAATACTTACTCAGTAATGCTCAATTTTCTTCACGGAATTTGCAAATTCAGCACTTCACTTGATGATTTTGATTATATCATGCATTATGGCTTAATTATTACTGCCCAAATGCTTCAAAATTTAACAATTGTAATCATTCCCGATGATAATAGACGCAACAATTTGTGAACGAGTCAGTGTGCATTGTTACAACGAAATTCACGATTGATTTTACGTTCTACTCTTGGCTCAACGGCCATGCATGGTCGAGTAAAATGTTTACATATTCGAAAAATTACTTGGCAAAGGATGGAAGGGATCACTAAAGAGCTAATACAAAGTGCTTTGAAGGGAGTAGGACATGACATTTCTTATCTGGTTACAACTTGATGAATGTTTTCCATACAAGTAACTCATACCAGCTTTTGGAAAAACTTTTGGTCATTTTTTAAATCGATGCTATTCACATAACTAGAGTGTTTTAACGACCTAAAATCGCATTTTTCACAATGAAACGCCGAAATGTCATTTTAACATTTAATTTTAAGCAACTTTATGTTCGGTAATGCAAGAAATGGCTAATGACATGTCACCAAGCATGCCGAGTTTAAATCTGGGAAATTTATTTTAAATACCTAATCTGGTTTGACGTTTCTAAATTTACGGAACGGTCGGTACGTTTTTTTGCAAAATGATGAATTGAAAGGATACCATAAGTGCAAAAATAAGCATATAACACCATAACGCAAAGACAAATTTTTCTTATTTTTCTCATAGCGAGCGCCATTGGGAAATCTCGCACAATTCACGATTGAGTTGGAGACGCTCGAGTTTGGTGTCCGAGCAGAGCGGTGCAGGTCACGTGGTACCGGATATTCAAATAGCAAAATGCCATTCGAATATTTTATTATTCGAATATTTGGCCCAGCCCTAGTTGTTACGTGTGTTGTTGTTACGATGACTTGGTATTTTAATTACGCGCTTAAGGTTTGTTGCTATTTTACCTTGCGTTGTTTGTGTGCGGCTCTTCATACCTTTGAGGTTTGAAATGCGGCTCTGGGACTAAAAAAGTTTGAGAACCACTGAATTATAGTGTTCACAGAGTCCATAAAATCTCTTTCGAGAATAAAAAAAAGCGAAATTTAGGTGGAATATCCTGTCCCATAAAAATTTGCAAAAATAAATAAAAGTAATAGCCTTTTAAGAGCTTCTGTCACAAATATTTAAAATTTAAAGTTCATTGTTCTATTTGTTGCGGAGAAAAATGATTTTGCATAACAACAACAATGAGAATTAAGGAAACGATTCAAAGTCCTATACCGTGTTCGATAAATGTTTTGTAATTCTAAACATTGGACATTTGACCAATGCAAAACTGCAAGACGCCGAGCGGCGCGTTGCAGATATGTGAAATTTAGGTGTTTAAAATTTTCATATCGTTTCACTTAACATAAATCAATCTTAGGACAGTACAATTTTAAGATTCTAGTCCGATATTAAGTCGATTTTATCTGATCAAACACCTAATTGCTTTCTTGGAAGGCTGCCATTTCGTCTTTGGCATCGATGTAAACTGTTCGTCATTAACGTGCGGTTGTGCATTCAAAACAATCGTATCGTGCCAATGGTACGACACATTACTTCACGCTTAACCAACATTCATATTACCAAATAAACATATTATTATCAAACTTAAAAACTCAGTCAGTGTCCTATAATTTGCAGTGAAATGTAACCAATCTCTTGTAATAAATATATATACTTTATTACGTAACAATGTGATTTATTAACATTCCTGTAGAAATTTAAGACAAGTTGTTTCATTCGCGATCGGACAATACTACACTGAGATGGCGTCAAACGGCGATATTGGATCGGTTCTATTGAAACTTCAAGATTTGAAAACAAGTGAATATTTCAGCGATGGTAAGCTGCCAGGCTTCCGTATTAAACCGAACGCTTCTAGCTATTCAACGGAATTACATTTATATATTTTATAGCCCACATTCTCTCTATGCCTATCTCGACTCTGCTATAAATCTCGCTATTAACAGTAGTTTTAAAAATGTTCAATTGATCATAGTTTTAACACATATGTATTTTGAACCTCAATGTTGGTTTCAAGATAAGATTTTTCGCTTCTTCATTCCATAGTAAGATCTGTAGTATATATTTTAAAAACAGCGATTAACAGAAATAGTTTTACTTTACCTATATAGGACACATTGTAGTTAGCTCCCTCATTCTTTTACAGAGGCTGGAATTCATATCGATGCTGTAGTTTCCTGTATAAAGGAGCTTTATGACAGCACTGCAAAACTGCGAAGCGATCACGAAACCGCTACTATTCAGTCAGGAGTTCTTCGCCACAAACTAGCGGATATGAGAAATGATGTTCCGTCAGAACTGGTACAATATTTGTAAATTTTCTTCCCTTACAAAGTTTCAAGAATTGGGGCTATTATTATTTCTAAATGCAATTTACTACTTGCAGAATGAAGCAGTAGATAACGCAAATAACTTTAATAAAAAAGAAACGATTGAATTGAAGGAACAAATAAAAAGTCTTCAGAATGAAATAGAAAAAGCCGAAGAGGTAATAAAATGATAGTTTAAAAGTCGCAATACTTGTATCGTCAGCAAAAATACCTATCTGTAGTAAACTGCAGCGTCCTCGCAAATACGAAGCGCACAGTTCGTCACTGGAATCAAGACCCGTGGACTTTACAACACTGTAACAACCTACATGGGCTTATGTGTGATGGGTTAGCTGCAAACCACGCATTTCATCTTCCTTTAACAATCTTGCACCGATTATAGAAAATAGTTTGTCTAGTTTTAAAAGCTTAACAGGATGAGGAAACAATAGCGTTGGCGTAGAAACGAGCGCTGACATTTTGAATGCGTCTCTGATTTTTCATATTCCTTATTATAGTTGCTGCGAATGACTATTTCCATTTTCATTTCATTATAAGCACTTATTTAAATTGAACGGATTTAAATAGCTAAAACTTTCCCGGTTTGAACGGGCAACTTGATGAGGATGAGATTTGCCATATTATCAAGCCGCCTTTTCGCCTTTCTCTTGGGTATGTAATCCTCATCATCTGCGGTATCTCAATGAGTGTGAACTTTTTTTTCCATCTTGCCCAGAAATCCATTGCTATGCTTGTCTTGACTTTAGTTTATATTTAAACACATAAAAAAGATTCTCGGTCCCTAAAAATCTGAATTTATTGAATCATTTTACAGGACGAGAGAAAAGTAAAACTTGAAAATGAGAGATTATTTGTGAGAGCGGACGGAGCAAATCAGATGTGGCCGAAAATGACAAATATCGTTGGAAGTGCCTTACGAAGAAAATCCATTGCCCAGTTGTATGTCAACGATACCAGGTGAACACTGTCGACTTTTACAGTACGTTGGATTAATGAAAAATCAGCATTAACTTTTTTATCAAAGATTTTTATTTGGTACGTATTGAAATATACTATATATTCGCAACGATTTTAATGAAAGACTAAATTTGTAATTTTAAAAAATATGAAAAATTTGCGACTATACATTAAATGATTCCAAGTGTTATAGTATCCTACAGCGAATTCCTTCAGTCGCGAATATTAATAAAGTACAAAATGATTTACCGTAGGTGCAAGACTATGGATGTCCATCGAAGAGCTATATCTCTCGGCAAAGAAGCTGAAGAAATGTGTCAAGATGTCGAAGATTACTGGAACTATTGCTACGTTCAAATGTCAAAAATAAAAGCTGATGCTGACAGATGGAAACAGAGGGTTAGTATCTAGTCGCAGCTTTGCATATCTACAAATTTTGCGTTAATAGTATGGCTTCATTTATAAATTAACTTTTATATCTTCGTTTCATTAGTTTCAATAAACAATAAAACGATGTTCAAACACATGAACACTAAGGAACAAGGTATATAAAAGTGGTTTTATATGTCATATTATAGTGTTTCCATAAATTAAAATGAAACAGCAAAATTTTGAGTGGAAAATTGGACTCACTGGGAAAGTAATAACAAATATGAAGATAATTGGTCTATTTATTGCAGAAAAAGCGATTTTTTCGCAACAACAACATGAAATAAAACGCAATCCTTGGGCATTTTGTGTCAATTAGCCTGTCGTATAAAAATAAATTCCCCTGACAGTGGTTTTGTATTGTAGATAGTTGAACAAGATGAACGTACTGAGGAAGCAAAATCGCTTTTTGCTATCGTTGATCAACAAGTGCGAGAATCAAAAATGCGACTAAATTCACAAGAACAAATCACCAACAATCTGAACGAGAAAGCAGAACTTGCTCGTGCTAAAGTAAGTTTACAAGTAGAAGTTAGAAATGAGATGTTGTATTTACTAATTCATACGATTACTGTCAATTAGGGGTGTTGGTGAGAGGACGCGTGAGAAGTTGGAATACCATATTGTGTAGCTGGTATAGTTCCAACAACATCGCTACGAATACTTCTGTCACTACTGGCGTAGGATGAGTAAACAAATTAAAATATTACGCGTTTGAAATGGAAAAAACAATGACGTTTTGAGATTAAAATATCCCATCTATGTTCAAGGTGATATTTTCTGAATAAAAGTTGTGTTCATGCCCTTATTTTAATTGTGCTTTTTTGTTATCAAAAAGAATTGAGTGAGAAAAATAAACAGCAATACTATTATCATGTTCCGTCAGAAAAAAATATCATTTGACTTTCAATTTCAGAAAGAAAAACAGAAAACCATTCTTGCAAACAAGAAAAAGAGATTTCAAGAAGCGATTGAAGAGAGAGATCACTTTCAACAATCTTTAGAAGATACAAAAATTTATTATAAAGTTAGTTCTTATATTAAAGAATTTATATGTAGTGCATTTACAACGATCTTCTTCTTTTTATAAGAATCCTAACAAGTGATTACAGTCATTCAGAAAAAATATCCTGAATCGCTAAGTCTTTAATTTCGACCAAACGTAAAATTTTAGGAAGTAATACAACAACTTCGAACTAAAGAGAATACTATTGAAAATGAAATTGAAAAGAGTCTGATTGAACGTAGAGAGCTCATAGGAAATACCGAGGAAACGCGGGAATTACTGAATGACAAAAAGAATGAATCAAATGAAAAAATAGAAGATAGAAAAATGCAGAAAACTATTATGGTGGAATCAAACAATTTGGTACGATTTGTGGTTGAATATTCAAGGAGTAAATTGTGGAATAATTAACAAAAAATATGATGAATATACAATGATAATAACTGAAACTAATCGGTAATAAAATTGTTACATATTATAAAAAACAAAATGCAGATTGAATCGTTAATTTCAGATTGGTACAGTACTGGAAGATGCGGCAGGGGCTAAAGCTGAAAGAGAAAAACTCAAGAAAAAAATTGCAGCTGTTCTTGAAGACAGAGATCTCACCAGGAAAAGCTATTCAAGGGAAATTGAAAAGTTGAATGAATATTTAGACAAAGAATCATCCACAAGGTTTGTATTCAGATATTGTCATCGAAATGAAATAAAGTTGAATGACATTCATACATTTCATCAAAATACGTTAAAGGTAAAACTCCGACGTGGTTCTGTCATTCTACCACTTTACGGGTCTGCATGTGGCTCAAAAATATTATTTCTCACACTTGTCTCAATTGTATGAATCTCACTTCACGTTATTAATGTAACTTTTTTCCAAACATCGTGTAAGATGCACTTCATTCGTTACTTTGATCGTTAGTCCCTCAATATATATCTGCCTTAACTCAAAACACTGAGAGAAGCGCGGTGCAAGTGGAACAAGCGTGATTCATGTAGAACCAATGAGGCGCGACATTTTTGGAATACTATCAGCTTACCACCTAAGATTAAATATACCAAGAATCACCAATATTGTTGGTATGTTTTTTCTAAGGCAAGAAATAGAAGCAGAATATGAACTTTCCTTAGAAGACTTAGATCGAGAAGAAAGACAACAGACTGAATTTATGGAAGAAAACAAAACAATAATGGAATCATTCATGTAAGTTTTCTTTAGCACAAATGGCTATTGGATTACATTAATATATCATTCTTCAATGAAAAAGAATTTCACATACTATATAATGTATTTTTTTTCATAATAGTGCGAAAAAAGAACTTTTGAAACGAACTCAAAATGAAACTCAAGACGGGGAACACGATTATAGAGTTAGAAAATCAAAAATAGAAGATGAAATTGAAATGAGTAACAGATACTATGAAATTACCATCGTGGAGTTAAGAAACGAAATAGAACAAGCTAAGATCAGAGTTCAAAGTACAAAGGTGGATATTCAATTATTTTTCTACTCAGTGATTGGTGTGAAAGTATAGAAGTTAAATTACGTTTATAAATTTGCTATTCAATGTTCCTTACAGGAACTAGTTGCCATCTTACAAGAGAAAACTGCATTAATAGAACCCCTATTCTTGCAAACTAAAGACGAGTTTCGTAATTCTAAAAAAGAACATGATGAAGCAAGAGATAAAACAGTGGAATTGAATAGAAAATATAAAGATATGTGCGATGAAAGTGAACGAAGCGTCATACAAACAGTCAGTGAGTGTCGCAGTGAATTTAAGTCAGTTAGCAAAAGACATGAGTTACTTAATCCTAAATGCACTCAAAGTACAACAACAAAGTACAGCAGATTTATTAAATTCATATACCCATCGATTCCATAGTCTACCTTCCAACAAAATTATACAGTTTCCTGTATTCTGATAGAATTTGAAATAATATTTTAAAGTTGGCTAGTGGAATGCGCGAAGCCGATGAGAGAGTTTGATGCAAATTACTACGCCTTCAACAATGTCGAACTATTTTTCATAAATAGTAATCTTTTTAGATTTGGAGAAGGAAAAAAAGAAGCTTCAACAGGAGCTAGAGGAAGTCAATCATGAAGTTATTCAAGAAATCCAAAATCTAGATGACGTCAGTTTAGTTAATCTTGATCTTCACAAAGAAATGAAGCAGCATGATAAATTATTCAGAGAAAACAACTTGTTTTCAAACGCTTGTGAAAAGCTAAGGGCTAAAGTAGATGGTAAACAATTAATATGAGTGAACACTAATTTTTTCTGTTTGGTAACACAAGTTTTAATTAAGGAAAAAGCTCGAATGGTTTGGCTTGGGTTCGGTGTGGACTTTGGAATCATCCGGGGTTGGGGTTTTAGGATCTCCAGTCACCTTCTTTCATACACGCAGTTCCCGGAGTAGGCAGTAAACCTCAGACTGCACCTTCATAAGCAAAATAGGACGACAGACCTGACGCTGTAGTAAAGCCAGAAAAAGTTGTTTGAAACATAATGCTGATAAAATACAATAGCCATCTGATATTTTGAACCAAACTAAAAAATACTATTTGTTTTACTGAATTTAAATAATAAAATAAAATTCATAAATGCAACTTTAATATACAGACGAGAAAACAAAAATTGATCACACCGAGAAATGCCTTTCACAAATGGAGGCTTCTCAAGAAAACATTCAACAAAAGTTAGTCCAACTAATCGTAGAAGAAATGGAATTAACAGATTTGGCAAGAGAAAGAGATGAGGAATTGATAGATGACATAGCTGCCAAAAAGGTAATTTTTTCTATTTTAGTATTTCATGTTTGTGGCAACATAAACTGTCTATAGTAGAATATGACTTTATTTTTTCTGTTCACTAGCAATAGTGTGTGTAATAGAGAAATTACAAGGGACAGTGACAATAGCTGTAATTATCGTTTTTTCTATTAGAACTTTTCAGATAATCGACGTCGTATATTGGAAGGAGTTACAGATAAGATGTCACGTGTTTTGAGTTCTATAGAAAAATTGCAATCGGAGGATGTATCTGCAAGAAAAAAACTTAATATATAATTGTTTTGACATTTTGTATTTGCTTGCATTTTTTATTACTTGAATAAATCTTCTAAAGACTTTGACCTTTTAACTCCGAAGATACGTCGTCGCTATTTTAACCGGGATCTCAATATGAGTTTTTAAGCAGTATTGAATAGTAATGGTCGAAACATTTTCATACAGACAATGATGACACCAAAAATAATTTTTCAATACCTGTTAATATGCTATTCATAATTCTTGCTCTGAAAAGTAATTTATACAAATGAATTTGAAAGGATACAAAAAATGATTTATTTTTCGAATTTTTCAAAAATTGATCAATTGTGCGATTGTCTCATTTATTTGCACGATATTCCAATGCCAGCGTTCCGTTCCAGCGATGCAACTAGTTCAGGTCTGGTATAAGGCGAAGAACACTCGACAATATTTTTTAGTTTATGGTATAACAATAGGCTGCTATACTTTCACCTTTATTGTGCTTGTGAGATTTACGGAGGTTTCTTCATATGTCTACTGAATGTGATAAAAGAAACTTTTACAAGTCTCCTTGTCTCGAAAAACGCAAAGAAACATGTTTGCTGAGATATCTATCTATATTGTAAGATTCTGTATAAATATATAGTCAAATAGAATTAATTTTTCGATATATTTTAATCAGGCTGACCAGGCGAAAAGTAGATCGATTAAAGTTTAGTTGCTACATTTTGAGGCAATGTAATAGTAGCCGAATCCGGGGATTGATTAGCAAATAGTACAGAGTTTTATTTGATTTTTTATTTTATTTATTAGAGCTTTTTAAACAAGTCAGAGTAATACAAATTTAATTGCAATATTTAATGTAGGTTATACTCTTTCTGAACAAGATGGTCTATTCATTGCGTGGTTCACAATTGCCAAAGCCACTGTTGAAATAGTTTACAGTAGCTGACCTGATCATTTTGATAAAAAAAAAGAGATTATGTAAATGCTGTAAGTCCGTACCAAGGTGTCGCTGACTGGATGACTCTATTGCTTCTTTCGCGACCCCTCATCAACTGTTATGGGTCGATGTTATCTGTTTTATTATTTAATGTGTATCATTGCATTATACTGAATTTTGAATGATGGAAGTAAATAGTTGGATCTGTAGCCATATTATTACTATAAAACGAACAAAGTAAATGAACTTGATATAAATATAAAATGTTTAATCTTAATATTTTACGTTTAATTCATTTGGTTTCAATATAAAATACAGAAAAAAAGATCACACCTAGAAAAATGAGTATCATCAGTCGTTAGACTATAATAATAATTTGGCATAGACAACTAACAGTCATGAGGTGATAAATCATAAAAAAATAAAAACTTCATTAGATCTGAGAACTACTTAAAATTAGGTTTACCTAAGTCACGACTTAGTTTGTGATTCTAAATATAACGATTGGAAATATAAAATGGTATTAAAAGTATTTGTTATTCAAATTTTTGATGATGATTTTGGAGTATAATTATAAATCTTGAATGAAACTGAAACAAGGGCATCACTCAAACATGTAGGATGTGTTTTGCTATTTTTACGTTAAAATGTAATCTGGTCAATTTCCAAGAAAACAGATCTAACAAATGAAATATTTGAAGCTGATAATCGGATTTAATGAAACATAAACATGTTTACCTTCAGTTTTCATACTAATGAATGAATTTTATGATAATATCATAAATTACTGAACTAACGCTAAAAAAACTGTCTGGAATAGTGCCAACGTATTAAAGCATTTTATTAAGTATAGAATTATTCTAAAAAAAATTTGCGAAGCATCGACGATATTTGCACTAGACTTGTATGCGAGGAAAATCATACTGTCATATTCTTAACGCAAATGACATTCAAGTCGATAAAATTTAGAGGTATAGGAAGAATTCAAGATTTATCGCGATTGAATACATTTTTTAATAAAGGCTCTAGTTAAATATGCCATTTTATGCAGACAGCGATAAATTTAGACGGGAATCGCTTCAGTCTATTTATGTAGCCGTTAAAAGGAAGATGGCAGACTGTGAACAACATGCTTTTTATGATGTCTACAAAGTTCCATAGCCACCATCAACCGATCTCAGACGTTTGCGGTTACAGAAAACGGTGACCAACATGATTTTAAAACAGAAATTGTACATGTAGGTCGTATTGATGAATAGCCGTTGTTGTTGCTGAGAAAATTTCTTATCTTTACATCTGTTGGAACTAATTTATTTTAAATTTTCAGTAAAATGGAAGGATTCGCTAGAACTTTTAATTTCTATTGTACCCGATATTTTACCCGAAAACTTGGCAGATTTTGTTCATTTCAAAGGTATATTTTTTCACAACATTTGCAATTACTTTTAGGATCTTTGGCTTTTGCGTCTCATTTAAGCATTGCCCAATGACAGTTTTATAGCAGATCTTACACAAGGAATATATGAACCACCAAACAGATAGAGCGAAGACTATATATACCAAAAACAATACAAGCATAAATGAGATGTTTTGCAGTTGCACGTACTTTAACAAATTTAAATTTTTTTTTATTTATTTTGTTACCTGATCGATAAATAGTTGTGAGTGGGCTGATTCAAATAAGTCTGTAACTAATTGAAATGCCATTCAGTATTGCCTACATCAGCGATTGTTTCAGACATTTGTGTTTGTATTACTATATCAGGTTAGTTGTGGTTATTTTCAAAAGATTTTATCAAACTTCAAAAGTTATTTCATTTCAATATTTCGTAATTTGACATGGCGATAAACCGATTCGATGATCTCATTTTTATATTACAACAACAAAAAATGCTGAACCAGTGATCTTATTCCCTGATTAATATTGTTTTTATAAGTTAAGTTGAATTATTAAATGATCTAAAGAGGTTTTCAAAAATTGTTAGAATGTTTTTCGCCCTCATCTCTCCCGCGTAAAAATTTCATCCTTCTTCGTATGTTTCGAAACTTTTATATATATATACAATTTTTTCTGCCGAGTCTTTATCGCGTAATATGCCAAATCTGTAATTGTTTTATGAGGTATTTCATTGCATACCATTGATTTGAATCAGGATAAAGGAGTCATAAATATCTAAATAGGCGTCATAATTACGGAATTCGTCTTACGCAGAAAGATGCGTATGACTTGGGGACAATTTTGCAACTTGACTATATTCAAAAGCGAATATTCATAAAACGTATGTAATTTGCAGTAGGCTATGTGCGATGTCTGATCATTGCAAAAACAGATTATCTGGATTAATAAAATACAAGTGCATCCTAAAATAAAGGCCATTCCATAAAAAAGAATTGGATTCAAAAAGTGTGTCTCACATGTGGCCGCTTTCCTTGCTATATATAGTTAAATTTAAATTTATAAGCGCCCAGCTGCAATCGACGATGCAAAAGGGCGAAAATGTCTCGCTGATCTTTGCTTTTGTCACTCCTTTCATGCGTTTCGGCATCCCCATGATAAAAACTGGGTTAACAGACTGGTGCGAAGCATTACATAAATAAATACCCATTGTATAAAAAAAACTCAAAAATCGCCAAAAAGTGACTTACGCAATTATGTTATAAGCGTGATGATATCTTCTTTATTCAGATTTATTTTTCGAAACTGTATTTTTTAAAGTAATATGGAAAGCCGCCGGTTTGTGCATGCTACAGTTGTCTTATTGGTTGTTATAGCGGTTTTATGTGGTGTAATATTCTTGGCATATTTCGTCATATGGCCTACGCCATCATCCCGAGTGGCAAATGGAGGAAAGCCGAACATCATCATACTCTTGGCCGATGATACTGGGTACGGCGACTTTCAGACCTACGGTCATCCAACTCAAGAGTGGACAGCAGTGGACAGAATGGCAAAAGAAGGAATAAAATTCACGCATTGGTCAAGTCCTGCGTCTGTATGTTCTCCTAGCAGAGCAGCACTCTTAACAGGTTACCAAATTAAATATTACATGCTGGAACTTTTAACGTAGAAAGCCTTTGTCGATATTTGTACATACTTCATCAGTCAGTTTCAATTTCTAACAACATAAAAATGTGTACATTGTACATACATTGGGCTTTGCTTTTTATCAATTCTAAAAAAAACCTCGTGTTTCAAAACAAGGGCTTGTTTTAAATCAAAATTTTTCTGTATTTTTTATTAAAATACCCCTTGTATCGCCGCGAAACTACGCCAAAACGTTGCATTCTGGCAGCTGCACACGCAGCCGGAATTATAATTTCAAAAATGAAAGTAAACTTTTTTAGTTGGATTTTTACCACTATTGCGTACATATATCGCCACTTTATATATCCACCAAAGTCATAAGATTTTACCCGGAATGTTTAGCCGAGATATCAGCGAGACGTTTTGAGTAAGAAAAATCATGAAAATTAGCTCACGAGCCTACTACAAAAGCAATTCGATCAAGTGCAGCCCTTCGGCAAAACGAGTGGTTGCGATAATGAAGAATAGGGAAGGGCGAAATCGAATATTTTTTTCGAATCGAATAATTCGAATATTTTTTAACGAATACCGAATATTTTTTATACACAACGGGAGGTCCAGGACGTCGGTCGATACTCCCTTTGGCTACAAAGCGTTTTTTACTGGTTAATTTTGTCATAATCGCTGATTGTTTTTGTAATTGTCACCGTGACCGTTTTTGCGGCGAAATTTTAATCTATATTACCGCCCTTTCTGTTTTTTGCAAGTATTAATTCTTTCGGGTCGGCGGACATCGAAGTTTATATTTCGGGTTTACATGTGCGTTCACGTCGGCTACAGCTGTTAAAACCATTAAGGAATAATTTTAAACCCCCCAAATTAATATTATTCTAATTTTTATCATTTGCGTTGGCTTTCATATTACTTATTAGCGTTTGTAAATTTACCGTCACAATATTAAGCGAACGGTAATTGTATTATCGATATCGATCGAGATGCAGATATTTGTTAGGACAATACCGTAATTAACTTGCTATGCTTTTCTATGGTGTCTATGTTACTTAACAGATAAACCTCGCAAAGCTGCGATTGCGTCAATCCCGAATGTTGATTTATAATAGTGAATAAATAATTCGGCAATAAAGGCATTTCTGCGTGGCCATATGACGAGATGACGTTAAGCAGCGCTTCTTGAATAATAATTTACATATTCGACCTATTGCTGAAAAAAATTGCGCGTTCGTACTTTTGTGCCTAATAGATGGCCAGGCGGTAATTATAACTAACTCTTCCAAGATCCGACGTTTTCTTTTAAGAAACCCCGCGATCATTATAGATAGCTAATATCGTTACCAAGTAATTCACAATTTTTTTTACGGAATTTGCAAATTCACTTTTACTTCTCTTGACGATTTTGATAATGTCACGCCCTATTTATCAGTGCATAAATGCTCAAAATATAACGAATGTGATCATTTCCGATGATACAACAATTCGTAAACAAGACAGTGCGCGTTGTTACATCGAATTTCACGATGGATTTTACCTTATACTCCTGTTCACGATTTCTACACTCCACCCGCCATGTATGCCCGAGTGAAATGTTTACATTTTCGAACATTATAGCTAATATCGTTACCGTGTAATACAAAATTTTATTTACGGAGTTTGCGAGTTCACCCTTACTTCTCTTGACGATTTTGATAATGTTACGCCCTATTTATCAGTGCAAAAATGCTCAAAATATAACGAATGTAATCTTTTCCGATGATACAACAATTCGTGAACGAGACGCGTTGTTACATCGAAATTCACGATTGATTTTACGTTATGATTTCTACACTCCACCCGCCATGCATGTCCGAGTGAAATGTTTACATTTTCGAAACATTACTTGGTCAGTAATGAAAGGGGTCACTAAAGAATTAATTTGAAAGTACATTAAAAGAACTATGTCCTGCCATTTCTTTACTGGTCATAGCTTGTTCGTGTTATACTATGTATGGTTTAATGCGAAAGGTATTTCAACTTTTAATTTTTGTTAAACAAATTTATGTTTGGTTCATGCATGAAACGGCTAATCCATGCCGCCAATCATACGGAGTTTAAAATCTGGGATATTTATTTTAAATACCTCATCTGATTTGACGTTTCTAAATCACGTGGTACCCGATATTCGAATAGTAAAATGCAATTCGAATATTTTGCCCAGCCCCAATGAAGAATATGCTTATATCGGTGGTAATCTACTGATATGAACGATGAGACACCCTAACCTAGCCTATGGTAATTGTAAGAGTTCTCTGATGCAAAGACGCCCCAACTAATCTGTTATGAAGCCATAATAATAAAAGCCATAATAATAAAAGCCATAATCATAAAAGCCATAATCATAAAATGAAGTCATTGCTACGGTTAATACTGTTCGGTTAATTGTTGCTTAGCATACATTGGTTTTTTAAGGTTGAAGTGAGTTTTTCTACAAACTCATTTATTCGATCGCATTTCAATTTTCGCAACGTGGTTTCATCGCAGCAGGGTTATTCACGTAATGGGTTATTCACGAAGATTGACATTATCTAAATGGGACATTTGGCAAATTGAGAATAATTATGATTTGAGTAACCCCTTATTATATATGATATTGAGAATAAATATAAACTAACATAACTGCCGAATAATGGCGGTGGATAAGAATCACGATAGTACTGCCGAAACGTTGCGTTAAGTCTCAATAAATTGATGATTTTGTAATCGAGAGATCTTTTCAGAAACTACGTAAAAACAAATTCGACAACTAATGCGGCTTGCGACCAATAAAGAATCCGCTTGCCTCGTACCGGATTTACCATTTAAAATTGCTTGTGTTTTTATGACAGAAGCGGGTTTTCGGACGTACAGACTTTTTATTGCTTGATAATCTCATCCATCCATACAGCGATGACAGAGATGGGACTTGAATATCACTATTTCCTTTGGCCTACCATATATTCAATAAGAGAGCGGGTAGATAGATTCGAGTCAGATTTGGGCACATTAATTGGCTCGACTGATACAAAATAGCATACCCCGATTCACGAATTGTAAAAAAAAACTTTCGCTTCCATGTGGCCTACTGGAAAAACTACGGAGACAATCGACTCACGTCACAACCAACTTGTTTCAAACAAATTACCCATAATATTTTCACGTTTTAGGTCGCTACCCGATTCGATCCGGGATATTCGGTAAAAATACCGTTTTTCTGGATGGATCGATCGGTGGACTGCCTCATCGTGAAATTACAATTGCGGAAGCTTTACGCGATGTTGGATATGCAACAGGAATGGTTGGAAAGTGGCATTTAGGTAAGTAGAAGACTAACCAAGAACGTTGCAATTAATTCATTACTGAAGGAAAGCCCGTAGTACTATTTATCATTCTTACGTAGGGCCCTTTCTGGAACGAGTAGTACTTCAAACAAATTTTAGTAATGTCCTTCCCCCAATCGTCATTATCACGAAGTTCGCTAATGGATTAATTGACATTTAAGATGATAGATAGTGTTAGCTGAGTAGATTGGTTGCAGTAACACACGGCCTGTGTTACCAGTCCATGTCGCATACGGGAATAGTTAACTAGTTGTTTGTTTCGAATGCACGAACTCAGAATTGTTGTATTTCGCACATTGTTTCTGGTCTCGCTGTATTTTCTCTAATCTGATTAACAAAACGTGAACAAACTGAAATTAACGAGGGTGCTTTAATTATTATACCATTTAATAATAATAAGAGTAGTTACTTGGAAAAAAATCTGTTCGCGACTTGTTTTTGGGGAAAATTATTTTGGACCCTGTCATTGTTGTTACTAACATATACTTGTATATGAGTGGTCAATTGTTGTTTAGTATTATGACATCATAAGTTGACTATTTGTACATGTGTTCGAGGACCACACGCGACTAAAACATTATGTTTGTTACCCACTGAGTGTTGGTACTCCCATAGTAAGTGCACAAAGTTGTCGCACGAACTGAACATAGTATTTGTACCAGGTAAAGGTTATCAGGTTGTGCGCCATCTTGGTGCACATACTTTGAAAGCGCCGAAAATTTTGATAGTGAGAACGTTAGCTTGTTTCGTCTTTTCGATAATTTGGTTTCACTTAAATTAGATTTAAATCTTATTTTTTAGGCAATCAATTTTGAGCTTAGCAATGGAACTAACCCTAATGCATGATTACGTTGCAAAGTTAAATGTCAAATAAATCATTAATCAATCTTTACGTTCGAGCGGATGATAATTTATAAAATATATTATATTCATCATAAAATGTCCCGGAGAAATGACTTTGTTCGATATGCCTTAAAGTACCGCAATGCATGTTCTAAACTTTTAAGATAAAAGAGTTACTAGTACTTATTAATCATTATTTGACATGTTTTACCAATTTGCATTATGTCGTGAGTGGGCATTCGATATGATGATTTACTAAATATACCGCGTGCATTATTTAATAGAAATTTAGCAGGTCGCAATCGGTATTTTCTCGGGGTGATTATCGTTGTCGCGTTTTTGCGTTCTTTTCGAAATCAATCATTTTCAGTTATGAAAATATGTTAATCTTCCAAGTAGTATAAAATGAGAAGTAATAGACTAATAGTCGTATTTTTATGTTAATCCCTGACGCTTTGCGATTATAGGGAGTATTTTTGATCCCTGTAACGATTTTAGAAGACTTTAAAATAGTTGGGATCTTTATGGTTTGGCATCTGTCTGTTTTGATAATTAGCTAATAAGCAGCAATCGAAAGTCAAAAATATTATTGTAGTTTAATTATGGAAAAGTTCGATAGTTCCTCAAAATACGAAAATTAACGTTTGTATGAACGGGTGAACCACACCCGTATTCCTTTTTGAAAACAGTTGAGAAATCCCGTTTTAGCAGATGGAAATAATAAACAAGGGATAAATAGTTAATCAAAAAAATACAAATGTTAAATTGATTTTGCTACTAACAACGCAAAAACGACATTTATGTGAATACGATTGCATTTCGAATATTGTTTTGAGGTAATCAAACGTGTGACGTCATTAAAATAAAATGGCATTCAGAATTTAAACAATAAATATCTATCACTTTTTTTGTGAAAAAACACGGGGCGATTTCAGAGAATTGTACTAATCCTGATTTTTTGACTCGTGTGTGAAATATTTCAGGATTGTAATTGCGTACATTGCGGATAATCATCTTATCTTGTCACAATATCACTGGACTATTTATAAACAGATAAATACGAAAATGAAACACATGGTCTTAATATTATAATATTGAAAAAGTGATTTTTATATGACATCCTAAAACTAATAATTTTACTCAAACGAGATACAATTAGACAATTTCAATGAAATAAGTGAAAACATAGAATGTGATAATTTTAATATCACCTTAAGTATTGTTTTTGCAGTCATTTCGAAGAAAATATAATCTGTTATGAAAACAAGGATATTATATGGTTTATACTATAAGAAAAAAGTTCACTCGTGTTAAGTGCCGCTGTGAGCGGTAAGGTAACATAATTCAAACATACATCCTTTGTTGACAACTCTTTTTAAAAAAAAATGAGAGAGCGCGGAGCAGATATTATATGGATACTAAGAGAGTATCATTATCCGTATACTACGGTAACTTAAACATTCTGTATTTGTTAGTAAAGATCTGGTTTAAATCAAATAGCCCACAATAGACTAGTTAGTATACTTGAGAAATGAAGAAAGTTTGGCCCTAGAACAACAACAACAACGTGAAACAATAAAGCAATTTAATGAAACTATCTATGCGCACTCTACGAAACGCTTCTGAAAACACAGGTTCTAATGAAAACCCTGACCGCATTGAAATGGGTGAGCCGTCCTGCTCAGGTAATCGTCACTAGTTAGCACGGGAGAGTTTAGAACTGTGTTCGAATTGCCGAGTGGGAGCTTGTGAGAGGTGTTCGGCAATTGCTCCGAAATGTAAATTCTCTTCAAATATTGTTTTATTCATACATATATCACATTCTTAATTGGCATAATAACATATATTGCTTAAATATATCAGGTATAAACAAGAAAAATTCAACAGACGGAAAAAACTTACCGATGCATCATGGATTTGAATATGTTGGAATCAACTTGCCTTACACACAGCTATGGTTTTGCGATCCAAAGAAGGTATCAAATTCATACTTTATTTAAAGAAATGCATTGTGTACTTCAGGCGCGACCCGTTTAGGTAAAATCATCGACATTAAAAATAGTTCTTAGATTTATCTACTTTTTCCAATACCCATACCCAAAAAGTTGTAAACCCAGCGTTGTCGCTTTTATACTTTACCTAAAAAACCACATATTATTTTACAGTACAACATAACACAAATGCGTTCTTGCTTCGTATATCGAAACGACAAAATCATTGAACAGCCAATCAAATTTGAAACACTGACCGCGCGATTAGTTGACGACACCAAAGAATTTATTGACAACAACAAGCAAAATCCATTTTTCTTTCTACTTTCATTTCCACAAACCCATGCTGCTTTATTTTCGGATCCAAGATTTACTCATACTTCAAAGAGGGGTAAGTGCATTTATCTCTTCCTGTCAATTTAAATTTGTATTATCTCAAAGCAGGATGTTGAACCCGCAGCTGCAGTACAAACTATATTGATAGAATAGTTGCAGGCGACAACTTCCGCGCAGAGAGATTCTCATTGATTCAAGAGAGATGTCAGTCCCTGGTGGTTGAAACGAGACGTCAAATTATTTAAATGAACGATGTAGTGTGCGGGGAAACAGATACGTAAAATACAATTTCAAAAATGAGCAGTTTTATGAGAAAATAGGATAGGAAGCAACATGCCAAATACATAAACTCATTTATTGTACATTAATTTTTGCAGGGCGTTATGGAGACAGCGTAAACGAAATGGGATGGGCAATAGGTCAAGTTTTGGATCAGTTAAAATACTTAGGAATTGACGAAGACACCCTCGTTTTGTTTCTATCTGATCAAGGGCCGATGGTAGATGGGTGCGGAGAGGCAGGTGATGCTGGGGTTTTTCGCGGAGGAAAAGCGACTATGTGGGAAGGAGGAGTTCGAGTACCTGCAGTGGCGTGGTGGCCTGGGACAATATCGCCTGGGACTGTTAGCCACGCAACAATCAGTACAATGGATATCTTGCCCACCGCACTCAAACTAGCAGGTAAATATTTGTCTGCTTTGCTTCGTAGCCAAAAGTTAGTTCCTAACCGCGCCAACAAATGCATCAGTTTTATAGCTACTAAGCTTTAATTCGTCGACACGTTGGTGGCAACTCGTAGCAGTACACAAATAGTTTTAAGCACCAACAAATATGTCTCAGGTAAAATATTGCTACGTATGACAGAGCAGATTAATTACCGTTGCCAGAAAACATACACAGTAACGTTATGAATAAATTGAAATACATTACCACACATGTGTCAGTGGATTGGATAGCTCTGCTTTTATTCTATAAATTACTTTAAAATAAAAAAATATTCTCTGTTTGAATGATTAAGTGTATTTAAAAAACAGGTGCTGAAGATTACCTTGAAGAACGAAAGATTGCTATCGACGGAAAAGTAATCAATGACGTCGTGAAAACGGACACCGCAGAATCATGTCACGAAGCACTTTTTTATTATTGCTCTGATATATTGATGTCAGCTCGATACAAAAAATATAAAATTCACTACTACACAGTGGATCCAATGGGTAATGCAAAAACAGTTTAGACCTATTTTAATCCATGAAAAAACGATCAAACCTATTTTACTACGGTTCCCGGAACACTTTTGCAATTTTGTCCGTATCTACCACAATAGCGAGTTTCTGATCGAATCAAATTATCTGGCAAAACTATTCAAAACTTTTGTTATTCAAAACCTGATATATATTGAACTATTTAAAAATTAATTCCAATTTTCTTTTATCACTAATAAAGATGCTCTGCCTCAAGTGAGCCTATATTATAAATTGACCCAGGGGCACGAATTATGGTAAAATTCAACCGTAGCAAACTTTTTCTAACTGTATCATGCATGTTTTAAAAATCAAGTGATAAATTTTACCTGCGTTATCATGTTTTCCTATATGAAAAATCCTATTATTGTATAAAGTTCTCAAACGCGCACATCAATATAAGACAACAACAATTACTTGCACAAAAATATTTGCAAACTTTATTTTTGTATTTTTTAACAGTTTCAGGAATCGTGAGTGAAGGAGGAGATCGGTGTGAATACTCAAACAGGACGAAATTATTTAATATCTTCAGTTGCGAACACAGAGCAAAGAAACAAGATCCGCCGTTGATATTTAATTATGAAGCTGATCCACAAGAACAAATTTCTTTGGATGCAACAACAAAAGAAAATCAAATTTTGCTTGATATAATTGCTGATTTGGTCCAAACGCACAAAGCATCTATTATTCCAGTTCAGTCGGAAATTGATAAACCTTATTATCGGAGTATTACTCCTTGTTGTAACCCTCCTGCTTGCACATGTAATTATAAATAAGCAATTTTTAACAGCGAACTTTTTGTACGCGAAGGCATCATCGTCTACCTAAAATAAAGTCGAAGTAGTGGGTATAAATATGCATTGTCACATTTCGTTAGCATGTATATTTCCAGTTTTACTGTACGAACGAAAATGGATTTGGACTGTCAGAGGTCTGTCACATCAATTCATGAGAACATTTCTTCAAGGACGCGTAACAATGAACGTAAGATCAATAACAAGAAAAAAAAACAATTTTTTGTGCTTGTAACTGCAGTGGAAACTCTACCTACGAAATTAATTTGTTACGGAAGCCCCTTCTTAGGTAGAAAATTCCGCAAGTAGGGTCCCATTTTACCTGTAAACGGCCTAATCTATTCTGAGCCCCCACAAAACTCGAACATAATATTCGTATAAAAATATAATAGTGGTTAAAACCCTTAACAAATACATTTTAGAATTAGATTACTGCAAAATAAATAGAAAAGGGACACATGGAAAGAACAGAGAAATACCGAATAAAAACTACGAACGGTATGTTTGTTTACCTCTGGCCGACTAAATAGACTACGCTAAACAAAGACCGCGCAGAGTGGGAGGACGGCGATCGGGGAGGTGGGAGGAGGCGGCAAAAGTTGACAGCTGAGAGAGAACGTAATGTACGAAAACAGACACATAAAATTCATTTTTTTTTCATTTCATTTTCTTTTGTTTTAACTGTTACGGGTATCATCGTATTCTCACTGAATTTCGCTGGCAACACGCGGGAAACAAACGGGCCAATGGGATGGCATGGCCAAATATAGACATGCTATCCAGATCTAAGTATACCTAAGCGATAGAGAACATGAAACATTGCTTCAGTTACAAATAGATTACGCCAGTGATCTTTTTTAATGTGCAAATATCAAACAACCATGTTATCTTAATTTCTTATAAACAACTGTATTAATTTAATTTTTTATAACAATTCAGCATTCTACACCCTTAGGAATAGTAATCACTCATGTTATGGGTGCCATCCACAGCTAAGAAACTTTGGAATGTTGACTTGAATATTGACTATTGGAATACTCGATGGAATTTATTCAACTTGTGTGTGGAATAGAACTTATTATTATTTGTTTGACATAGAAACGATTGGTCATTATTCAGGCGTCTAACTTCATATTCAAGTTACATGCTGTCGTGTCCCTTATTATATTGGAGGCAAATAGACACGTTGTTCGTATGAATGGAATAGTCTTTAATCTTAGCAGCAAAACAGTACCATCACATCAACACATGCAATTACTTACAAACAAAATAGTGAACTGAATAGCGACTGTGCGTGTTATAAGTGAGACGGCATGTAAACAAACAATCGAACAAATTATTTTTTGATAAAAATGTGCAAACCTATTCCGGCGTTTCGTGCTTAAAAAATATAAAAAAACAAACCATCGAGTGATTGCCTTAAAATCGACTATATATAACATTTGTAGTAAAGGCGTCTTTTTCGTAAAACGTTTAACTCCTGGATATGGGAACAAGGTATTATTTGTTAATAAATTTTTAAGGACCGTTTTGAAATTATTTCCAAGTTCTTTCCTTATGTGCGCTACGAAACTGAAAGATAAACGGTCTCGTCTCGTGGCCTAATTGCAAGTCAGATCAATGACATGAAACATGTCATGTGTCAGGCCTAACGCGATAACGTGTAGAACTCTAGAGCAAGAAATCAAAGGCGTCACCTCTTTTTGCACCGGCGAATCCGGAAGTTGGAACAGGTCAAAGGGTATGAATGCTCTCTTTCAAGCGCCGGTTTTGCGCATCTTCAGGTGTACACCTTTCATTGATAACAAATTGTTCTGTTCGCTTCTGTGTCAGCATAAAGTTAGAAAGCAGGGATACCGGCGGTTAATAGCGATGTCTGCAATGAGTGGCAGAAGACTTTTAGATGATCAGGATGAGTTGGAATATAACATAACATTTCCTACTTGTACAGGTGACTTATCTCTTATTCTTCTGTTCTTGCGAATTTTTGACTACTGGTACCGTACCTACCAATGATTTCAAAACTAATTTGATAATAATCACGTACCGGTACCGGTACTATAATGCTCAACTTACAATAACTTTTGCTTATGGCAGTACGGTACCGGTACGATAAGTCCCGCAGTTACAAGTTACCGTATACCTGTATACCATAGGTAGTAGAATTACATCTAACAGTCTAAGTATCAATTTCTGAAATTGTTCAGTAACAAGATCGGACGAGAGTTACGGTACCAGGACAAATATTAAAATCCTTTCCTAACATTGTTAACAAAATTGACGTTCACACATTATGGTACTGTATCTGAAATTGGCCATAATTATACAGTAGTATTCTCTGTCACAATATTTATTTATGTTTTAGTCATGGATGATTCTGATGCAAAAGAACCTGTTGTATATTTGTTGGGATGGGCCGGTGCATCAGATAAGCATTTAGCAAAATATAGTGCAATATATGAACAAGAAGGCTATGTAACTTTAAGATATATTGCACCTGAAGATGTCATATTTTTGTTATGTAAGTTATTTATTTTTAAGTAAGCTTTGTGGTGTATTTAAAATATACAAATCTTGCTATCATTTAATCATGATGATAGATTAAAAATCGAACTGTTTTGGTCCTTTTTCAATAATGTTTGATCTTAGTGCAAGCACTATTTCATTAAAAATTAGATATTGAATACCGGTATTGTTAATAAGAATTGTCAAAATAGCCCATTTAAATATACTACATCTAGCGTTTATGTTTTTGTTTGGTGTTTACAATGGAGTCTGTTGTTAATAAGCAAAAAGTTTGATAAATGCGCTTATTAATGATATAATTATTTATTGCTGTTATGAGGCATTTTTAGATCTTCTCTCTGAAGAAGGCTTTACTGTAAGCTTCCATGTTCCGCATTGCGTACGCAACTCTAAGTGATGACTAACTTGTCCTCTGAATATTTTTTAGCCAAAGATACGATAAACACAGCAAAAGATACGTCAAACAAACTTGTTCAACTTCTAGATGATTATGATTTAAGAGAAAACCCAGTTTTAATTCACTGTTTCAGTAATGGCGGAGCAGTAGTGTATAAATGGTTGGCAGAAGCATTCTTGGTGCGTTTAATAATCGTAATTGATTCTTTATGTTATAGTTATATGGGATTTATGATCCAACACCGTATGCACTTGCAATTATGAGAGCACAACTCTTGTGAATGTCTGATTGTTATTCTATATTTTGGAAGTAGTGTAGCAATTGAAACATCCAAATTTTAATAAACAAAATTAAATTGGTATCTACCCTATTGGAACCCCATTTCACTCAACTTTTGATACAACTAGAAAACCAATCGAAATATTACAATTTTCTCATATTTATTTTCATGAGATAGTCAACTAGTGGCTCTTTGGTGGCTGAGTATGAAGAAAATTATGCAGTTGTTTATTTTTGCTTTTCTACATCTACTGTTATCAAGATCAAGACACTGCTGCTTTTTTTTAATTTTTTTTCTATTCACACATTTCCAAAACTAAATGTTATGTTATTTATTTCACAGGAACAAAATGTCAATATTGTTGGGGTAATTATAGACAGTGGCCCTGCGAAATTAACTTTTCTCAACTTACTTATGGCAATTTACTTTTCACAAAGGCCAAAGGGCATGACTCGTATTCTGCATTACATTTACCGATTTCTTGCCACAAACCTCGCTGATTATTTGACATTCTCAATGGATGAAAGATTGTATTTCTATGAGGTGAGAAATTTAAAGTGTACATATTTAAGTCTTTTTACTGGTTCCAAAATCGTTCATTTATATCGCTTGTTGATTCATACCATTATTAAATCTGTAATTATTTGTACACTGCATCGCTGATTAGCATCATACATTTGAGATTTTGATCATTTGCTTCAATCCACTGATACTTAAGACGTTATTACTTGTTAACTTAGTTCGACTTTTGAAACTAAAAAAAATCCTTCTGATACATAAAATATTGAACCATTATTTTTATTCACTTTCAGCAACTACTATCATCAAAAACATTCCTTTGGCCGCATTTATATCTTTATTCAACAAACGACGGGGTAATGCCAAAGGCAGAAATTTTAGAAATGGTAGAATCAAGAAAAGCTGCTGGTTGCTCAATTGTTCGATGCCATGACTTCGTCACTTCTCCCCATGTTTCGCATTTGAAATTTCATAAAGTAAGAGAATTTGCATATACTGTGTCTCTTAGAGAATAATTTACTAAGTTTTTTCACTATTTTGAATGAAGGTTCAATCAAATATAATGTGGCGATGTTTTAAACACCATATTACATGAGTTATACTTACTAATGTCTGTGTTTTTGAAGGTCTAATGATAGTTTATCTTCTAATACCCTGATATGACATGTTACTTCTGTTTGGTGCATGCAAATATTTATTCTCAAATGCTAAGCGTGTCTGTTCTATAATGTGTGATAGGTGTAAATCAATCAGTGATCAATATATTGAAGTTACATCTGTATAATTATAGGAGTTTGATTTGAATTAATAAAGCTTAGCATGCAAAACGAAGCATATCTTGTCTGCCAGTCTTTACTTTATTCTGCTCATGCTTGCTATATCAAAATTTACTACAGGTACAGCACAAGGTGTGCTTGGAACAAATTATCGACATTCATGGTTAACTATGTTTAAAATTGCATAATTTTGTTGAAACTTCCAACATTTGTACCTCTAAAATGGTCCTTTGGTTAGATATTATTTTTTTTATGAATTTTGTATTGAATAAAGCTAACAACCTAATTCTTCAAATTTCATTTCCAGGAAGACTACATAAATCTGTGTTTACAATTCCTTGAAGATAGCTTAAAAATATTTGACGGGGAAGATATTGATGGAATAACTGGAACTAACAGACATCAAACGTCATCTGTTGATCCACCCACAAAATCTCGACCATACTCTGAAGGTTCACCATCAACCAGTCAGAGAAAATCATCCCTCAGGTTAAGAAGAACTTCTCAAAGTGATTCAAAATTATGATTCATTTCAGAATTTTATATATGTTCATTTCACTGCTCGCTCCAGCAGCAACAGAGGTATTTTAAGAGCTGGTCAAATGAGCTCTGGGTTATCAACGATTCGTTGATATATTCACAAAACAATTTGAACGAACTATAAACAAGAGCAATGCTTAAAGGTAGAATCTATTTGACTCGAATGCCAATGGTTAAATCAGTGTTTCCAGTTTACATGGATTAGAATAAAACTGAATAATCTTTGGGAAATATTGAAAAAATAATTTTCATTAAAGTAACTTCTATCTTTAAAGTACTGAAAAATTGATTGGTTCAGTTAATTTTAAAGAAAGCATAACACAATTTAAAAAAACAACAATCCATCTATACACTCTGTGACTAATAAACTATCCTTTTCCTGTACCTCTCAAAACGAGGAATCTGGAATATATACGTTTTGTTTAAATAAAGGAATTGCGTCAATGTCTTTGCCTTTTGGCATAGATATATTATAACACAACATTTAAACCAATTGGGCAGTATATAGTTAATCCAAATTTTTTGATCAAACTGAAAAGTGTTATTGATAATGAAGCTATGACCACACACATGCAGTTTTCCTTATTTTGTTATCAACATATTACAGAATTTGGTATAGGTAGGCTGTAGGCTACTGTCCTCAGTATATACTCGTGAACATTACCTACTCATGTGTTACTGAAAATAGTGTTTTGTTACTGTGCTTTAGAAAATATAGTTTTGTTATTTATATGGTTCTTCCATTCATGATACACAATGCTTTTCTCGATTTATATAATCCTATGGAACAGAAAGCCTATTTTAACCTAAACGTATTCATCTCTAAATTGGTTCCAGATGCTGTGGGGGTTGCGAGTCTTGAATGTTCCTCAATGCATGATTATTAATGATAGTAAAGGCATAAATACATTTTAGTCAGGGAATTAAATCACAGTTCATAATATCAGTACAAGTGGTATCCAGTGGAGGGCCTTTTTGAGGATCCATTGCTCAAATGTATCTGAATTCTAAATATATTGTAAGATAGAAAATACAAAGTTATATTGAATACCATGAAAAAAACTTTTACACTTCTGCATAAAAAAATGTTGTTGCTTGTGACACAGAATATTTTTATTGTTTGTCATTGAAATTTTATTTTCTAATCAAGAGTACATTCATTTTACAGAGTACATTGTTTTTGAACTTGATCTACTTTGTTATTTGTATTTGCACCTTCATATTTGTTCCAATTGCACAGCAAGTGTTCCAATTTGAATTCAGTATTTTTAGAAGCAAGCTTTCGACGGCGTTTATATATATGCTACTTTGGGTCACTTATGAGGTAACAATTAACGATTTGTAGCAGATTTAATGTTAAATCTCAGTTGCATAATCCCGCTTTCCTATTGATTTGAATATTTTCCTCAAATCCTATACATGGTCTATAAAATGATATCGCTGCATTACGTCTTGCCAAGGCACCATACTGTTGATTTTTGTATAATTTTTATGTTCTTTTGCTATGTTTGTCAGCAGAAATTTTATATGCTAGAATTTTAGTCAAATTAGCAGCTTTAGAATGCTTAGAACATAATGTTATTTTTGTATATTATATCGTTAGAAGTACTGTGTTGATCCGTAATTTCTTAATCTATTGTCTGTGCGTGATATTGTTGTCAGAACGTGAGCGAATGCTATTCGACAGCCCTTTGCAAAAAGTGGCAAAGAATACTGATGGGCGTTAAGGCAGCCACTGGCGCCCTTGAGGAAGATTTTATAAAATAGGATTTTCATATTTATACTAGGGAAGAGGCTCAATCATATTGCGTGCCGCGGCCTCTAGTCCAGTTAATGTGGTTGGTATGTGTGATAAGTTAGCCAGTTATAGGTGGTGGGAGCCGTGAGCGACCAACCAGCGATTACGTGAACACGCTGATCAGAGGTGAGATAGCGCTTAGCACGATATGCCACATCGTCAATGTTTTTTTGCGACATCTGGTCTATAATTCCTTAAACGGGGAACCTTTACAGAGTGCTTGGATTAGAAGGCGGTTGGTGTGTCTAAGACTCTAAGAGGATTGGTGGACTGCTCAGTACGGTAGGTTGGTTCAGACTACCGCTGGTCGGTCACGGCTTTCTCCACCACCAAGTCCGGCTTCTAAAACAAATGACTGGCCAACCAATCCCACGCCAGAGGTCGGTTACGACTTCCTCTACCATCAGGTCAACCAATCCCATACCAGAGGTTGGTTATGACTTCCCCCACCACCAAGTCAAAAAAACATGCAACAAATATCTGACCAGCAATTCTTATAATCCACATGGATTGGTAACCGGTCGAGAGGTCGCGACTTGCCATGTGATTGAGAAAAAGGCTTTTCTACCTCCAACAGTTCAAGAACAAAATAATTGACGATGATATACTTGACCACAAAGCAGAATTGAAAAATAACAGCTTTGTATCAAAATTGTATTTAAATAAAGCACCAAAATTATTCGGCGTTTTTGTTGTACTAACTGTTATGGTTTGGTTACAAAAAGCAGGGCCATGGTAGATTCCCCGGATTTCTACCACGCTCGTAAATGTACGGGACGTTGACCATTCCTGGCCGTTTATGGATTCTAAATCTGTTTTGTCACAATCTAGTGCAGCAGCAGTCGAATTAGTTAGTGCTTGATGCGACTGCTTTAAAAAGTTATCTAAATCCGAAATGAGATACCTAAATCCGAAATGAGGTAACTTTTTTACCTTTCGCATTGCAGAATGGTACCAGACAAAATCCACAGATTGTTGGGTATATACCATTTAAAATTAATTCTGGGTAGATACCATTCAAGATTAATTACTAACTATCCGATCGGTTTGCTGATTCGACTAGTCAGAGTAACCCCCTTGGTAAAAATCAAATATTACTGTACAATAATTGAAACGCACGGCCAAAATTATCCTACACGCATAACACAATGGTCGGTCACGTTAAGATTGCTCTCAAACTATATATATATATATATACCAGAAAACCAATAAGTGGGTTCGCAGGTTCAAATCCCATGTGGGGATAGTTATGTGCAAGAGGATTGGACACCTTGCCGCCGTAGGGTGGTTCACCAAACCGCTGGTCGGTTACGGGTTCCTCCAACATCAAGTCCATGCTCCCGAAAACAAATAATCGCCACAGGATTAATCCGTCTTATCAACTTTCCTCTCCTTCGGGATCTATCATATTCAAAAATTCTCCAGTGACAGATTGTTACAAATTTCAGCACAGCTATAGCGAAAGAAACCTTGTTCAACCGTAATCGAAACCAAGGATTAGCATTTGAGATAGTGGCAGAACCATGAAAAGACATTTGATTGTAGTATTTTATTTAACTGAAAAATGGCTAACGGCGGTAACATAATATTTGAAAATGTCAGAATAAGTATCGCTTCTGATCCCCATATGACTTCAAGAGACGATCGAAGACACCGTGCTTACGGAAGACAGTCGAGAAGAATCATGACCGAAGCTGTCATCTTCCAGATTTCGAGAATCTGAGCAGCCTACTCTGCCTTGGCGTTTATGGATGTGGCGAAGATGAACTAAGCAGCAAGTCATCAACATTGTCAGAAGAAAGATTCCGAAAATGGAAATACCGAGCAGAAGAAATTGACTGGAAGAGCCATCTGCAGATTCTGAAAATTTGCCAAATTGAGACGCATGGTAAAATGCAATACTGTAGTATATGCCAGTTAGTAAGTAAAACGACTACTCTATATTTTGAAAAACTGATGAAAACTAGTCGAATCACTAAAAATAAAAATCCTGACTGCCTATTTGCGCTGGGTGCAATGGATGCATGGCGCTCGAATAATACTATTTTCGAACAGCTCTAATTAATAGAGTATATTACTTATATGATGTATATGTTTTTAGAAATACAATTTCCCGATTGCGAAATCTCTTCATCCTTTCGGTATTTCGATCGAGTGTTTCAACGTAACAACTTACCCATGGACGTATCCGCTTCTAAGTTGGGAATTTCCAATCCATCAGAAAATACAATAGGCCCCTTAGTTACCAACGATATTCCACTCTCATCATACCAAGATCGCTTTGATCGTTTCTGAAATTAACATTTATTGTAACGTCATAAACACTTATAATTTCAAGTAATTAGATTTTCGAATCTGCAAAACATTAAAACTTCATACAAAAGCTGGATTAACAGATTTGTAATTTATTGAGAATTAAGTTATTTTAAATTCACTTACGTGCTGAATTTGTATCTGACAATGAAGAAAAATTTCAGCATTTCTCTTTGCTTGAATTACTTGAAATCCAAAATGAACAGCAGAATGGGTATTCAATGGTCCAAATGTTTTAACAATATCAAAATTGCTCCTGTTTATAAACAACAGAACGATGCTCAACCATATGGACACAAAAGCAAAAACGAGATTATACAGGTATGCAATCCGCCAGAGTCAACTACCGATACGACGGTATTTTTTCACCGGATTACGACGCAAAACCGCCACGGTGCGCATTATTTACTTTTAATGGCGTAATCGCACACAAAAAACGAATCCCACGAGTTTACAGAAGTTTTTGATACATAAAAAAGTAGATGCAATCTTCAATCACTGAGAATTTTAAAGCGATTAGTCCAGAGTAAAGCGTTAAATATACACTTCATGTTCAGTGAAACGTTAAAAATCGTAATTCTCCGTTATCACATTATAGGAGAAGCAAATCTCGGGCCTCGAGCGCTTTTTTAAGTTTGGTAAGAAGATTAGGTTGTCGCGTTTGGAATAAATGTATGAGAATTTGGGGAACTAAGCAAGGATCCTGCCTTCCAGAACTTCAAATCTAGTCTCCCGGTCTCCCGGCCGGGGTAATCATCAGTCAGATGGCAAGTACGATCATAACACTCATAATAGATTGTACCGATAACCGAGGATGAAATAATAATCACATATTATGAATTTATAAATTAACATGGCCGAACACATTATTCAACTTACCGTGGATACAGTAACAGATCCACGTTTCTCAACGGTAATTCAGACTCTTTATTTGACGAAATCCAGCACATATTTATAGATGGAAATATAGAATTTGCACTCCTGGCGTTTGAGGCTCGCATTTCAATAGTTAGATACAACATCTCTCCAACTCTATAAGTTACGACTCCGCCTGCTGAAACAACTCGGGTCCGGATTTTGCCGTTAGTTAGTTCCGTTGTCCCATTTATGCCGGGTGGGTCGGTCCATAAGCTGGACTGGAATTCAAAGACTCCACTGGCAGTAACGAGGGGTGGTGTTCGACAGCATCTGAAATATAACAAGCGTAAGGAAGCAACAAAAACCTTTTTTTTCATGAAGTTATTGCGGGTTGGCATAATTTGTTCTTTACCGCAAAGACTAATTTCAGATTTTCAGAAGAAGCACGTTTGCACTAGAATTTGGAATGCCGGGTCAGGACGGGTTTGAATATGATAGAGTTTAAAAGTCGGAAAAATATTCTTTTTTTAAGACGCAAACCGTCACTAAAATTTGCTAAGGTAAATCATAAATGATACACCACTCTGTTATCATTCACCTATAATTGTCGTAAAATTTAATCAGTTTTGTTTAAAGGAGTTCTACAGTTAATAAAGACCGTATATCACTCAAAATTGCATTTTTACATTTCAAATTCAAAAATAAGAGGATTTACAAATAATAAATATGGCGCTCCCGAAGTACGTGCACCAAGATGGCGCACAACCTGAACCCTAATCTGGTACAACTATTATGTTCAGTTTGTGCGCCATCTTGGTGCACATACTTAGAGGTCCATGAATATTAAATATTCAGAGCAACGCCAAAATCAGTATTTGCACTCACATTGTGTCAATAGTTGTTGTCAATTTGTATATATCCTGATAGGAGCACGATATTCCTGCAACAGATGACTTTACAGATATCCCAGATTCTGCTGTTACATTGCGATTAAACCATATCTGGGAAAGCAAATGAGTTTTTTATTTTTAACGTCGGTCTTACATATAAATCCTTTACAAAATTCACTTTTACAAAACTCACCGTGTTCTTGAACGCCAGTGTCCCATTCACGGATTCCACTTTTGTGCCGCATGAATCGAACGGGAAAGGTATCGACACGGCAAACGTTTCACCATCGAAGGTTTCAAATCTGCAACTTTAAAATGGAAACAGACAAGGTTTTAGTTGACAACTTTAAAAATGAATTTTCATGACTAATTTTGACAAGCTTAATAGGCAAATGTATATCAAATTTTTGTAACACGTCAGGGCGCTAATTGGTCAGAGGTCACCCCACCAGACTCCGCAATGAATATGCTTTCGTCGAACAAAGGACATATTGATTTAATACCTGTATCCAGTGCCTTATTTACGACGTAATAAACTATTCAAGAATGCCCCAAACAGGAAAATTCGTTTTTTTTACAATTATAGTACTTGTGGATGGCTGCCAAAACGCTTTGCTACAAGCGCGATCGCTCACATCTTCCACTTACCCCATATCTATTGTAGTAAAGTTTTCAGCTAGGCTTTCATTTGGTGTAACGTAGAACACACCATTTCCGACACCTCCATCCATACCTAACACAATATCACCGCCAAGCGTTACAACAATCGAATCATGTCCACAGAAAATATCGGGAGATTCTGAAAAAAAGCCGGCTCGACAAAACTTTGTAAATTTTGATGTCACAAAGTTTCGCCGGTGAGAAATACTTTGTTTTATTTTGGGGAAAATTTTATCTAGAAAATCCGGTTTGCTTTGCAAATGAAAAAGAAAACGTGGTAGTGACTTGACCGCCCCGCGCAAGTGCAAAAACGCGTGATACACAGCTACATATGTGCTTTCCCGCCTTCCACTGAACTTTCATCTGGTGGAGATCCATCTTTTACCAGTTTCTACTTTTTGATAATGTTCAATTTTCTCTCGGAAAAGTACCCGTTGGAAGATCTGAAAAACAAACTAATACGAAACTTTTAACCTTGTCGGCTACGTGTATGTATAAGTCATGCGAGGCGGTCGGACTATAGATATAAAAATAAAGTTTTGTATTTACCCGGTAACCTTACCAGTGTTTACAGTTCCAGGTTTCATGCGTGTCTTCTCTATTACCATTTCCAAAACACTTTACACAGATTAATGCTATGAAATAGTAAAACTGGTTCAAAATATCAGTACCGGTAATTGGAGTTCCCAGACACAAAGACGTTGCACGGCATTCGTGCAAATGATAAATAAAAAGTACATGCATATGAAAGTTGTTTTAAAACAGAATACAAAAAAATATATCGAGAATTAGTCTACAGCAACAGTTTCATGCATCATGCTAAAAACACAATTGATAGAAGTCAATAAAAAAAGACAAATTTTTAAACCGAATTTTTCTGGCTGTATCTCTCACCGTATTCACAATTGTCTCCTAAATACAAACTATCTCCGATATTGTTGCAGGAATATCCCAACACTGATTGTTGACATTCACAATTATTCAAGCATGGATTTGGTTGGCATTGGTCATCTGAAAACACGGATTAAAATGTTTTTTAGATACGCGCGAAGATAATTATATATATTATTTATTTCAAAACCAGAATGGGAGGATTTGAATATATACTTAAATTTTCCATTCGAAATAACTTTGTGCTACTAATGAGATTTTATAAATATTCTTTCAATCCTAAAAAACATTTACTTATAAAAAAAAATATAAGTCAATTAAGGATAAGTACGGCATTAACAGACAAAATCTTTTAATTTTAGGTTCGCTGATACCATCCTTCTTTATAAAATTACGCACTATGTCGTACCCAAAAAGCATTAATTTTGCAAATAGGCTATATTTGAATGCATGTTTTAAATCGTTCAAAGATATATTGAAAACGAGGTCCGTTAATTCCTTGGTTCTTTTCTGATTCTGTCCCACTAAAATCATTATAAATGCAGTGTGTGTGTGTCAGTATAGAATTTTATTACTTTGTGTATTCATTAATTAACTTCGTTCATCTTATTGGTTTTCAAAATTTATGGTAGACTGTCGATAGGCCGTGCGGAAAAGGCAAGAGAAGAGAACGTGGCTTTGCCTTGTAGTAAAAAAGGCACCGGGTGTAACGGCAACAAGAGCAAAAAGCGACAAGTGCAAAAAAACAAAAAAATATATTTACCCGCGTGAGCGCCTTTCTAAACACAAACTGTCGGATTAGGATTTTATGCGCGATTGGCAAAAACCTGAACTCTAAATGGCTTGAATGGTCAGGTTGTGATTTACATATTCGTTTAGTTATGGTATGAAACGTTCAATAATATAATCATTGCCAGTAGTACCTTCCGGGACTAGCTCCGTGTCAGCACTTGTCCCATTTTTTTCAACCGAGGATTTTGGATTAATGCTATCGCCATCTGCAAATTATCGTATAAATTACATTCAGGTTAAGAAAATTAATATTTACCATGGATGCAAACTTTTATAACAAGTCAGAAGGAATTGTTTCAATAATCAGTGTTAGCAACAAATTTTCAAGTGCTTGGAAGCAAAATTAATGCTGAAATGAAAAAAAAATACTTACTGCTGCTTCTGAGCATTGCATCTGAACTCCACGGGGTATCACAGCCGGCTAAAAAAATATATATATATACAAAACAATGAGTACCACTATCCCATTTAAAATCTATGAGAGATATTTAAATCGTACCCAGTAAAGGTTTCTACCATAAAAACAAACAAAACATACAAATGAACATAGGGTGCAGAGTTTGTTTTATGAATAGACGTATATAGGTAGTGGTAGAATTTGAAATTTTGGGAAAATGTTATTTTTCTATCGAACTCTTCTTTTATTTCAAAAAATGTCATTACATAAACAACATTAACACGAGGTGCATAAATCGAATACATATCTTTCGAAACGTCAAATATAAAACTTAATTGTCAGCTGGGTGCACTTTTCATATTGCTGCGGATGTCTTATCCCAAATACATAAAAAAACGGGCTTGGTGATATATCAGCAAGCCCGTTCTTTTTTTGTTTTGGGGTGAGACGTCTGCAGCAATATGCAAAGTGCAGAAAAATTATCACAGGCGAGAGTTCAGGTCGAAACAGTAACTCTTACCTATTCATTACGTATTCAAATGAGAGTTTGACTTTTACCTTTTTGGCAAATCGCAAAATGCCAGTCATTTTGGCAATGCCCAACTCTCCACTTTTTCGACGGATCGGCAGGAAATAACCCACAGCTTTTACCTTGGCCTCTATTTAGCCTGTGGAATAAAAACATTCATTAAGAGGCCGAATGACATGCAGCGGTTTTGCCCATATTTTTAATAGAACAGAATTGAGACCTAAATACTTTAAGCTATACCAAAAATGAAACAAATTTCATTCAGTAGGAAGTTGAAAAATTTTACTTTATTTTTGAACTTAACTAAAAAAATATATTATAATTAATATTAATAATCAATATATCATATAATTACTTTATTGGGGGGTAACCCAATATAGAATACCTGTTTGCATATACTAAAATGAAAAGTAATTATATGAAACAATGATTATTAATATTAATTATGATCAATTTTCTTAGTTTCTGTAGTTTAAAAATCAAAATTCCTCAATAATCTTAACATTGAATAATAACTCACACGTCGGCATAATGGAACCGTCCGATAACTTCCGCATGTGTCATTCTCATGTTATCTCTCCACATCCACTGATTTTGTCCAATGACCTTTAACCCGATCCAATAACTAGCTCCGTTCATCGTTATTCCGGACCGCAAAACACCACTAAAATGTCAACGCTTTTATTATTGTTTTAAAAATGGTCTTTTTTTGGCAACTTTTTGGCTAACCCATTTCTAATTTTTAGCACTAAGATTGTTGGAGCCACACGAGAATAGGAAAAAGAGTAGCACGAACAAAGGTATTAACTATCTGATAATGCGGTGGCCATATATATTAGTTATTATGTATATGAGGATTGGATATCGAACTTTTTATTTTATAACTTTTACCTTCATATTTTAGTCTTACTTATTTTACTACCTGATCACGGAAGGTAAGGTCAAGGAACTATCGACCAAGTCGCCACCCATACTCTTGCAATAATGATGAGATTCATCAAACGGTTTCTTCTGAGTGGTCGCAGTATAATATAATCCGTTGTCAAAGCGTCGCCATATTCCACACTTACCCCCAGAGGTTGTTGAAGCTTGAAAATAAATGAAAATGTTTCTCGATAATTGCTGGATATGAAAAATTAGGACAAAATAGCTTTTAATCCCGCTGTACCAGCAAGTTACAAGTTACTGGTAAAGTATATAACTATGGATAGCAAATCTGCCGCCATACAAAACATTCGCTGAAGCAAATCACGCGTATGCTATATGAATTTACTTTGAGTCGCCTTAAGTTGATTTACAACTGCTGTTTGAATAAAAATTTTATTGGTTGCATTTCCTATTCCCAGTATTCAACATTGCACGAATAGTGTCGTAGGCTGGTCGGGGAGGACTCCGATTGATCGTTTTTACTCTACAGTTGAATGTGTCTAATAATTATATTATTTACTTGTTCAGTATTATAGTAATACGCTTTGAATGCACACGTATTATGGACTATTCGAACTGACTGTACAAAAACCAGAGTACAATTTGTGTATACCACAAGCTAACCATTCGAACTGTACAAAAACCAAAGTACGATTTGTGTATATCACAAGCTGATGATCTACAGATCGAACAAATAAAACAGGTTTATGGAAATCACTGGTACTTAATATAATAGAAACACTATGTTGAAATATAGGCGGCCTCAGAAATATTACCTGCTGCATGAGTTCCGGTCGGTCCATAACCTTTAAGAGTGAATTCCATCAAGTCGTAATAAGGTACAGATTTTTTATTTGAGACGACTTACATTTACAGCTTGGTGGGGTTCCAGTCCATATTCCATAGTAGCAAGTCCTACGCGCACTTCCACCATCTAATTCATACCATCGACGGCATTTGTATACAATAACATCGTTAGGAAGATAGCGAACTCTGACGGAACTGCTTGCAGACGTCAGAAATATATCCTGTCCTGCTCCTTGACCGGTGTTTCTTTCATTTTCTACCCAACCGTTGTCAATGGGCGGGGGAGGATCACAATACTGCTGCTGAGGAGTAGAAGCTGTAAGGAAATGCAATAAAGAACATTTTAACAATCTAATTCAAATGTATTTTATATGAGAATTTGCCAATAGCAATAAATGTAAATGAAAGCCTAAACGAATGTTTCCCAATCGTGAAATAAATCCTACCCAGGGAGAAATTTATAGTTTAGGGGAGAAAATACGAAAATATCACCTCGATATATTATTCAATCAATATTTTATTGCCCACGTTATAGACTATTCGAACCGTGTAAAATCCAGTGCGGACTGCCATAACATTAGCTAAGGTCCTTTGCACAAGTTTTCAAATGTTCATAGTGGAGAAGAAATAAAGCGAGATAGCGATCAGAGACCGCCGACTTATCGGTCTAGCGGCGTGTATACTTCGCTCTGACTCAATAGCGACACTCGTTAATTATACAATTAATCATCCAAAATCAATAAGCTTCTGGTCCCGAGATATGCACATGTAAATTTGGAGCATCGGGATATACCGCGTGTATCTAACAGACAAACAAACACATACATAAATACCTATCAACATACTTACCGATCAAGATCGATAAGTAAAAAGATCAGGAAGGCAAAATGTTAAACATGTGTGAAAAAATTAACCGCTAGTCTAAACAGTAATAAGTGACAGTTGCTACTTTCCAATTGCAACACAATGCTTGATAAATTCCTATAGTCGAGCACATCCAAAATTTCTAGTAGCATCCCTTTGTCTGCTCGACATTTTTTCATTCGCTGCTTGATATTAATACGGCCTATCGCACCCACCAAACATAAATGGCATAATGACGAAAACTAGTATAAAGGCAATATTTTCAAATGTAGCACCCGCAATATTTTCACTTACTTTTACATGTAGGACTAGTGCCAGTCCATCCATTTGACGAACAAACGCGCCTTTTGCTTCCATCAGTAAGAACATAACCATCCTTGCATTTATAAACAATGGCGTCGTTGATAAGAAACCTGATCCTGACTTGTAAACTACTCGCTGCGCTCATCAACGCTGCTTGTGATTGAGAACCGCTTTCTTGTCCTCCTAGTCGGTTTCTCTCCAAAAGAATTCTTCCGTTTTCTACTGCTGGAGGGGCATCGCAATAGGTTGCAGTAGTTTCTAAAGTAAAGTGAGGGGTTTGACGATAAAATTCTAACGAGTTTAACCCAAAACTGAACCAGGCAGTAGTTTATAACAATCATGTCATCAAGAAAGAATGAGAAAATGAGTTCTTAGATCTATCTTTTGATCTTTTCTGGGTTACGTACTTAGCAATGTTTAGTTCCGTCGCTTTCCTGAGTTTGATTTTGGAGATCTACTCGCAGTAACAAAAGTTTTTATATAGTATCATGGACTAAAAATGGATATTTTTAGAAAACATTTTGACGATCGCTCTGACTGAATAGGGCTCCAGATGTACATAGAGTAATATGATTTCTTGTTTTCCATAGCTTACCAAATCTGATACATTTTCTATAGGTGATGGGGGTTCAACTCGACAACACAAGAACAGAATGTCAACATAGCCACGCCCCACTAACCCACATAAACGACCCACAATTTGAAAACTGTGAGACTCTGAATAGTGCCTATAACTCACTTCTTTTGCATTCAAGAGTTGAAGAGGGCGACCAAGATCCACTAGAGAGACAAGTTGATGCAACAATTGAAGGAGGGTTGTATCCTTGAAAACAAGTTATTGAAAATGTGTCTCCTTGATACCACACGGACTTTTGTGGAGATACTACACCGCCAATTGCACTCGGATGATTACACGTTACAATTTTTGGTTCTGAAGCAATGTTTAAATATTGATATTATATTTTATTATATATTATAAATAGTTGAAACTTGATGATATAACAAGCGCCATTTGGCCCAAAATGGTAATGGCAAAACATTTGACGCCCAATGTCAAGTAATATACAAATTAAGTCTTCAAAATACTTGTGGCGTGGTGTGATATCCCAAAGTATAGGTATACCTACTGTTGATTGCATTTAGTATCTACTAACATAGACCAATAGATTGGTTCAAAATATTTATAGAAATTTACGAAGTGCGAACATATATCAGACACGAAAATGTGCACCAAAAATTGCTTGATGTGAAAAAACCATCTCATGTTCGACCATTCCCCAAACTTCACTATGCCATTAAATGACTGTTTTGCATTCATTTATAGTTTTATACAATAACAAATTTCACCTTTGCAAGAGGGTTGAGATCCAGTCCATGAGCCCTGAGAGGAACAAGTCCTAGTTGTACTTCCTTCGACAAGTTTATATCCTGATCGGCAACGATAAGTAATTGATTGGCCAACTAGATAACGATAAGCTCCTGGGTTTGGTGAATCCATCCAACCGTTTTGTATAGTGGGTAGGGGCACGCAAAATGTTTCTGCAAAAAAAAAAATTCAGTGCAACAACGAATGGAGACTTTGATTTATATTGGGATCTGTACAAGTCGCCATTGACTCCTGGATAGTCAATAGTTTTCGTAAAGATAGGTAATACATACCCATACTATCAGAATTATTAGAATCCTATCAGTTTGGCTTCTTACTCATAGCTATGATATATTACACACCAAGAGTAAACAGCTTAAATTGAGTTTAAACTTGAAAAGATAAATTGAGTTTAAACTTGAAAAGACTTTATAAATGTTCGTTGTTGTTTGCATACCTCGCGCTAACTGTTGGGGGTTTGCATCCACAAAATATGTTAATTGTCCCAAAAGAAAGACAGGTACATTCCATGGATATCGCATATATAAGTTGCAGAACAATGTCGTAACAGATTAGCAAATGAGTGGGCGCTGCAGAAGTATGTGTACCAATATGGAGGTAACTAATTTTTTTCGCCTACTTCCCATCAAGTTGTGTAAAGGAACGGAAGCCTATGGGCAGGGGGTATATTCACTTGGCTAACACAGACAGTCCCCGAACTCGCAATAGGACTAAAATAAGGAAAATCGGAATAAAATTACGGCCTCACCCTAACCTGGTACACACACTATGGGAGTATCAATGGGTGAAACAAAAACCATTTTTCAACCAATTTTGAAAATTATATATATATATATAAACTTCAAATACTCACCTTGCTGAATAGGCTTGCATTCTAGATGTTGTGGTGACCACATTCCATTAGAAAGACAGGTTGCAATGTTTATCAATGGAGCTTCATAACCAGTATTGCACGACACAGTATAAGAATTACCAACAAACCACATGTACCGTTGAGGAACGATTGTACCATATCGTGGAAAAGTAGGAGTTGAACAAGTTCTACTCGTGGATTCAACTTTGCCTAAAAATAAATTAGTTCGTGGCGTTCCGAGGTTGGTCTAGGATGCAATAGGAACAATTTTAAGGCGTTTTGTGCTTGCCAATTACGACCAAACTAGCGCAATCTATAAAATGTGTGATATCACTTTGACAAGATTCACTTTGCATTGCGCATTTGAAAAAACTAAACTTATGGTTTGATAAGCTCAGGATGAATTACAGTTTGCGCAACGTGAATCTTCTCACAAAAACACAACCTATATAATTCTTTATATATATAATATGTTTGCTACTGGAATCGAGACATTCAGCATTAAGACGAAATTTTAAGTAGACAGTGTTGAATGGAATCAAATATTTCTGGAAGACGTCAATTTATAGCGTCAGTTGCGAGGCAGTGATACCAATCAAGTCCATTTGTTTGTCATTTTATTAGGACAACTAGCGTGTAAAATGAAATGTACATACGAACGCATCTTGGTTGGTTTCCAGTCCACGTTCCATCTGAGTTACAAATACGACGTTTGCTGCCAGATACTAATTCGTAGTTCTTCAGGCAACGATAAACTAACACATCATTCGTCCGCCAACGAATTTCAACTTGGGCAACAGGTGGGAGTACTTCATTACCCCCCTCAGGCTCAGTGTAAGAGTCATCGCCCCAGTTACTGTCAGGCGATACCCAACCATTCTGAATATCAGGAGGGGAATCGCAGTATCCGTCGTCGCCGACTCTCGACTCATCGGCTTTCAAAACGCACATAGGCTGACTTCCAGTCCAGGAACCATCATCGTGACAGGTTCTTTTTTTGCTACCTTGTACTAGAACATAATTTTCCATGCACTTGTAAACAATAGTAATGTTTGCTTGCCAAATAGTGTCATCTGGAGTTTCTGATGAACGACCGTCTATATCGTCGCTACTATCATCATCATCATTTTCCGAGTATGAATCTGAGTATTCTTCAAACCAACCATGTTTTATACTTGGCGGTGTGGAGCAGTGCCCTTCGTCCAAAACATGAGAGTATACTTCAATACGAATCGCTAAAATATTGTACGAATATTACCAAGTTTCCGATGAAAATGGAAAATATCATGTAACATGTACAAAGGGTATATGAAACATGAACTGAAAATCAAAGGATACTGTGGATTTGCAATACCTTTCAATCACCGAATGATGAAAGCATGCGGTTAATCAGCTAAGCGAACAAGATCACATTTTTGTCACCTACAGCTTGGAATTATCTAATTTGATTGTTAATTTTATGATATTTGATTGGCATCTGGCAACTGAATATTGAATGTTATATTGACTTCTAATCTAATTTGATCTTATCTAATTTGATTGTTAATTTTATAATATTTGATTGGCATCTGGCAACTGAATATTGAATGTTATATTGATTTCAGATTGCAGATAGTCTCCTAGGTGCAGAAGGAATATGGGACATGTAGTTAAGTATGTTACCTACCGATTAATACATACCTACGCATTCTGGCTGCATACCAGTCCATGAACCATCATTATCGCATTTTCTCTTTTCACTCCCTGTTAGCAGGAATCCTTCTTTGCAATAATACGTGATAACATCACCAGGTACCCATGAGAATGAGGTAGCAACTTGAGCAACATTACCGGAGATCACATCCGGTTCAATCCCTCCATTTTCAAGAACCGGAGGAGGATGACAATAATCGGCACCTGATGATTAGACGATTATTATTTTTACTGTTAACGGAATGGGTGGTGCATTATAGTTTCATACCTAAGATCAGGAACAACGCTCAGGCATATGAAGGACTGTCAAATGACAATAATCGCGAACGCAAACTTAGCAGAATTCCAGACAAATGTTTAAAAATTATACCGCATTATTTTGGTCGATCATTTGTGGGAAAAGCAATTTTTCACAACTCAAACAACCATACCAACGAGATAGCGATCAGAGACCGCCGACTTATCGATCTAGCGGCGTGTCTCCTTAGCTTTGACTCAATAGCGACACCGCCTGTCCCATCACTAATTATTTAATAACTCGCTAATTATACAACATAATTTTTTCAAAATCAATAAGCTTCTGGTCCGCGATATGATGAATGCACACGTAAAATTTGGAGCAGATTCAACGTCGCTTTCGTGAGATATCGCGTGTATCTAACAGACAAATACCTATCAGTTGATAAGTAAAAACGAATAATCAAAACTGTCGATAGGTACGCTACGTGCACAACAAACCAGGGACCCTTACCTCTTCTGCTACCCATGTCTTGAATGGAAACACATTCCGGGGTTTCCTCTGTCCATTTACCATCCTTGTCGCAAGTGAGTGTGACGGTTTTGGCGTTATGTTTTTTGATTTCGAACTTGAAACCCTTGTTACAATAATAGGTCACTTCTGACGAAAATGACCACTCGGTTTCGTTAGGTTTGAAGTACCCGTTTTGTAAGTCACTTGGACTCGTACAAACAATCGCTGAAAAAGGAAGTATCAGTGTATAAGATTATTAACCTAGTATACTCAATATTTATTTATACTCACGTTCACATAGTGGCATTGAACCAGACCATTTTAGATCTGATCGGCACTTCCGATTTTCACTGTTTGACAATCGATATCCAGCATTGCATTGAAACCTCACAATAGCCGCATACGATCGGGAATGGGATGACCAATTTAGTTTTCCATTTTGTAGATCAGGAAGTTTTTCACATTCTGCTTCTAAGATTTTGAACAAAATATTGAAACACTAAATCAATCACTGGACTAAGGGTAAGCAACAGTGTGGGTCAATCTTAGACAATTATATCTAGATTTTTAAAAATAACGCTGCACTTCAAGAGACCGTCAATGTTTCAAACAGGCAGGAATCTGAAGTATTTGGTCCAATTTAGGATCAACTTATAGTTCAAACTCTAGGAAATGAAGTCGTATAAACAATGTCGATCGAAAACTTTTCTGATGAATATACTAGATGTGTATTGAAACACTTGTTTTGTATTCGTCATAATAAAAACAAGATCGTACTTTTATTGAAGCATGACATCCCGCAGTGATCGTCGCAGTTACAAGTTTGGCCTTTTCCGGTGCATTCACGGTTGTACTTGCATGACGGTTGACACGTTCTGCCGCCTTCCACCTTGTCTTCCTGGCGCGGACAGTTCACCCCAAATGCTTTAGAAAAGAAAGTATCCGTAACTTTAGCAAGTAAGGAGCAGAATGCTACTGCAAGCCAGTTTGGATAGAATTTTCATATTTATCACGTTGAAGGGGATAGTCAATAATATCGTTTAATTACATGACGAACCTCGAACCTCTCGTCAGATTACAAGTCCATGCCGATTTTGCCGAATATAGGAATTATTCCCTGTTATTTTTTACATGTATCGATTTAGGTTTCGGTTACCGTGGTAAAAATAAAGCAATATTTGTTTTTGTAATTTTTCGTATTGTAGGCCCTACCTAATTTTCAGAGAAATAAAATAGGAATTGTCAAATTGATCTCGGGAAAACGAATTAATCATGCATATAAACCACGATCTCACGCCCAGTCAACCGGTTACAAACGAAACCACTTGTCTTGTTATTTATTCCATATATATATATTAAATATTATGCGGGCAATGTATTTGGTGCCATGACCACTACTGTTTTTAGTTCCCAATAACCAATCACTGGCCACTACACATATACATACACGTGACCCATCTTTCCTTAACAGTCGGTACACAATAGCTGCGACATCAACGTTACAAAACATCGAGTAAATGATTAAATGGTGACTTACCTTCTTGGTAAGAGATCAGAGCAAACACCAGACAAAACAAAAATCTGAAAAAATAGAAATTGGTAACACCAATGCAAGAAAATGTTACACTACGTCAACAATTCATTCATAACTTACCCATACATGTCCAAACTTTTGATATTTCGACGAAAACGAGAACAAAAATTATAACTATAACAAAAAATTAACTGTACAGCAACAACATTACAACAAAATTATGTTCGAAACCCGTTTTATAAAATATGACTTGCTATATAAACCCTAACTATCGTCCCTAACTATGCTATCCCATAGATAACAATAATCATCTCAACAGATAAAATGTTTATTGTGTATTTACGCAGGCTGAATTCGTTTCTAAAACTCAAACAGCAGTCCTACCCAACCCACATTACTGCAACCAGCCTGGATTCATACATACCCAACATAGATACGATAGCGAGCAACAAGAAAAACAGACCGTACGTAGTACGCAAAATAAAATCAGCTTTTTCCCCCACATTTGAGACGCCGTGCTCCGATCAGAGAAGGATATGTAATTATTGCAATAACAACGCGATCATTACAGTCTGGTCGAAGATACGTGGTGGCAATCATGCGCTTTTACAGTCTGGTGTTCAAGAGTCTGCTGTTTAAGATGCTTTCTGGACTACGCGGCTTGATATCATCCCGCGTGAGACAATGGAAGCGCCACATAAATTTCGAATAAACTTCTGAAATTGCTGTTGAATCAGTCAAACGATCTGATGTCGTAATCAACACGTCTATCACGAACCGACACAATTTGTTTCAGACAATATATAACGAAAAAACATCCTTTAATTTGTACAAGTCAGTCAGGATAGTGAACTTCATCGGAAATCTGAACAACAAAAAATAATTCAATCTATGTCTTTTACAAATTCAATTTGAATATCCTCCTCTGGAATAATGTCTGAATAACTTAATGTACATGCCCTAATTTTATTGCCAAAATGTGTTAAAAATGAAGTAAAATTTTTATTTTATAACTTTTCTCGCAAATTTCCATACGAAAAGTAAATTTCTTCTTGGGATAAGAGTATTAATTGTTCCTTTAACCTTTACGAGATATTCTGGCTTTCATGTTTTCGTTTATGCCAACGTTCACTATGGTTGTAATTCAGATAGATGATTCGAATTATCATTGTTTAATTCAAATCGATTCTAAACAATTTTTAAAAACAACCCATCAGCGATTTATTTTATGGGGATTCTCTGAATTGAATAAAATACCAATAATTGAATCAATCCCGCCCCCTTAGCGTAAGTAGTGGTGGATTTGATATGTCGGGATCTTTCGTTAGAGGAATTTCAATTCGAAGAATTCATTAATGTCATTATAGATTAACTGCTCAAAAGTTTCAGCAAACAAACCATCGTATAAGCTCTCTAATGCTTATATATATATAATATATAGCCTAGGTTTACTTCCTTGAGTATCAAATTTGAAAGTAAACGACTCGAACTACATTGATAAACAGGAACTTCAGAACATTTTTGGAATGTCTTTCTTGTTCCTTTTCATCCTTTTACAGTTTACTTTAGCCTTCTTTTCTCGCAAAATGGCTCACATTTATCAAATTTATCGTATATTTGATGCTATAATAAACATATTCGTAATCGGGACATTCCGGTTTGAAAATATTATTGTAAATTGCATTGTTTTGCGTTCAAAACATCCAGAAGTGACCAGCGACGTAATCAGAACTCTATATTAATTGGCGCCTAACGGCGCAAGTCTTCAAATCTTACAAGAATACCGGGTTCCTATTGTCAAACTGCCCAGAGTCGTGAGTAGAAGCCTGAACTTTGAACTCTTGGTCGTCGAAATTCCATACTTTCGAATATGATAATGAAAGTCCTAATGTACTACAGAGTTCACTAATTGTTCTGAATAGGAGCTTTACATACGCGAATGTTTTCGTCATCAAAACTTGATTTTTTCCGAGTTCGGAGTCGAAATTTCTTTCAGCCCGGAGTCAGGGTCAAAATTTAACTTACACGGAGTTTAATTTTTTATCAGCTCGGAGTCGATTGCAAACTTTTCTCGACTCCATAGCCAATGGCCAACAAATGGAAGGTGGTCAGTAATTATACCACTTGACACTAACTGTATATGAATACTATATATATTTCATTTTTTTCAAGCATAATCACTTCTTTCGTATATTATATGTTTCAAGGTAGCGTTTGCCAATATAGCACCTCAATGCTCCACGTTCAAACCTCATTGGAAGTTTTGGCAGTTATGCTGAATTTACGCTCTGTGCTATTTTTACCCAATCTAAACGCCGCAATTAGGGATATAAGTTCCGAATCGAATATTTCCTAATCTGATTATTTTTGGTATAACCTCATATTATCCTTACCTTCGGAACAACTGCAGGATAGATTGTGATTGACATCTTTGAGTAGTCGAACAAAATTAAGCGAAATCATTGGTTATCGTGAAACTGTGACCCACATCAAAAAATACCAACCCCATGAGTGTTAAGACTTGTTCGATGTTTCTGCCTCGTGCAATTTGCATTAATATTTTTTGTATATAGAATCGAGCCATTTTTTTCTCAAATTGCTCCGAATAGATTCAAATCGCTTCAATTCGAAAATCTAAAACTTAAATCCCTAGCCACAATTCCCATAACTGGCAACAGTACTAAACAGCAAAAAAAGGACTACGTGAATTTTCCGTTTATTTTTCTTACATATATACAATTATGTACAAACACTGTTAAAAATAAAACATTTTTTCTACTTTACAAAAATAATTATTCTTACATATATTTCAAATTAGATTAAGCCTTAGATAAAATATGTACGGTCCATCTGTGGCTCGTTCTGAATAAAACAAAAACTTGTTATAAAATATTGTTGAAGTTAATTATAACAAAACGTTTTTTTTTGTGGATAAATATTACATGAACATTATAAAACTTACTGTGGAAGCAAACATACAAACTATCAAATCCTATTTAAAAAAACAGCTTTTAAGATCAAAAAATAAACTGAGAAAAACAGCACACAGTAGCAAAATTATAACATAAAGTCATAAGTTATTTCTCAGATAAGTGGCAGGCAGGAGGCTAATGTAAAAAAAAAATTCGCAGTGGGTATATAGTAAAAATATTTTGAATTATTATTTGATTTAATCTTATCAATTTTTAAAGCTGTTATATACTTATCACTTGGTGCTGCAAGCGTTTGAAAAAAAGGAAATAATGTCTTAGCCAAGGCAAAGTGCGACATCGTATCTGATTCGAAGCAGAAAATTCTAATTCTGTCAGAATGGTTGAATTCAAGGTTAAAATTTAAATGTAAGTATATAAGCGTTAAATTAACTAAGCGATCTCAACATACTAATAAGAAAATTTGCATATACCAAAGCTATTGTAATCAAAATTTTGTTTTCAAGGTGTTCAGAGAGAGAGTCGAGATGACCTTTAAACCAGGAGTCGGAACCAGAGTAGTTGTTGAATGATCGTTGACTCATTTGCAGTTATGAACTAAGTGATATAATAACAGATTTAATGACAATTAGGAAAAATTGCAATCAACATTGCAAGTTGCGGTTAGCGATAATTAATAGAATATTCGTATCGTTATTACTTTGTTCCATATTTATCCATCGTAACTAAAAAAAATATTGTGTTTCGGATGTTTTTCAGACTAAAAGGTTATAATCATCCTTTTCAAACGCTCTAAAAATAAATTACAATAAGATGCAATACTTTTCAAAAAACCCGAAAATCATCTTTAATTAAAGTTTTGTATCACTGAAGGCAATGAAAATTTCCATTTCCAAATACCAATATTTGTCAACCTTTTTGTCAAGCGAAATTATTTGCTCTATTTATTGGTGTTGACACATCTTTCATTTGACATATATGTTGATGTCGTCGAGTTAATATTTACCATTGTGAACAAACTAAAGAATTTGAGAATGACTAATATGCCAGTTGTGTCAAATTTAGGTGGATGGTAGCTCAATTTATAGATTAAACGCATAGAAAATATCTAAAAAGTACAGTATTTTCAAATATTTGATAATATCTAAATATTCTAAATACAAATAAAATTGAATATATCATAGTGTTTTGAAGAAATTGTGTTACATACTAAGTTATTGTGTATAGAGCTCATTAAATGAACTTTTCGAGACTTAAAAACACATTTCGAATAAAAAAAATAAAAAAAGGGAGCATGAAAAAGTAAAATTGAAAACAAAGATATACACAGTTTAAGCAACCATACACATGAAAGTAAATATCTACAAGCCAGGTACAGGCTGCAGAATTGGAAATTTTCTTACATGTAAAAGCAAAAAGGTGCTTATCTAAAAATTGCCATACTTTTGAGAACGATTGTTTTACAAAGCCTTGTGTGGTGTGGCGATAGACATGTTAAGCGCAAATAAAAAAATGTTTTTATCCAAATAGAATTATTCTTTGTGTATTATTGCTATGAAAATGTCAAGTTTTGCTTAATGGCTTTCAAAAATAGGAATACAAATTTTAATGTTAACTTTGTATTACACAAAACAGTGTAGTGTCAATGGTATTGCTTTATTGGAATGGAAGCTTGTCTCATCACAATCCCAGATATGTCAATATTTCAACTGAAGAATTGACGGCACTCGGAAGTATTCGTACCAAGATGACGCACAACCTGAACAACCCTGACCCGGTAAACATACTATGTTCAGGTCGTGCGCCATCTTGGTACGAATAGTTCGGGTGCACCGAATTGACAAGTAAATCTCACTCTTCTTGTTTAAAACATAACATAGTCACAAATGCCTATAAAATTCTTGTATCCGAGTCAATTTATTCCTACATATTTCTGATTTAACTAACGCGCAACAAAAACCCGATTATGTGATGTGTATTAGAAGTAAATATATCTCCAGTTACATAACATAAACAGAAATAAAACTATTACTAGTAATTTCAAATTGTTAACAAGGTGTCAAAAATTTTAATAAATTATCGATAAAAACATGTATTATTTTTCAAGTAAAAGTACTAAGTGCAAGTCCTAAAATTGCTTAAGATTGGCCATAGTCGAAAAGCTAATAATTAAAATCTAAAGCAAAACAAACACCGCTTAAAGAAAACTTTTTTTACTTTGAAAATTTTTTCTAAAAAAAACGTGTTACGATTTTACGACTTTTGGTGTCAAAAAACCAAAAAGTCTGCGCATGATTTCTTGCCATAACATTTGACGTTCAAGTTGTGCCCCTCGAAGCATTCCCCGATTTTCCTGCGCTCTTCTGGATAAATATGGCATGACTTCACGTACCGGTCCAAAAGGTACATACTTGAATACACAGTGGCCTGCTTGACCTTAAAATAAATAATAGTTAAAAAAATATTTGATAATAACCATTCTATCTCATTCTTCATTCTATCTTAATGAGCAAATGTCTGATTTAAAATTTAGTGAAGAGTTTGATAAAAACAAAATTGGGTAGTTTATTATCTTGAAGAATGAAGATACAGCAAACAGCTAACCACATATTTTGAATTTGGTCGAAAGTGTAACATGCATTAAATCTTGTATGTCGAGGACTATACATTGGTCCTTGCAACATAGTCAAAATTAGCTAATGTGCTGCACATTGGTCTGAAAAATTTACTTTTAAATCTAAATATCATTATCCAGGTCTGGGATATAGCTCTAACTGCAAATAATCGGTAAGCTAAATAATAAAATACTAAACCTGTCATATCAACATGATTTTAGTGTCAAACAATGCCTTGTTTAGAGACATGTTTGCAGAGCCCGGATGCTTATTCATTATTAATATCAAATTATTTCATTGATGTACTTACCTAGTGGATATGTCACATGATCACACATCCCAAGTAATTGTCCAAAAAATACTTGTTTAGAAGCTGAAGAAATTCCGAGATCATGCATTCTGTATGAAATGTATGAAAAACAGAGAACAGTAAGAAACCTTACTTCAAAACTGATCTATGTTTAATAATCAACTGGTTAGCTCAGGGGTGCATATACTGTCTGACGCAAAATAATTTTGTCATAAGATGATAAAATGTACTAAAATTAATTCTGCAAGAAATGTATGACTGGCAATAATGAACATTCAAAACACATTATGATCGACTTTCCTCTCACCTGGGGTTATTATAAATGCTAATTTATTCTAAAATCTAGTATAGAACTATATATACCTTTGTAAAGCATATTTGATACTATCTTCGTTATGACTTGCAACCATCACATTTATGTTGCCATGTGAATTAATGTTATCAAGAAGAAGATCCAATGATTTCAAGTAACCCCTGTAAAAATTTCAAATTAACATTTTGGTAGCATTCAACACAGGGTGGTAATTGAAAAAATTGTTAAATCCTAAAGAACGAGTAGATGATTATCTTGCATCTATGCATCTGCAACAAATAACTGGCTAATTAATCCCTTATGCAACATGGACTGGTAACCAGACAAGAGGCTGTGGTTTGGCATATCATTAAGCGGCCTTATCGCCTTTGTTCTCCCCCAGGATAAATATGTAAATCCTATCCTAATATCACGTATAAAATACAGAAAAGACCACTGACAGAATTCATGGATTCCTTACTAAATTATTTTTTTCAGTTGATTTTGCTATTATTGGCACGAAACCAAAATATAATTTAAATTTCATGAAGTCAATCTGTTACACCATTTGGTATAACAGATTTATTTGAATAATCGAAAATTGAAATGAAAAGCTCTATGAAATACACATATTTTCAGACCTTCGTTGCAAACAATGTTCTATACATGCAGCCTAAGTAATAGTGATCTCTATAACTTAGATTCAATGTCTGAGTAAAATCACCTGTTTGTTGCCTCATAGTCAGGTTGTATAGGATCTTCATATTTCAACATATTTGCTCTTTCCCTTTCTTGTTCCATGTAAGCACCTCGAACAAGTTTGCAACCGAAATGAAAACCTTCTCTCTGAGCCAGGGCCAAATCAACAGTAATATAGTTGAAAGCCGCCTAAAAATAACATTTGTAAGTTTACCATGACGACAACTGAAACGCCGAGAGGTACTGAAACCATGAAAATGATACAATGTATGAGACTATGAGAGGTAATATGGATTGGCATGAGATTCAATATTCGAAAATACAAACCAGAATAGTAAATAATACGGTTTGTTGGACATTCTTCGGGCACCATAGAACAATCCTGAAAATTAAGAATTCAATTTTTGTTTAACGATATTTCTAATATGGCTTTTGCTCAGAAACAGGCTCTGCAACATTGCTGCTATAGGTTGGAGGAACCATATCTTTCCGATTCGATACTGCCTACCCAATTCATCAAACGCTTGGTGAGAGGTAGGCATGTAATTCGAACCCAAGATGTTAACATTTGATGGAATCATAGTAAAATCTAACACTATAACAATTAGGCCACTGTGGTCAAAATTCTCGTGCCATGTGGACATGAAGAACAGTCAGTATACACAATCTGAAATATCTTTTGCAAATATTACCTTGAGATAACACTGATATGTATTGAATATAACAGGTCTTGTTTTGTTGAATCTTCTCATCATTTCAACAGTGATTCTACTGATAGCAGGTTGGAAATAAGTTTGCTCTGCATCAACCATAAGACGAACTCCTTGACTTTCAGCTCTGTTAACAAAACATGGAAACACTTAATAATTTTGCATGCAGGTGTTGTTTGAATAGGGTTATTGTGATTGATGAAGTTTGAATTGGTATTTCGGCGCTCCAGAAGCGTGTGTACCAATATGGAGGCAACTAATTTTGTTTGCCTACTTTACATCAAGTTGTGTAGGGACTGAAACCTATGGGCAGGGGGTATATTCACTTGGTCAACACAGACAGTCCCTGAACTCGTAATAGAACTAAAATAAGGAAAATTGGAACAAAATTATGGCCTAACTCTAACCTGGTACACACACTACGGGAGTACCGGTATTTCTATAGAAAAAGTGAATATTCAATACTGGACGGAAGTTCAGTATAACAAAGGTTATATGGTCCCAATCGTTATTGAATGACCTTACCAGTGCAGAGAATATTGGGCTGGCAACCTTTTCAGAAATTTATTGATTTCTATCCTTAAAAAGTGAGTCTTGCAATTTTATGACTTGGTAACATTCAAGAAACTGTGCTAAATGCAGGAGGATAAACAATGAATAAGGGAAATGGGAAGAAGAAGAGAGGAAAAATACAGAATTTAAAACAATAAATGCTAGAACCATGTTTCATAACAGAAACAAATTCTTACTAAATCGGAATTTTCCAACAAAGTTTAAAATTTTCAAAATTTCAACAAATGAAAGTGATATTTTGTGTAATTTATTAATTTTTTTAAAATTGAATTGCAGGGATAGTTGTTTGAACTCAGATACAAAGATTCTATTGTAAAAGAGTCAGTAATGTCAAACTTTTGCTTCACAAAAATAAAATGCGTTTATTTTGAAGAATAAGGCATTATATAGCATGGGGAGACATTAAGTGCATCTCATACAGCAAAATTACCTTCTAGCAAGAACATCCATTCTTCGTAACATTCTTCTCATTTGGGCATCTTCTTCATCAGTCATATCAGTGAGTAAAGATTCCATTTCTCCCGTCTGATAAGACAAGAAATAAAAAATCATGCTATTGCCAAACAAGACCCAAAATACTTGAACATAATTTTATTAAGGTACACCACAGGTTTAAATCCAATGCACACCACTTCATCCATGGTATAATAAATTGAGTCAGTAATGTCAAACCGGAATAATTCCAGCGCTTCCAAAAATATTAGCTTTCTAGATATCAGTGGATGTTGCAATGATCTGTATTACAGTAAAATCAAAATATCCTAAAAAATTCATCCTATGAAAACCTGACTTAAATCATGCTCAAATTACAAAAAAGAAACATTTGAAAGAAAACACCATCTTTATCATATCCAATATAGATATTGTACAAAAGCATTGGAATAAACATTTAATTTTTTAATAACTGCAGTCCTGCATACACAAAAAATGATTACTATCAATGATCTTATGCAAAACACACCTGAGGATTTGGAACAACAAATATTTCTGAAAACTTTTTATTGCTTGAGATAAGTTGATTCCAGTCGAGTAAATCAACAAATCCAGATTCATCAGTGTCCATCCACGTAAACCATTTTCTACTATCATCTCTACTCATTAGAATTCCAATACTTTTTGCCTTTTTCTGTAGAAATAAAAAACAAATATTGAGAAAAATTAAAAATTGGACCTTATCCGCTACACTAAAAACATCTACAGTTACATGCTATAGTGTATCACAGACTGAATAAGATTTCACATCTAGGGAACAAATCCCATGGCCTCACGTCATCCAGGGTGTGGTGAAATGAAATCAGTTGAACAATTGTGTCATATGCTATGCTCCACTTAGAAGAGGAAGTGGCCACAAATGGCTATATGGTAAAGACTAGACAAATTGTCCACAACTGGATTACAATCAACACAGGGCAATCAATAGCGCAATGAATAACATTTTGTAATGCTTTGGAAGATTGTGACAATTGTCAACTTATTACAACAAAATCCTAATGTTATAAACGCACTAGAATTAGATATTTAGACCTATGATTTATCAGAAAAAGGAAAAGAGAAAACATGAAATCATACCCTGAATCTGTGAATATCAAAACCTTTCTCCAGTACATCAACATTCTTCAGAGATAATTTATTGAATAGCTCATTAGCTCGCATCAATGCATCGGAAAACTGCAGCTAAAATATGAAATGAAAAATATAATTAACTAAATATAATAATGAGATATAGCACAGAAATGAAATTCATAGCAGTGTGTGAGATAATAAAATACTATGTGGCAATGTAGCAGTCTCGGAGAAGCTGGAGTCATTGATTTGACCCAAGTTGGACTCGAATTGCTATTTATTAACGATTGAGTTATCTAAATTGGACTACTTGGTCATCGACTATTCGTCAGTGAGACTTAATTTAGTGATTGACTCGACTTAACTCTTGCGAGTGAACTAGAAAGTAGTTTACCAAAAATTGTGGCCTTCCCAGTGCTGTTAGCTTGATTGCAGCAAATCCCCCTTCAGTGGTTGAACCTGCCGCATCGATACATCTGAAAATTGTGATGGTTAAAAGAAATTGAACCAATATAGAAGTGGATAAAATACTAGTTGGGCAGCGTCTTATATAAACATATTGAGATATGTACAGTGTACAGATATTAGTGTGGCATTCTATCAACGTATTGTAGCTGACATGTAAATGAAATCTATATGTCATCTCAAGAGTCCACATTTGGGGGACACATATCTAATTTCAGTTGAAGATATATGTATTCATCTCTTTTCTAGAATTATTATGTGGGCATGACATGTCAAATACCTGGGTTAAAAATTTAATTCTGAATTAAAATTTCCAGAATATAGTAAACTTGGCAGTGTAAAACTTATTGAAGATTTCTTAGCAAATGACTCAATGAATGCATTGCATGATGCATGTTTTAAGATGAAGAACCTGGCCGAACAAAAACTTTATTTATTAGACTGCTAGACCTATATACCTAATTTCCCCATTCAGAAATCCAAATATAATTACAAAGCCAGTTTCTCTGCATGCTTGAATAAATTTCTATACAGATCTGTACTTGCGGAGAACTTAGGGCCCCCCTCCACTATAAAAACAAACATGACATGGGGAAAACACAAAAAAATATATATCCCACTTCATAAACATTTTCATATTTTCATCACATTTTGCTTCATCAGTGTAGAAGTAGGTTCTTGCACTGACAACTTTATGTCGACGATCACCAAACTCTCTATGTGCTTTGAATTTATTGTAACCAGTACCTGTGAAGCATAAAGTAGAAACTATTCAGTTCAAATATGGCAAGAAATTAAAATATTCAATCAATGCTGTATTACGAGAATACGTGTAACAGCTCAGCTTAATACTGTTTAAATATTAGATCCATAGGATTAAAAAAGATCCAAAGATTAAATTGAATATCTGAATATATTTCAAAATTATATATGTTTCACAACGTATTCTAAGTGATTCAAGAGTCTTGCTGCACACAAACACAAATATTGACCCAAATTACTTTTACAAGAATGAAGAAATTATTTAACACTTGAACTTCTGTTTGTGTATAATTGTGCCCAACAGTTTCAGGAATCAAGAAATGGTGATATCTAATGCTTAATTTGTAGGGAAAAATATTATAAATTGAGAAATTGGTAAATCTATCCAAATGAAATCATTATATTTTAATAAAGTAAATTGTGAGAAACTGCTTGTATGATAGTATAAATAAGTTTAAAAATGAGTAAAATGAAATAATAACAATGTATGATAGCCCACACATGAAAGTCAGAATGGAGATGAGTAAAACTGCATGAAAACAATAATGAATCATGTTTCTTTTTGCGAGTGCATTCAGTGAAAAAGTACAATTCATATAAAAGTATTACCTCTAGAAACATGCGATGCTATTAACAAATTGAATAAAATATTAAAATATTGGAAGTTATGATTGTGCGTGTTAAGATGATAGACCATGAAAAATTCAATGACAGAGCAAGTTTTTTTTTTGTCAAGAAATATTTCACAACTTTTCTCCAGACTGTCAGTTACTGATATCTTCATTAAGCTATAGTTTAGGATTAAAAGCATTCCAGCATTAAAAGCATTTGGCATATAGCAAATCCAATTTTTTATCTGGGTTTTTACTCTGGGTGAGGTTGTGATCATGGGGCTGCAATTATTTAATTATATCCGGCAACAATCAACAACCTGCAGCAGTTGGGTCCAAAATGCCTAAAAATTCTGAATTTTATAATAAAGAAAATTGATGTAGAATCAATATTTTTTCAATTTGCAAAAGGGAAGGATGTGGCCAGGACCCAATATAGTTTTAAATTCTAATTCGGTAGACCTACACTACAATTGAAATAATTACTGTAATTATTACCTGCGATATCAGATATTGTATACGCATATTACACACCATGAGAGTGCTGACTCATGGTCTTTCTATTTTTATAAGCAAAAACATGACGATGATATCACCCATAATAAACTACCATACTACACACTGTAATAACACACACTACACACTGCCAAGTGATTCATACCATGCAGTAACCATATTACATAATTACCAGGTTGTTACTAAATACCTTACTTGATTCTGAAGATCGTTATGAATGAAAAATAAAATACTAGTTTGTTAGAACTTGAATATATATAATATTAAAAAAGGGAAATTTTAAAAATACAATAAAATAACAAGAAAAGATAGTTTTTGACAACTTTTTCATGCCATCACTCTGAAAAGGGTCCGTCTATACAAGAAGCAACTGATATAAAAAGGCTACTATTTTTGGAAAGACCAGAATCTTTCAAGTTTGATTATTTTCTAACCATTTTATGACACAGTCAGTGAGGTGTTGTGCATGGAGTTTTTAACCTGGGATCTTTGAAGTGAGATGACAGCGATAGTGTGAAGTCAAGCGCTCTTAATCACTAAGCCATCATGATCAATAGTCAAGTAATACCTTAAATGAATAAGTGGTACTATTTAGGATTGGGATTTACATATTTATCCCAACGGCTTTGTCATATGCTGAACCACGGCCTCCCATCCGGTTACCAGTCCATGTCGGTTATGGGTATAGGTAACCAGTTATTTGTTTTCGGAAGCCGTAAACGACCAGCAGTTACGTAAACCACCCTGCGGCGGCAAGAAGTCCAACAATCCTCTTGCACAAAATTATCCCCGCATGGGATTCGTACCTGCAAACCCACACAGGGTAATCAGAGATGCAGAGACGAGCATCTTCCTAACGCTTAGCACTTTCAACACTGAGCTAACGATATGCAATTATAACAATAACATATTAGAAACTACCGGTAAACATAATTAAACATTTATTAATAATAATAAAATCGTTAATATTGTTGCACATATCAAAGAATATTACTTATAACTTAAGATTTAATAGAGACACATCAAATTCACACATCAAAACTTGCCACTAAAAATTGATCCCATTCGACATGACAGAGAAAAATGGCAAAAAAAAGTAAACGAGTCATTCCACAAACGTAGTTTCTGAGGGCATTCACATATTTTACCATGGATATGTTCACCAATATTATCAGATTTCCACCCTTCATTTGTAACTGCACCACCGCTAGTTTTAAATACTCTGAAAAAATAATTGAGCAAATGAATTCCACCTGTTTGTGAATTATCTACGTGTGAAACACAAGAACTCATTTCTAGATCTTTTGCTTCTTCTTCCGATAAATCTTCCTCAACAGCGTAATCGAGAATTGATCCAACACCATATGATTGCATTTTCTGGATGCATGGCTGAAAAAAAAATATTGAATAAATGGGATCCCAAATATTTAATAAACTATTATTCTGAATGCATTCTTGAAATAATTTATTCTAATATGAGATATTGAAGTTCTAAATTAAATTTGGCAATGCAGGATATATATTCTGTCCCCGCTTAGGTAGGCCTACATATAATAGTTAAAAATAGAATAAAGTGTTTTTTCATTTTCCCATTTTTACAAGTTCATAGAATAAATAAAGTTTAAAACTGATTCGAAAATTCGAATCATTGTGGAAGTTCGTGTCAATTTAATATAAAAGCCTGCCAGTCTATTTCAGAACGCCTTTAATATATAATCCCTATATATATATATTTATATGAATTTTCAAATAATTTTCTTGTCTACTAACATTTACGCCACACCAAGCTAATAGCTAAATCATAACTTAATATAGATTGTGGGTATATTTCGGCAATGTTTACAGGTAAATAGCTTATAGCTACAGGACACTAGTAGTTCATTTATTCCAATTACCACGTTAATGTGGGCAAAAAGAGAAAGATAGTTTGACAACCTAGTTTGTAAAATTATAATATACTATAGTCATTAACCATTAGCATTTATAGATATCAAATAAAACTACATTATATTATTACTTTTTAAATTGTATTAACCTATACCTTGATTTCTTCCTCATTTTCACCGGCAACAAATTGTCCATAGAAAGTATTTTTCATAACATATTTGAACAAATTCTGTCCAAGAATCTTCTGACCGAGGTTTGCGAGCTAGAATAAATGTTACAAAATTTAATAGTGCATATAAAAAATATAAATTTTCTTACCAACTCACTTTTCTTACAAACAACTTTTCACTTCAAAATATTTGATGAAAATTTCCAATCTCAACAACACATCACTAGATTGGATTAGAATTTTATACTTTCCGTTTAGTTCAGATTCAACATTTTTTCAATTTTTATCTCATATCAGTATTTCCAAAAAATATAAATATTGAAAGCCAATTACAAACTAAAATTTAGTGAACAATTATGAGTCACAACAAACTATAAAAGGCAACATTTAACACACTTAGCCTATTGAAGTGTTTTCACAGATACTTGATCCTAAAATAACAAACATATAAGTGTGATCATCCTAATCCAACTACTGCTCCCCATAAAGAGTTCATTTTGTAGCTCACCATTTGTTACGATAACATTACTGACTTAATGTTCAAATATTCAAAAATGTTTTCTTCCCTATGTGTCATGTTTTGTTTATGTACGATTAAATTAGGCAATGGCCCTAACTAAACTTAGACTGAACTATATTTTTTGTGGAATGAGAATATAATATTTTTATTCTTAATTAAATAGTGAAAATGGGAAAAAAGGAAGAAGTTGCTAAGTTTGCCTTAACTGTACCGGTATCAATGCACGACCTTCATGCTAACATTTTTGTGCCCAAAAGACTACTCGAAAATAAGCAGTACTTGTTACAGTAACAAAAACATAATGTTCGAATTGAGACAATTACAAATATTACCCATGTCTAGACGGAAAGTAAACAGAATTTAATCTATGCCATATTTAACTGTTTGAATAAATTTACTATAAGGTAAACTTTCAAAAAGCAAAAAGCAAAATTTTGATCTATACTGACGAAGTCAGCAAAGTAATAGCAATATCTACCTCCAAATTATAATCCACAAGTTTATCAACAGTGCAAAGTTTCAAGACAAAAGAAGCTCGAATCAATTCTTGCATAGATTTACTTCGATATGAATTTGCAGTATTTGTAAAATCAATGTTCCATTCTTCTTTTTCGTTTGATTTGAACTGTATAATTTCACTGCAGAATGTAAACGTAAAGTTAAATTCACAGAGTCATGTGCAAAAGTATGTTCCATCAGTCTGAAATCGATTCGGAAAATGGCTCAAGCTTCGATGTCTATTCCAACTGACAGGGTTATCACTGATCAAGATATAGATATAGCAAAACTGAAATTCCAAAATTGTAATGAAATTTAAGTATAAGTTTTAAAGTTGCAGAATATGACACAAAACATTTAAACTAAGCCCTTTTTTCTATTTTTTGCACTCAAGAGTTAACAAATCTAGATGCAAAATCTGATTAAAACCTAGAAACAAGCCATAAAACTGAATTACCATTTAATATTTCTGAACTAAACAATTATTTGATTATTGAAAATCCCAAGTAATACAATTTTACGGTATCCTACTCATACTCCAGAAAATAGGAATAGTAACGAATAAAGTTCATATCCTTCATCAGATATTAACATATTACTGTATTAGAGTATTAATAGGTTTAGAATAGAATGGCCTATATAAGTATGCTTGTCTCTATCATAACGACATAGAAACTGTAAAATCATAAAATTGTAAAAAGGCTTGCTTACTCTTTGGTTGTAAAGTTTTCCAAATGATCAACAGTTGCGCTTGGCACTTTTATTCCAGGCTGAACAGTAGATATTGGAGATTTCCTGTATGCTGTTTTTGTCACAATAGTTCTGGTAACAAGAATATTTCCGGAAGATGGTTTTACCTCACATAAAAGAAAAATACGTTTGTCAGGTCGAGAAATGCGCTTTACAGCAGCTCTATAACATGCTGTCGCCGTCAACTGTCCCCCATTTTTCAACATAGCTTGACCAGTAAATAAAATTACAATATAATTAAAAACGAACGGTATCTAGAAATAAGTAGAATAAAAATTGAAGCTAAAATCAGAAAAGCCCGACAAACAGTCCAACCCAAAACGGGATATTTTTTTTTTTATTTTTTTTTTTTTATTATTATTAGTTTCCGAATTAGATCAAGATTATTAATCATTTTTTTAGAATTTTGAATATCATGGTTTTAATTACCACCATTTCAAAAAGTCATATTGTATATACGAATTATAAAATCATACAATACCAGTTTTTTAATTTGAAATGGCGTGCTGTGCTTCAGGCAAGTAAGCTACAAATGCAATTTGATTGGCCGAAAAGGGGGCGTTGTTACTACTCGAGTGGAACGCCCATAACAAACGTAAGTTTACCTAAACCACGTGCGTTCAAGCGACAGATAAACGCAAAGTGACTAGGTTTCTAGTCTCTTTGGATAAACGCCACCACACAGTCGCGTCGATGCGCTAAAACAGTACGTAGGCCTACATATACATATGCCTATAAATACCCAACAGTGTTACCATTCTTTCGCCACACGAAAAAGTTTAATTCCTGTTAGGTTCTTTATGAAAGTTGCCGGTGCTTATTAGACTCGAACCTCATACAATATCTGCAAAGTGTATCAAATATGGCGTTCTATTTTTTTTTAAATGTAATCGAATTTCTCTGGTACAAAATTAATGCCCATTACTCCGCGACAAGGTAAGCATGTTAAGCTATAACTGGTACTAATCATTATTCAAAGCTATAGATTTCATAACCTTTTTTCCGTAGACAGTGCCCCAGAAACACTGCTCCACTAAATTAATTCACTGAATCGAGTGCCGTCGAATACATTTTAGCGACCACATCATTTTGATCGACTCATTAAACTTGGGAATAAAGCAGACTAATTAACCTAAATATCAGACGGTCGCAGTTTTAAATCAAACAAGCAAAGCGTTTGTTCAATTCAGTGTGTTTATTTTGTGCACACGGTGAAATCCAAAATCATAACGACACGAAAACACTTGAGTGAGGGTGGAAATACGTCATCAATTTCATCACCCGGCATGAAAATCTTGTACACAAAGCCCGTCCATAGTAATTCACACAGAAAATGAATCTGGTTACAGCCTTGTTTTTACGCAAATAATATGCGGAACTAGCATAAAGTACTTAAAAGTATTGAAATTAACACTAAACACCATCCTGCACTGGCTACACAGGTAGCAGACGACCTCATTCTGTAGTGCGGAACTGTACGTGGCGGAAGTTATATCTCAGACCCCGCTTTTTATCCTTCAGGCGTTTATAATATCTAGGCGACGGGTTCTCGTAAAAATTGTGTAGGAAGTAACACTCTGCTTAGAAGATTATTAACCCGAGAATACGCAAGTTGTAAATATAACTTTTTAAGTATCTACCTCCAACAGCGAACTTCTCTCGGAAATAACTGGAGTTTTAGTCTTTATTTATACGGATATACAAGCAAATAAATCTGTTACGCAAACAAACGCAAGTCAGCTAAAACTGACATTGTGGTCGAACGACACACCTCGCACTAACAGTTCGAATTCTTTATTAAAAGTATAAAAACACAGTGATAGATAAAAATAGATAGCGAAATGATATAAACACTTATCAATATCCTATTATCACTTAATCACGAATTCAACACTCCTTATGAAAATTGTAAATGACATGTCGGGCCAATGCGAATTAAATTTTGATAATGAGAATCACGCCTCGATATTTTTGTACCAATATCAAATACAAACATCACGACTTTGCAGTACACTTGTTGGATAATCAGAAACGCAGAGGTTATTAAAAAGATTACCAGGAATTCAAGGCATTACTTTGGATATCTATAATTTAGAGAAAGACTGAAATAAATTCAAGCTCAATGTTTAACGAATTGTACCGAATGTCACATTAAGGTGTGCCGGTGAATCACGAAGGATGTCAAAATTTGGTTCGATTGGAAAATTTTTTGATAAAAACGAAACAAACGGAAATTTTTCAAAACAACAACAATTAGCCGGACAACAATTGTGCAAAACAATCCATAAGTCAACTTCGTGTCCAGAAAGAGAGGCTTCGTTTAAAAAAAAAATCGTTCACCGGCTCTACCAAATTCGTAGGTATGACTCAGTAGTATAGCAAAGTAAATCGTGTGTGAATCGCCAATGACAAAAGCATGATTTACAACATCGTCGACACCATTACCTTAATTAAAACATCATGATAAGCGTATTAATCACTGTATGGCGATTATGATTGGCACTGGCGTCATTTTACAAAAGAACAATTTTACAGCGCCATGCAACATATTAAATTACTCACCATAGGATTGAATAATGGTTACAGAAATCAATAATATTATATTGATTCAGGTCAATAAAATCATTGGATAAAAACAATTTTTTGGCAGTAATGAGAAGCCGACAATCAATGCAATATTAGAGAGACGACGCATCATAAATACTAAAAATATGAATAAAATGCTGAAAATATAACCCATGGCCAGGCATATAAATTCACATGATTTATCTAGGACTGGGAAAGTACTTTACGGTGATATAATTCTGTTAATTAGCAACCTAGTGGGATCATCTCCATGCTTTCTTCTGCAGTCTGTTCTTGTCTTAAACGTCTGTAAAAACGCAGAGCCTCCAAGTTAGAACGGACACAGGAAGGTGTGAAGTCTATCACACGTAATCCACGCAAACTACGTGCTCTTGACAAGGCAACGTAAGCTTGTCCACACTCAAAAACACGAGATAGGCACATTTCCACACAATCTAATGACATGCCCTGTAAATCAGATTAATGAATGGGAATAATATAAAAATAAATTGTGTTCTACTTACAACTGCACTTCATAAAATTTAATTCAATTAATTAAAATAAAAATTAATTACTTTAATTATAAACTAATTTGGCGTGTTGTGGCGCACGGTGCTAAGCATTAGAAATATGTTTGCCACCACGCGAGTGTTCGCAGGTTCGAATCCTGTGTGGGTTTATTATGTGCCAGAAGACTGCTGGACTCCTCGCCGTCGTAGCCCAACATGGATGGTAAACGAACCGAAATAAAGTAAGATTCGATCCCTTGTGCGAGAAATTGCAAGCAAATCGTTATCATTAAAGAGATTTTTAGTTTAGTTTTATTTTAGTTCCAGAGAGTCATGAAAAATTTAGCTGTGCCAAGTGATGGAAAAAGTTTGAAGAACAGTGTTCTATCACAGCGTTTCTCAAACTCTGTTCCGCGAGCTTCTTCAGTATGTTCCGCAAAACAGGGATTGAAATTGGATTAAATCAGTCACCATGGCAACCCCGGCCGTACTTCGGCGTCTCTGGGTCGTAAATTTGTCTACCAACTGGCGATGAACAAGCGAACAGGCCTTATTATCTGAACGAGCGGACAGGCCTCGTACCAGTCTGGAGAGCATGGCGTAATCGTTAATCGTTCAATCTCGTTACCTGTCGACCTAATTTTTTATTTGTAAAGTTTCCAGCAAACTTTCTCTTTAATTTTACCTCCCAATTTCTTGATGTTCCGCGAGGCGCGATAAAATGTGCAGGCGTTCTGGGGGAGATAAGTTTGAGAAACGCTGCTCTATGAAATGCAATTTGACACAAGACTTAAAGTAGTTCAAGCCGATACTATCAGGATAACAGTTATGAGATAGTGATTTCCATATAACTGAAATACTTTACCTGGCTTTTATGTATAGAGATTGCCCATGCAAGTTTGAGTGGGATTTGTTTCCGCATCGCAAGTATCTCTTGAGATAATTTCATGGACCAACGTTCATGTTTTATCGTTGTTTCAACTCCAGAAATGAATCGAACAATTGGAAGACCAAGATTTTCAGGTTGACTGTCTGAATTGGCTGAAAAGTAAAACCAACTTGATTTTAAATTTCTGACATTATATATTTTTTAGTGCTATATTGCCAGCTAACGGATGAACAATTTATAATATTAATGTGAATGCCGTCACTTTTAAAAGAAACGGTATGTAAAAATCATTGTCTTGTATTAATTATTCATTTTCGCAGCTATACAAGCAGTCCAAGCACTTATATGTCGTTAAGTATTTTAGCATATCCCTGGATGGCGAAGTTTTACAATAATTTTTTTTTTGGGTCGCTTGAAAAAAAAAGTAAAAAGTTGATAACCACTGATCTAGATCCACATGAATATATTTGTATTACAATAGTGGACATCCATCCTCATTTCTTAATGTTCTGATTATTCAATAAACAGTGATACCTCGGTAGTCGAACACAATTCGTTCAGGATTGATGTTCGACTAATGAATTGTTTGAGTACTAAAACTTTTTTGGCATAAGAAACAATGGCAATTATTTTATTCATTCTTACGCATTCCAAAATACCGGAAATATGAAACAAAATGTGTACCTAAACGGAATTTTTTGTGGGCTTTATGGGATTCGCACCTTGTGGCTGTTCCGTTTTCAGATAAGCCGTGAATATTATCGTACCCGTTACCGGCTACTGTGACAGATTGCATGCCAGTACTACTTTGTTTTGGTGTTTTGGCCTTCTTGTTCACATATTTGAGCTTAGCTTTCTTGTTGAATTGTCAAGATGCGTGGTTCAGGCGACGTCATCTCACTCGGACACCAAATTTCCATTCGAGTACAGCATTTATTACTTGATTTTTTTTGTTCGACTACCGAATTGTTCAAGTATTGAGTGGTTCGACTACCGAGGTATTACTGTACTGTATCTATAATCATGAGAATTTAGTACAAACAAATTTGTTGAAAATATAACACATACCTAACAATTGTTGCTTCGTCAACTTCATTGAATGATTTTTGCTGTTCGTAAAACCAGTTACAACACCACGAGCACCATTTACCAAACCTAGACTGACATCTAAATTCTTTGTTAGCATTACCTGAAAAATAGTAATATTAAAATATGAAAAAATGTAATTAATCGGTATATATTTTTTGAAAAAATTTGCGCAAAGTCAAGTACACCCATTTAAAATAAAGAAAACTTATGGGAGACCATGGGGCGCTCCAGGAGTGTGTGTACCAATATTGAGGTAACTAATTTTGTTCGCGTACTTGACATAGAGTTGTATCAAGAGGGGTTATATTCACTTGGGTAACATGAACAGTCCCCGAACTCGTAATAGAACTGAAATAAGGAAAATTGAAATAAAATTATGGTCTAACCCTAACCTGGTACACACTCTAAGGCCGGGAGTACCGGCCATGGAAATGCCAAGACTTGTTAGCAATACCACTATAACGATAATATATTTACATAAAAGATTGTTCATACAAAAGCCAATCCAACCAAAAGTTTTAGCACACAATTTCAACAACTTGTAGACAAAAGACAATTTATTTGCTCAATTTATGAAAATTTAAATGTTTCAACTTTCAAAGTAGAAATCAGAATACATTTTATAGGATTTGAATTTTTTAGTCTCAAAATATTTACACAAGTTAGATACATAAGGTATTGACTTGAAGCGGAATATCTAATCAAGTGTTACTGATGGGTAATGCACCACCATTAATCCAAGTAGTTGAAGTAATCCATAACGATGCGCAGCGTTGGGTTTTAATTGTGAGTTAGGGTACATGGTCTTGCTTTGGGCAAATTATTTATGAAAACAGTACAACTCTTGAATATCAAAACTCGGCCAATATTTTGATTAATCGACGCTCACCTGAGCACCAAGTTTCAAAGATATAGTCCTTGTGTCAGGCAGGGCATTGTCAAGTATTGTAGAATAAGCTGATGAATTATCTTCAGACCGATATGAACAAGTTACACCAGACAGCTTCTCCAACTGAGACTGTAAAAATAAAACAGTGACCACAAAGGGAACTAAGAATTATTGCAAGGAACACACTCGCACATTTTTGATTATCACATATGAGATTTGCCAGTTGTTATCATATGAGATTTATAGGATTTTACCGACTTAGCCTGAGGAAGAAAAAATAAATAAGATATTGACAGAATTGTATAGCTATTCACTTTTACTGTTAAATTGCATTAACCCAATGTGAAATTTTATTACAATTTTTAAGACAATGCTTCATCTGGTATGTATTTAATGATTGTAATACCTTATTAGTATGATCGACATCTTCTCTGTGTGTGCACAATCTTGTAGCTAAAATCCCATTCTGTTCTAAGCGATTTCCGCTGGTATTTTGCAAAGTTGTCAATGAACTTTCAGTGCATCTATATTCAATCACAAAAAAAAATGTAAATTGTAACAGCATTTGAATAGCATGTACTGGAAAGTAAGATTGCTCCTACAACCCTATAGATTTTGAATTATTATTCAAACTTAGAATTGCTAGATTTCTTATTATTAAATTCTGTCTACCACTCCTTCTACTAGTGCGGGTATTCACTATCGTTCATTACATTGTCATTGAATATCATAAGGTATAGACTTGACATCGGACAGTATTGCCCAAGGAAAGCAGTTGAATATGTAAAAAGACAGAAATTTGAGACTTAAGATGATATTTTTTGAGCAAACTGTATTAAAAATGAAAAAGCTAGCGTTGTACAAGATTACATTTGTCATTACCTTCCAATCCTGATATCTTGTAATAATCTGACAAAAGTGGGATCAGTCTGTCGATAAACTTGTCTCAGCTCAATACACTTTGTTACACATTGTTCCCATGATTTTGCCTAGGAAAATTATTGAAAATGAACATTTTTTATTCAACAAAAGTAGATTTCTTCCAAACTGACATTATATACTAATCAAATATGACAAATAATACATGGTGTGTAAATCATCTTAATAGCTTCTGTAACTTTTGACATTTGGGTGGTCGTCCATAATTTTGCTAAGAGATGAGTTCTATTCACCTAGTGTGCATGACGTTGCCTTGAGCAATATATCTTCAAAAATTTTACTGAGATCTTTAATTTGTGGTTTCAACATTAATAACAGAAGGGATATTTTATTTTACCTTAAAACATAAATTCTTTTTGTCTGTTCCCTTGGAAACAGGAGGAAGTTGGAAAAAATCTCCACATAGAATAAGTTGAATCCCACCGAAAGGCTCTGAATTCTTTTTTGCAACCCTGTTTCCAATCAAAAAGTTACAAAGATGGTACAAAAACATACAAAGCACAAGGATTTAATCTGGTCACAAGTTTTAACTACAAATTAAAATGACCGGGATAAGTCACAAGCATCACAAGTCTCACTGATTCACAAAGCCAGGGAAACAAATGGCTCCCATTCCTTTGTGAGTCCTTTAATAGTGAAATACACCATTTGGTTTAATTGATATAGTACCTGGCAATTGCTTCCATTTTATCAAAAAAATCACCATCTATCATAGAAATTTCATCAATAATGAGATGATGGCATTTTCTCCATTGTTTCAACACATTTGGCCGATTTATGACTGATTCAATGCATTGTTGAAGCTGTGATATAAAAAATTTCATAGTGACCTGCAAAATTTTACTACCTCAATCAGACATTGAAAACATGTAGCCTAATAGTCGACAGAAATGTGTAAATATATTCATTTCAATACTTTGAGTCATGTGCAAATCTAAACGTCCGTAAATTCAATAAGAGATCAATTTCTTTCTGAGTGAGTGAGTGTGACCTTGCTCTGAGCAAATTTTTGCTCTGACTTGACAAAATATAACCTCGAGACTACAAATTCCAGGTTTAAAAATGTCAGGTCTCTCAGTTCCTGTATGACAGACTTTCATCTGCCCAATATAGAATTTCAAAAAGAATGTAATTATTTGAATCAATTACGAATTAATTTAAAATTCTTGATGAAAATATTAAACCAAAATATTTTCTTTTGATAAAATTGTCATTTTGTACAATTAAATAAGTCTTTGAGCAACTCCAAAAAAACTTTCATTTTTATTTTGAAAAAATAGAAAATTGAGAGGCAATCTTATAATTGTTCATTTTAATTTCCAACACTAAAAATTCAAATTTCCGATATATATGTATATATACTCACACTGCCAGATGCTCTTCCCATACCAGCAAATGAATGAAGTGTCATGCCACCAATCTGGCATGCTGCCACGCCTGTGCTCGCTGTGACAAACGTGTGAGCAGGAGGTAACATTCCAACTATGTACCGTAAAAGAAAGGATTTTCCTGAAAAATAAGGTATATAGATGTTTCAACAATATCGATCGTCCAATATTACGACTGACGAATATAGGAGAAATCAGTATCTGAGAGACCAAAAGCAGCATTATGGCTATCAGTTATTTGTAAAGATAGCTATATATATCCATCGCTCAAATGACTTTATTGGGCTGCCATTTGACAACAGATTTGATTTAAAGAACACCCACACAAGATGTGTACATCCAATCGAGTACAATATGTTACATAAATAACGAGCGTCCTAATAAAAAATGAAAACCATTAATTCAATAACCAATTTTGTGGGTTCCATTTTTTTTGGGACACCTTGTACTTGTTCTTTAAATGATTTAAAAATGGTGTATAAAAGTAGTGTCACTCACAACCATCACTTTAAGTGTATATAAACGAGTTCATTACAAAAAAAAAAGATTCCGGTCCTTCCGGAATACACAGATTTGTACATGGAAGCAACTGCTCGTCTGGTATCTTGTTTTAGGCATAGATTATCTAAGACTATATATATGATTTGTCACATAATTGAGTTTGGTAATTTGTATCAAGATTAATTAAAATAAATTAACAGAACAGTATGATTTCAATTACATTCATTCTACTGATTTGATATTTACAAAGAGTAATATGTTTTTGGAAGAACATAATTTCTTCTAATTTAGCAGGCCTATCCCATTTATTATAACTAGGATAACGTGGTGAGCATGGGGTTTGGATCCTTAATTAATATTCAAAGCCCCATTAACACAGGACATAGTTGACAATCATTTAATGCTACATCTCAATCATTTAGTATATTGTAAAGCAAATGTACCTGTTCCTGCACTACCAGTGAAAAATATATTCAACTTGTTTTTCACAGCAGTAAGAACTCGTTTCTGTTCCTTGTTTAATTTTTCTGTAGAAAGGCTCAACATTCTACGCTTTGGTGGATTTTGCTCCGATTGATTGGCCTGTAACACAAACAAATCATCAATGAAAGTATCATGATTTACAGTAAGTAAAACAAAATAATTTAAAAAGTGATGCTGCAATGCTGTATGGACACGAAGACCAAAACGAAGTAGTATCGAATCTTTTACAGTACCGATAGTCTGACCACCAGATCACAAAGATGTGATCACGGAACCACGGCATGGTGCTCAATTTTTAATTTTGAGGACATCATCATGTAAAAACTTTGAAGTGAAAAACGAATCCCAGAGTAATAAATAATAGTAATAGTCTTCTAGCGACAACAACAAGCTTCAACCAATGAAAATATTAAAGCAATTGGTTCAGTAGTTCAAGAAAAAACAATTTTTTCACAACAACAACAACATAATAACAAAACGATCCATATCGGTCCACTTCATTTCCAATATGTAAGATTGAATCTAATTGTAAGACAGAATTATAAATTGAAGTGAAGCAATGCTATATAAATGATTCTTGTTTCTCCAGATAGTACCAATACCTGGTTTTCATTAGTTTTATCTTGTAATGGAAGTTTTCGTTTACGATTTACAAAATTTCCCTTCTTCGAATCTTTAGTTTTGGCTGAAAATAGAGAAGTATGAAAGCTTTTTCATAATACAATCAGGTGTTATAACGCACCATTCTGGTTTTACATTGAATTTGAATTTAATGTAAAACCAGACTGCTGTGAAACCAAACAGCACTAGAACACAAACAAAATTTGGGTGCTACTTTGGTATGCGATATCAGTGATTTTAGTTGGGGTTGACTGAATTCCATAAGAATGTCTTTGTGCGATTGAGATCCCGTTACCAGTGTCACCAAAATTTGTCATCCTAGCTATAGTATGGTAGAGACAAAGCAGTTACAAAGTTTTACCCAGTTGATTAGCAATTCAACACTGGTCATACAAAGACTTTCACTAGCAATCCAAATTTGGGTATATAAAAAATTTATATGAGAAATTCAAATCCTGTAAAATCTGCACAAGACCAATCATCAGTAGTAAGCTTCTCATGTTTCTGAATTTTAAAAGACAAATATAAAAATATCTGACACAAAGTCCAAGCTCCTTCTAAAGTCAACTTAGTTGAATTGCAACATTGATAATAATTTGAGTTCACGGATTTAAAAAAAATCGCGAAAGCTTTTATTTTATTATAGGATTTACACATTTATCCCCGGGGACGATTAGACCGAGGAAAGCCGATAAAATGACTCAATCATATTATGGTGAAAATTTTTATGCAATAAAATAACTACGGTAAGTTACCATTTTCCTTGTTCTCTTTATCAGCCCGAATCTGATTGACTTTGGCAATATCAGTTTGATTCAATGGACTGATTTCTTCTAAAGTTTTTGGAAGTCCGAGTAGTAACTTCTTTCGCAGACTTATTTCACCTAAAATTAAAAGAAGATTGATACAAAAAAAACAACACAAATATTGGAGAGTTACACATAGTATTACATGTTAATTCGAGTCGTCAGATCAAACAAATCAATATAGTTGAAATACAAATGATGCTTCAGATGAAGATAGGTAGTAGAATGAAGATAGGTAGTTATTAAAATATGGATAAAACATTAATATAAAACTTTTTCTCGAAAAAATTAAAGCAGCTACCAAGATAGTTATGATAAACTGTTAGATACGTACATTGATATCAGTACTGATATAGATAACAAAATCAGTATTATTAGGTCAATGAGAGATTGTGCTCTCTAAATAAATTTTGAATATTTATATTACAAAGTTCCAAATAACCTTTTTGCCTTTCTCCTGTTATTTTGACTGATAAAACTTTGCAGAAATTTTTTAAAGTTTCAGGGGGACAATTTGCCAACATGATTCGAACATTGTGATTGGTTAGATGCAGAGATACTTTTCCTTCCTGTGAGTGTGGAATAAGGTTCAAAATATAGAAATGAAAAAGAAATTGTACTAGGGGAATCTAACATAATAGTTTGCTGTTGTTAGTAAATATGTCTACTTTATCATGTGGATAAGATTATAGGTTTCACATATAGAGGAAGGGAAGCCAGTAAGACAATTTAATAATAAAGCAAACTAAGGTCTGATATCCAGTTATCATTTCATTTCGGGTATGGGAATACACAATGAGTGTATCGCTATGTCGGTATAAAGATAAGTTATCATTTATATCCTGAGTAGAGAAAATCATATAATGGGCGGCCTCTCGTCCGGTCACAATCCATCTCGTTTAAGAGCTTAGTTAGCTAGTTATTTGTGTAAGATACATGGACTTGGGGGTGGAGTAACCATATGGCAGTGTGGAGTCCAGCAATCCTCTACCACACAATTATCCCACAGGATTTGAGCCTGCAAATCTATGCCGGATAATCAGAGCTGCAAAAGATTGCATATTTTTAATAACGCTTGACAGCATAGGCAACTCGTCGTGTGCCGTGCTTTTCTATTTATATAAAGATATGATCTTAACTTTACGTTATAGCGTTATATTCATTATAAAATATGTCAATACCGATTTAAGGTAGGTGAAGTAGGGTGGAGGCTAACTCGCCATGGACCACTTGCCATGCGACGGAGGTTAACGGGTATGCCTGCAACTGCACGAATTCTTGTAATGGGAGATGGAAAGGTGGCTGTTTTACTTACAACTACAGTAGCGAGGATAAATATATTAAACTAAATGTTTTTGGTTAGAATATTGTGAAAGGGATAACAAAGTGACAGGAAAACGTGCTTGTATACCGGTACCGGTACCAAAAGGCATCCCAGTATCGTACGGTACTAGACACGAAAAGGATGTCTCAACTTATCATTTGCAAGAGCCTTCGTGCAGTTGCAGGCATACCCGTTAACCTCCGTCGCATGGCGAGTGGTCCACGGCGAGTTAGCTGTCAGCCAATGCAGGCATACCCGTTAACTGCCGTTGCATGGCAAGTGGTCCATGGCAGTTACCGGAGCTGTCAGCCGTATAGTACAGTATATTATAAGATACATACACAAAATCTGTTCAATTTTAGTGCAATTCTATCATGTTTATTTCAAATTTTAGAATTTTTTTACGAAATACTAGTGATGAAAAGGTTAAAAATCACTATAGTCCACCAAAAGACTGAAAAATAATTTTTAAATTTCAAAAACAGTAGGCAGATAGGGTAACGCTTTGTGTTTAAGTCACACATATCACAGTATCGGCTCGGCGGTGTGGCGCATTGTGCTAAGCGTTAGAAATACGCTCGCCACCGCATCTCTGATTACCCTTCGTGGGATCGCAGGTTCGAATCCCATGTGCGAGAGGATTGCTGAACTCCTCGCCGCCGTAGCCGTAGGGTGGTTCACATAACCGCTTGTCGGTTACCGTACGGTACGGCTTCCTCTACCATCAAGTCCATGCTTCCGAAAACAAATAACTGGCCAACTAATCCCATACCCAACCTGGACTGGTACGGTAACGGGACAAGAGGCCGTGGTTCGCCATATGATTGAGTCTTCATATTGGCTTTCCTTTCCTCTCCCCCGAGATAAATTTGTAAAATCCTATCCTACCCTATCACTCTGCTACTACAGCACTGACGTAGACACCCAACCTTACCGTTTACAACTACAGAACTAACTTACCTTCAGAAATTTACAGAAAAATTTCACATCTCTGACTACGAATTTCTGTAGAGATTGAATTTTTCCCTTCGGCTTCACTCCAAGAACAATTTCCTTGTGTTCATTTCGCCACAAGGATAATTCGCCTCCTTTATGGCATTGTCTCTTTAATACTTCTAAGCTTGAATTCATGTTTTCAACAGTAATATTGCATTGTATGAAAGTATTTGAATCCATTTCTGACAAAAAGTAACAAGTTCACCGCACCAATATACTGCAAAGCAGAATAAAGAACTGAAGAAGCGAAATGTTTATATTTCGACTGATGACGTCACGGGCATTTAAATTTTTAAATCGCGTTACGCATGATCAGCAGTGCGTGGCGATATAAATTTTATATTGGGAGCTCGCGGATTTCAAGTTTATCTTTCTTTACAAAAACAGGCATGATATTTTATTCTTTACACTATCGACAGGTTTACAATCAAAATAAACCCAACACAAAAAAGTGAGGGTAAAATATCACGATTTTATTCTTGCATGCAGATATCGTTTGGTATCGCAAGTGTAAAACAAAATAGGATTTTTCATATTTATCCCGGGGGAGAGAAAATCCGACGAGACGGCTTAATCATAAGACGAACCCCGGCCCTCCTCCGGTTATCAGTCCATGTGGGTACGGAATTTGAACCACGCCATGTAATCAAGAGATGCTTTGCACGATGCGCCACACTTATCCTAAATGCATATATATTATTGCAATGGGGGTAGTAATGTTGACTATCGGGTCAAACTTGAGATCTAAATTCAATCATTAGTTCGTCAAATTTGTGCTAATTTATCTTTTCATAATAGTAGCTTGTCATCGCAACTCTGATTACCCTGCGCGAAGATAATTATGTGCGAGGATTTCCGGACTCCTCGCCGCCGTAGGATGGTTCACTGCTGGTTGGTGACGGCTTTGTCCACCATTCAATAATTTCATCGTTAATAGCAAATGGTGTACCACCTCACAATTCTGAAAACACTCCCTCCCAAAACGAACGAAAAGCTGGGGGCATACTGCACTATATTATTTGCTCGAACCCCAGAATGAACCCTACCCCGCCATCTGATTTTCTCCTCTAACTAGCTGGTTTCACTAATTTAGCCACAAAACTCACTCTATTTATTAAGCCATCACTTCATAAAAAATAAGCTTTAAAATATCGATTAACTAAACAAACTTCATGCATTACCAACTATTAATAATGGAGAAGGGTTCGTAATCAGGGAGCGGCGAATCAAAATTTTAATAACAGGTTTTTGTTTTGAATCAAACCCACTAAAATCAGGTTCTCTTATTTCAGAACACGACACATAAATTCACATGTTTCACATAGATTTAACACATAACAAAAAACACTGCTGCTCTCAACCTAATTACCTATGTTTATTCAATCCTATACGTACACACTATACAGGAAGAAAAAGAATATACGGATTAGACAGAAAGCAGAATCGATTTTATTCCGATATTCCCCTAATAGCAGCAGTAATAATTGCATCCACCAACTATCCAACAAGCATTCAGTGCCCAATCTCAAAGCATGGTTATTCAAATTTTTCTTCCAGGGCAACATACTAATCTTCATCAATCATTCGAAATCCATCATGGTTGTACTCTCCACCAATGATTCGTTCGTAATATTTGCTGAAACGTTAAAAACAATGTGGATGCATTTTAATAACACTAAAACTGAGATTCGTTTCAAGGGTTGTTACAAATATGAGAGTGGCCATAAACAACTTTCAAACAATACCCAGTCGGATTTGTTGTTTTTTTTATAGAAAAACTCTTCTGCACATAAAGACAATTTAAAAAATTTGTACAGCATAGGATACGATTATCCAGTTCTGCACTCCCAAAATAGTGGAATCCAACCTTGTTTTGCCATGTGCTATTTGTTAGCCAGCCTATTTTTTTCCAACTGCACACCTATCAACACTTTTATGTCATCATATTTTATGAGTTTCAAACTTTCCTTTTCGAGACATGAAACTCAATGAGCATCCTACTGATGCTTAGCAAAAAGTGCCAACTATCATTGATATTTTTATTTTCATATTCATTTTGATAACAGGTGTAGTTTATACGTAATGAAATATAAAAAAAATAACTTACATCCTGGTTGTAAAACATGTTGAGATCCGACTAAACAATCTTTTACAGTAGATTTTTCACCAATTTCCACATTTTCACAAATTACACTATTTTGGATAGTACATCTGAAAGCAAGCATAACCACCGATTACGAAAACTTTAACAAATAGAAAACATGACTATTAGTAGTTGAGAAAAAGTTCTTTTACACTATTTGTAACTCTAAAACCATTTTTAGCAAGAAAATATAATTCCTGAAATGCCTTGATTGAGAGTTGACACTATTATTGCTATCTTAGAAAACCTTATCAACACTGATAAGCTTACCCATCTCTTATCACCACCTTGTCTAAAATAGTACAATTTGTTAGTCGAACTTGGTTTCCAATGACACAATGTTTTCCAATAGTACAACGTTTTACCGATACTTTGGTACCAATAACGCTATCTTCTGCTATCATGCTATCAGAACCAATCTGGAAAACAATACAAAAGTCAGATAAATAGTCAATCAGGGTACTAATTACTGTTGAAGATCATAAAAATGAAATGACAAATTACCTGGGTTTTTTCTTCAACCTTTACACTAGCGTGAATTAGTGGAAGTTCAGCGACATTTGGAGCAATAATTGAGATATTTTTTGCCATCTGTAATTAAATATAGAAAAGACTCAAACAATTCTAATAAAGATACATTATTGAAAGGGGATTTTTATAATTTTTAAAAGCAAATAAATAGAAATTTCAGAAATATTAATTGCACTATCAAGCCTTGTCAAGTACAGGATACAATACATGCAAGATAGAAGAAATCTGTATGCAGACTAACTTCCTTTAATTTCAATATTACTATACAGAAATGCTAACTTAAATCAAATGTTGTTGTCCGACTAAGTCCTGTCCCAGCAACTATGAAATGAGGTACTTTCCAGAAAAAGAAATATGACTAAATTGATGACAATACGTAAAACACGAATTACCAATCTGTTTGCTTCAACAAATGCAGATAAAGTGTTCACTCTCATACAAAATCCAGCTTCATAAACATAGGCATGGACTGATAACTGATCTTCTGTTTTATGACCGGAATGTAGCAATGGTTTTGTTTTCAAACTTAAATTAAGAACTCTTTCAATTGCACTGTCTTGTCGAAGATAAGAAAATATATCTGAAATATAAAATGTCAACAAGCTTTTCAGCAAATAGCACAAATCCTTAACACTTTTCCAAACATAACTCATCTTTCAAATTCAGATATTCACCAATCACCACACATTATTAATGTAAAGACGTCTGCTTGGAGCACATTATTACACTTACTCGAAAAGAATTGATTTGGCATTTCATCATAAAGTTATAAACAAACCCAAATAATTAATTCTTAAAATTCCTGAATAAAGAGGTAACTTGTTATTTAATGAGGTTATGTTTGAATTTCATACATTCTTGTGCTTGTTGTATGAGGTACGACAAACCAGTAAATGAAGCAAGAATGGCCAAAACTGATTAAACCACCACTCTGAATCTGAATACATTCTTATATTTTCAAAAGTATATCACAAAACACACATAAGTCGATGGATTCTCAATGTGTTTCAATTTGGTAAAGCAGGAATGGTAAAGACGGACACTGATTTTTTCGGTTCTCTATACTTTATATTGTTCTCAGAATTAAATCTAAGCCATTTTGATTTATTTTAAATGAAGACATTTTTATCTTAAGATTGTTAAGAACTCATGGTTGGTGGCGTTCCTTCCCACCTGACCTGCTGAATGATGATGAATATGAAAAAAAGATATTACCGCACCTCTAGGATCAGACTCTATTTCGTCTGTTGTTGTGTTGGTAGGATCTGCAATTGATATTTCACTTTCTTTTGTAACTTCCGCAGGTTTTCTCCATTGCTTTTTAACAAGATAAGGTAAAAGTTCACCCCGAATTGATCTCTTTGACCTGCCAAAACATGCAATTTTATATTTTAGAATCACAGAATAAACATTAAACAACTTAATAATAATAATTTATATTTTTATATTTACACACATTGATGACTCTTAAAAAGCCAGGAAATAAAAAAATAATTAGGATTGTTTCAAATGCTTTGGAGATAAACAAAGAAAAAAGCAGTCTATTGTTTGAATCAATTGAAATTTTTTTGACACCTAGTTAGTCTCTATACCCAAACAGCAGCCTTATGGATCCTTCATCCTTGTCTGGAGCATGTGTTCTCAAAACCCACTAATGAGAATATCTGAGCGGATCATGATTTGTTGAAGCGCAAAGAGCTTATGATCCCATCACAAGAATAAGAGCTAACTCACCAGGAGGAGGTATAAAGAAATATAAAAAAGCAGTATATTGAATAATGAAAATTGAATGTTGAAACTATTTTAAAACTATGGAATTGGAAATGTGTTTTAAAACTCAACAAACTGACCGACTGATCTAGCTACAATGTATAAATTAATATAATTTTAAATTCAATCAGTCTATTCGCTAAAAAATACTGCAACAACGAAAAAACACTACAGTACTTGTTATGCGTGATGTAATCAACAACCCATTTCCTAATTATGTACATATGAACATCTGTAAGATCTGTTCGAACATGAATGCATGGTTGTTGCTTCAACAGAGATCTGCTTAGTGACATAGCTTCTTCCTTAAACAGAAATGAAGTTGTTTAACTATGTAAAACGGATGTTGAACAATTTTTCAAATATTTGATAATAATTAGTTGGTTGGTTATACACAAAAATATGGTGATGGTGATTTATTTAGGAATTGAAATAATGACTAGTTAATGTGGTGTTAATGAGGTTATTAAAGATTCTAATTTAGTCCAAACTTCACTAGTATGCAATTTAGAGTTAATCGAACAATTTTAACAGCAATGATGTTGACTGGCGGTTGGAAACTTGGAATAGTTTGTAAACATATGGCGTAAACTGTCGCTCGAATATATTATAGTTTACAATAGATACCTCTACATCTGCCTCATTTTCGAGAAATACAACTCTGCATTTTGAACATTTTGCTTTGCTGAGACCGATGATTTCTCTTGGCTTTTTACCTGTAAGGAAACAAGTTTAATATAATTTAAGGAAGCTCATATTGAGAGCATAATACCGACACAATTTAATGAAGAAAGATATTTTTGACAGGCTAGAATATTCATTTGGCTTGATAGGTTGCATGTCATGCTAACAGTTACAATTGTCCTTGATATTAACGCACTGATGGCCCGCAGGAGTCTACAGGTGCAATACTAAGAGAAATACTTATGTGTGAGAATATTGCTGGACTCTTCTCGACATCATAGTGTATTACTTGCAACTACTGTTTTGGTCACGGCTTTAAGCAGATGCATGTGGAATCATCTAATTAATTACCTATTCTCAAATCATGAATGATAACTAGAAATAGTCCATGGTTCACTCTATAGGTGCTACACTGCTTTTCACTCTCTCTTGAATAAATTTTTTTTAAATCCTATCTTAATCTTACACAATCTAAATATATACAAATACAAGCGTTACTTTTTCTTTTTGCTTTGACACCTGGAACATTCTCAAGTTCAGGCCGAGCAGGAGCAAGCAACATTGTGATGGCAGTATTATGTAGTCGATGAACATCTGCTAATCGGTGAAGCTCAAAGTCACATAGTATATCACAACTCATCACAAGAAGATCACACTGAAAATATACATGTTTGATTTACTTTCATCCGACTCTACCTCATTTCAAAATAAACAATTCACGAAATTGATATTAACGAAATTTGAGGCATTGATAATTTATAGGATCATGACGTTTTACAGTTGATCAAGCAGACATAAGAAATTCAGGTTTTAAGATAGGATAGGATTTTCATATTTATTGCAAGGCAGAGGAAAGACGATAAGATGGCTTAAACATATAGCAATTAGCAATACACAGTTTTTCGCCTGGTTCATGCCAGGTATGGGAATAGTCATCTAGTTATTTGTCTCAGATACAATGACATGATGGTGGTGGTAGCTGTAACCCTACGACGAGGACGAGTCCAATCATCCGCATACACATAATTATCCCCCACATGATTCGAACCTGTGAACTTTCTCAGAGTGTGTTTCTAACGCCTATTACTATGTGCCTACTGTCCAAGCCTTGTCGGCATTTTGTATATAGATAGACCTATTGTTCCAATATTCTTCATGAAAATATGTAAATAAAGTTCAAGTAGACAACAGACAGATAACCGTACATGAATACCTTTACTTTATCCTTGATATGTCTAAGAGAGTCTGTTGTTCCCCAGTCTAAATCTTCTGATATTCCCACAATATCAGCATTTATATTTTTCAGTGAAGATATTGCTTGCTTTACTGAATTTACTATTGAATTCATAGTAATAATTATGATTTCTGTAACAAGTGGAAAGGATAGATCTTAGTTAATAACATCTGAGACCCATTTGCTCTTTAAAAGTACAGTAATGACGGATGCTGACTTGAACTTCAAGTAAGAACCATTATGTAATATTTTTACTTATTTTTTTTTATAACTCGCGGTTCTGTATTAAATTTATATTGCATGCTTGACAGCCATTGATCAGAGCAAAAACGCGGTAAATTACAAACATTACTAGGTCTATTGTACTTTGGCAATTATAATATAGAAGAAAAAACATAGAAATGAAACTAAATTGCACAATATTTGATTTCATTTTATTACACATAAACTATGTGGGTCCAAATTGCACATCAAATGTATTTGGTTTGGAATTGCGAATGCGTTTCCTAAGCACTAACAAGCGTTGCAAAGCAAATGTATCAAAATACTGGCATTGCCAATTGAAAAAATTGCATAGAATTAATTAAAGTGATTTAGGCCCATGTTCTATGAATAGGTGAAAATTCTGAAATCATTCAAACAGATTTACTGTAGTTCATTCATAATTTTTTTTAAATATGGCATGTGACATATTTGCTGCATAAGAGTTGAATAAGGAATGTGTGAGAGTGAGACATAGCAGTTCGGAACTCGGATATCTTAAATTATACAAAATCATTAAACGTCAAAACCTTAACAACAGAATTGTTTTAATGGGTGATGGAAAGTATCGAAAACACCATCAAACTGGCCATTACAAAATCATGTCAATAAAATTTAATCGTATCGAGTTTAATACATATCTCTAACTTGACCATAAATTTGCCTAATAAAACAGCTAATCTGCTGTCTATATGTAATTTGTACTTACCTCTGAAACCAACTCTTTCCAGTGTATTAACTGTATACCAGATCAGAGGTTTATTCCCAATAGGTAGAAGAGGTTTTGGAATGCTGGACGTTAAATCACTCATTTGATCACCCCTGCCTCCAGCCATGATAACGGCTTGAAATTCCATATTTTTTACCATATATAAGTATATCAGTGCTATTCTAGTTTCTGATAAAATGAAATTATAAGTATTAATTGCATAATTTAACATATATTATTAAATAAATTAAATCCAATCCAATGATGATTAATATAATATAAAAATATCCTTGATTGAAAATAATCTAATGTTTATAATAAGTGCAAATTTTTTATAGAAGTTTACTAAATGTATTCACAAATGCCCACTAAAGAACCTGAGATATTAGCAAATTGCGATTTCCCATTACTTGAAACACTTTAAGTCAGGGGTTCCCAAACCGCGGCCCACGGGCCAAATCCGGCCCGGGTAACGATTTAAAATGGCCCGCCAAGCTTACGTGGAATAGTGTTCAACAGATTTTATTTCTACCTTATTGCAATCTAGATCCCGGTAATTTATGTCATTATCAGAGTTCAAGCACGTGTTTATCGTAACAATTCAATTATACCAGTATATCAATTATGGGTACCGGTGTTAGGACTACAAAGGACAGTAATTTAGTTATCAGCCGTATAGGAAAGCTTAAAGATGTCAGAAATCAAACGAAAACTAGACTCAGAAAACTGACGTTTTTTTAATAAATGGCAGTGTTCGTATTTCTCCATTGAAAAGTATCAAACTTTAGAGATTTGTCTACTTTGCCAACGAACTATTCCAGTTCTGAAGGAATACAACATTGAGCGCTATTATGAGTCAAACGAGCATGTTTCAAAAAAAATGTCAAATGAAAGTGAATCCACCTTTGGGCGCTACATTCTTCCGGCCCGCGAACATCTTTTCGATTCTAATTTTGGCCCGCGGCCAATAAAGTTTGGGAATCCCTGCTTTAAGTGAACACTGTCTGGAAAAACAGCATTTACTGTACAGCCTACATAGCAGCTAAATAAATTGACAGTGTGAAGATTCTACCTGCACAACAAATCCAGTTTTCTCATTATATAGTAATTATTTTATTATAGCCAGGTAGTACCATAAGCCTGCATCTGTGCTTTTCAATGGACATGCTTAATTATGTATGTGGAGAGATGTCTAACTTATATTGAAAACAAAATACTACTACAACACTGTTCAATCATGAGAAGTTTATAAGCGGTAATTTATAATTAAACATAAAACGAGAATATCGGTCAGGGACCGAAGACTTGTCAATCAAAACTCCCCCAAAAAAAGGGGATCCCAAAACAGCGCTCTCGCTCCATAGTGACACCTTGTGTCTCATCACTAATTAATTGATAACTCGCTAATTATACGACATAATTCGCCTAAAATCAATAGGCTTCTGGTACGAGATATGATGAATGCACATACAAAATCTGCAGCAGATCCAATCTCGCTTTCGTGAGATATCGCGTGCATTTAACAGACAGACAGACAGACAAATACCTATCAATATACTTACCGATTAAAATGGATAAGTAATAAAGCGGAAAACTAGGTAAGGCACGGAGAAGATTGAAAACAGATGTATTAACATAGTAATTAGTAGACAATAGTAACAATAGTAATTAATTTTGCTTGTTATGGAACAACCTTAACAAAAACACCAATTATTTCATCATCTTTGTTGAGCGCTGCAAACGAATTTTCCTACTCATGTAAACCTTATGTCAAAGCAAAATAAGAATTCAAATCTTCGTCAATATTACTGAGGCATATATCGGAGCATAACACGACTTTAACAGTTTCAGTACATTGGGATAGTCATCAGCAGTGAAAAGTCTATATGTGAATTTGGGCATTCTATATCCCAAAATTAGGTAACTATTATGTACTACTATAATATCGGAACAAAATTTCTATCGGTCAAAGTGAAAATTACAATTCAAATGAAATAAAGGAGAGCATAGTTGGCTGTCAAGTTAATCTGTGTTACGATACAGAATCAGGTACTTAATGGCCTGTTGAGTACGCTATAAAAAGTCCATATCAGTGATATCACAGGAAATTTTCTCAACTAACATCTGTATACCAGTACCAAAGCAAAAGTTTCACATGTACGATGGGAAATCACTGTAAAATGCTTTCAATTCCATCAAATGTGTAATCTATTCATCTCTGGAACAAATTTTTTCAGTATTGTCCAAGTATCATAACACTCCAGTTAAGGTTTTGAAATTGAAATGTGATACAAGCATCTGACAACCTCTACCTACGTCCTATCGACTTTTGAGATATACAAACATAGATTATGACAATGGTAGCTTATCAAATAACCACTATTAAAAGTATTTGTATTGCATAATTATTTAACTTTCAAATATATGAAAAATGAAAATGAAATTATGATTATTCATGAATATAAATAAACATTCTTCATGTCCCCAATTGAGTACAGAATTCATCGATCAGGGAATAATAATAAAACATTTATATAATCGGCATGATAGCAAATTGATTAGTTTTACAAATCATATTTATATACAAGTTTATCAAGTATGGGTGACAAATATTTGCAGCTCATATCAACCCGTTTTTCCGAATTCAGGCAAGCAGTATAAAAAATATGGCCATGGCAACACAAGTACAAATGACATCGAAACCACCCTATATTTGACGATTTTGAGGTGAGAATATCCAAAATTTTAAGTAAATGAGGTAAAACTGGTTTTGCACACTGCACAGTGAATTGATTTTTGAAGTTTATATGTATTAAAACCTTTAAAGATGGATATATAAGAATTATTTTAGGCACAAGGCTGGCTATTAGACAATAATGTTTTTTTATGAGATTAAAAAAAAAATTGGTGCACCCATCTATAAGTTTTACATACAGTATTTGTATAGAAAAAAAACAGTTTTTCATAAAATTAGAGAAAACATATTACCGGTAAGAAACAATATGCACCCTTCAATGACGCCAAAACTGATTCAGACCAATGGGCAATGGCTATACGAATTCAGTCAGTTACTTAAGTTTAGTCCATCCACATTATAAACAATCATCACTTGAGTGGTGTGAGGAGGCTTCATTCCGACAAATATTTTGGTACCAGTATCAGGATCTACATATTCTTTAAGATCTATACTTCTTACAATCTGGAAATTTGGTCCCATTTTCTTCAGAAGCTTTTCATCATAATCATAGGTTGAATATGAAACAAGTTTTTTGATACCTTTCATTCGTGCCAGTTTAACCGTTTTATTCTGCAATACAGACATCACGTCTATACCTTTGTATCTTGGATCGACAGTAACCATTTTTAATTCCCAGTATTGATCTGTTCCAACAATTTTTGAAACCTCAGAGAGATCATCATTTCCTACTAATTTTGCTGAAAGCTTACTGACAGCTTTTACAACATCTGATTTGATATTCGATTCAAATTCACTGAAATCATCATGATATGGAGCAGTATTCACAAGCAGAGCACACAATTCATTGTTTTCATTGAAGGCTCCAAATGAGTTTCCCTGTTTAATGAATCCTTCAGCTAATGAAAAATATGCATGCACATCTTCCTTGCCACCACCTAGATATTTTAGTAATGGATGATTGGGAGCATAATGTTCTTCTAGTAAACGAAAAGCTGCAGGAAAGTCATCAACGTTTAAAATCCTATAAGTTAAGCTTGCAGCCATTGTAGTACAGTAGTAGTATTTAATGCATATATGGTTGAACGAAGTATATCCTTGATTACTTGTCTCTTGACTTTTATGTAAACCTGGTCTTGCTTGATGAGAGATAATTTTTGACGCTGGTCAAACCAAATAACAAGACAAATTCATAACATCTGTAACATACAGACATAAAATAATCGGGCAGATATTGCTTAATTCAGTAATCGCAAAATGGAGATATATAGCCAGACAGGGTAAAATGAATATATCTTATAATAAAATGAATATATTAACAAATGCACTGTTCATTTTACAGTATACGGTATTAACAGACATAGTAAGTACTAGGTACGCAGGCTTGTACAGCTGCACAGGTATCATAAGGCAGATGACAAATTAAGTTCTAAGCAATATCCCGAGAGAGTGGAGGATCCTAATACTTATCTAAGTTGAATCTACCCAAAAGGCAGCAAATAGCGCAAAACAGGATTAAAAAAAAGGCAAAAAATCCTGCAAAACTCCAAACTTGTCTGATTAACTTTTAACCTCAGATAATAATTGATTAGTCCTATAGTTCACCATGTCTATACTCATTAATTTACATTTTCTTTGCTAGTTCTGTTGTTAGCTGAACTGTTGTTATTATATTTTCTGGTGATACAGTGATATGCTGTCTATTTCTGGATCTGTCCGCTATGTCCCTACTAAAATGGCTACGTCCCATCTAAAATTGCGACTCCGATATTTTCCTACTAAAATGACTATGTCCCTACTAAAATGGCTATGTCTCTACTAAAATGACTATGACCGCTATGTCGCTACTGAAATGGCTATGTCCCATCTGAAATTGAGACTCTGATATTTTCCTACTAAAATGACTATGTCCGTCCGCTATGTCTCTACTAAAATGCCTATGTCTGCTATGTACCGTACCTATTAAAATGGCTATGTCCCATCTAAAATTGCGACTCCGATATTTTCCTACTAAAATGGATATGTCCTTACTAAAATGGCTATGTCCTCCATGTCCCTACTAAAATGGTTATGTCCGCTATGTCCCTACCAAAATGGCTATGTCCGTCCCTTCTCAAATCGCGACTCTGATATTTTCCTACTAAAATGACCATGTCCGCTATTTCCCTACTGAATTGGCTATGTCCCATCTAAAATTGCGACTTCAATATTTTCCTACTGAAATGGCTATGTCCCTACTGCCCTACTAAAATGACTACGGTATGTCCGCTACCGTATTTCCCCTTCAAAAATGACTATGTCCCTACTAAAACTGTGATCCCTATAATTATTATCTTACTAAAATGGCTATGTCCTTACTAAAATGGCCATGTCCCTACTAAAGTGCTATGTCCCTTCTAAAATCACGATCCCGATATTTCCCCACTAAATTGGCTATGTCCCTTCTAAAATCGCGATCCCGATATTTTCCTACAGGGCAGGGGTAGTGACTCCACTACGACCCATGGGC